AAAAAAGGAGGGGGGGACCTCTGTCACTTCTTTCCATCTTCTCATTTCCCTAGATTCTGTAGCCCCTGGCAGCCCAGACTTGTTTTCTGTCTCTGCATTTGCTGGCTCTGGATACAGAAGATGGCCTTTTCTGTTGGGGTCCATCATGAAATTAGTGTCTTCATGTTGCCCCCCTGTGGCATTTGTGGGAATTGCGTCTCTCTTTTTAAGTTCTAATTCACATACCCTTAAGGAACCTCCTAAAGAATATACCCCATTTAGTGTGTTCACAATACCGTTCAGCCAGGGATCTTTATTTCCACCCAGCTTTTACTCCTCCTTAGCCCCTCCCTACAGCCCCTGATATCCACAACCCAGCCTTCTGAGCGTGCAGCCATCATTTTCAGATACTGCACATAGATGGAACACAGTTTGCGGTCCTGTGAGTCTGGCTTCTTTCACATACCATCCCGTCTTTAAAATTCACTTTTTTCTTTCCAGCTTGAATGCCTTTTACTCTGTGTTATTATATGTGTGTTGTATTTGTCTGTGTGTGTGTGAGAGAGAGAGAGAGACAGAGAGAGAGAGAGCAATTTACAAAAGGAGTTTGCTCTCTTCTGTTCTATGCTTCTATTAAGTGGGTCCTGGGAATTGAATCTTTTTCTTTCTTGTTTTGTTTTTTGTGTAGGGTAGTGAGTAGCCCAAGTTGATCCTAAACTTTCCACTTACTAGCAGAGAACGGCTTTGAACTTCTGATGGTCCGACCTGATCCCTACTGAGTTCTGGGATTACAGACATGCTATCACACACCCTGTAGGGGGGCGGGTGGAATTAGAATTGGGGCGGGGAGGCTCCATGGTTTCTGAACAACAAACTAACTTTTGGTCTTGTTGAAGTCCCCTTGAACTGATAACTCCCTTCTCTCTTAGCAGTCTTCCTCTCAGACAAGGGCTCTCTTGCCGGGCGGTGGTGGCGCACGCCTTTAATCCCAGCACTCAGGAGGCAGAGGCAGGCGGATCTCTGTGAGTTCGAGGCCAGCCTGGTCTATAGAGCTAGTTCCAGGACAGCCTCCAAAGCCGCAGAGAAACCCTGTCTCGAAAAACCACAAAAAAAAAAAAAAAAGAAAAGAAAAAAAACAAAGACAAAGGCTCTCACTAGCCTGGTGCTCATCACACAGGAGAGTCACAGGGAAGCCAGCCCAGGGTCCCGCCTCCAGTACCTTGTCTCTCATAGTTTGTTTATAACTTGTCTGTCTCTGAGCGGATTTCTCTGCACTTGTCCTCCTTCACCTTTCACCAGCTTGGGGAATGTTTTAATTTTTATTTAGTGTGTGTGTGGGAGAGGGAGAGAGAGTTTTGTGTACGTGTACACACCCTATGGTACACACACATGGAGATCGGGGTTCTGAAGCAGTATGTATTGTTCTTCTTCCCTTTCTTTCTTTTTTTTTTTTTTTTTTTTTTTTGAGACAGGGTTTCTCTATGATGTTTTGGAGACTGTCCTGGAACCCGCTCTGTAGACCAGGCTGGTCTCGAACTCACAGAGATCCACTTGCCTCTGCCTCCCGAGTGCTGGGATTAAAGGTGTGCACCACCAATGCCCGGCTCTTTTTTTTTTTTTTTTAATTTGACACAAGCTTTCTCTGTGTAGCCCTGGCTGTCCAGGAACTCACTCTGTAGACCAGGCTGGCCTCAAACTCAGATCCACCTGCCTCTACCTCCTAAGTACTGGGATAAAGTTGTGTGCCACCACCACCTGGCTTATTTTTCTGTTTCTACTGTAGCATGGTGTACCGGAGGCTGGTGGCCCTTACATTTCTGGGCAATTCTCCTGTCTCTGCCTCCCATCTTTTTTGTTTGTTTGTTTGTTTGTTTTTCAAGACACGGTTTCTCTGTGGCTTTGGAAGCTGTCCTGGAACTAGCTCTGTAGACCAGGCTGGCCTCGAACTCACAGAGATTCGCCTGCCTCTGCCTCCTGAGTGCTGGAATTAAAGGTGTACGCCACCACCGCCCGGCTCTGCCTCCCATCTTGAAGTAGGGTGCTGAGATGACGGATACACAGTTCCACACCCCACACATTCACATAGATTCTGTAGACTGAGCACAGTGATCGGGCTTCTGTGGGGATTGAACTCAGGCTGTCAGGCTTACACTGTGTGTGCTTTTACCTATGAGCCATCCTATTGGCCCTAGGAATATTTCTTAAGCATTTATGTGTATGTATGTGTACCTGAGTTTGGGGGGTTCAAAAGAGGCACCAGATTCCCTGGAAATAGAGTTACAGACAGCTATGACTTTCCATGTGGATTCTGGGAACTGAATCAGAGTCCTTTGCAAGAGCAGTAAGTGCTCTTAACAGCTTTCCAGCCCCAAACCTGGAAATATTTTTAAGACAATGTTTTGCTTTGTATTTTAGGCTGGCCTAAAGCTCACAGTCCTGCCACCTCAATGCTGAAATCCTAGGCATGTGCTACCAAGCCTGTGGATTTGGGGATTTCTATCTTGGATCCTGTATTCCCAAACTCTCTCAGCATCCCTAGCTCCTTTGTCTGTGCTTAGACAAAGGAATCTGTCCACTTGACCACTCAGGAGCTGGTCCTTCTGGTGCAGAAACAGAGGGACCAGGACTCAGGCAAACTTCTGGTTATCTGCATATCTACCTATTGGTTCCTTCTGTCATACTGGATTGTCTGTGGTGTGGGGTGATCAGTAGGGGACACCACTGCCATGGAAGGTGTGTCCTCCCTACTGGTCCTGCCTTAGAGAGTAGACGAGACCCTAATACGATGCTCTGTCTCTGTCCTACTCCCAGAACCTCTGCCACCACCCTACCACCTCCGGGAAGTACAGGTCACCATCCTAAACAACAGCAGGTGCCATGAACTGTTCAGGATACCCTCTCTTCACCCCTTCATCAGCAGTGACATGTTTTGTGCTGGTGCCGAGGACGGCAGTGCAGACACCTGTAGTGTGAGTATACCTGCCCTTCTGAGGAAGCCCACTCTGCCTCACCCAAGGCCCGAGGGCTCTCTCCGTGTCTGCTATCAACCCGTCCTCAGGGATCATACACGAGAAATCACTTACAGCCCTCAATTACACAACCGAAAAACATAACTCTCTACCTCCACTTCTGATATTTTTCTCCATCCCTGAGACCCTCAGAGGTAGAAACCATGGCCCTACTTTCCTGATGAAGGAGCTGAGGCTCTGTGTTGCCAGGGGGAGAAGTAGGATCCTCACCCAGTCTTCCACCCCACAGGGGTGCCCCTGTGGCCTCTTCCCCAGCCCCACCCACAGGCTCTCAGGTTCACTCATGCTGCTCCTCAGGGTGACTCAGGAGGACCCTTGGTCTGCAATGTGGACGGTCTCTGGTATCAGATTGGAATCGTGAGCTGGGGAGTAGGCTGCGGGCGGCCCAAGCTGCCTGGCCTCTACACCAATGTGAGCCAGCACTACAGCTGGATCCAGAGCGTGATGAGCCTCAGCAGTACATGCAGGCCTGACCTGGTGCTGCTACTGCTGTCCCTCACTCTGCCCCAGGCCCCCCGGCTCTGAGACCCAGCTGAGCCTCTGAAGCTGCGGCTTCGGGGTCAAAGCATCAGCTCCTCCCAGTCCCAGGACACTCAGTATTGGGCAGGGACGTCCTGCTTGACCAGGCTCTCGTTGCCTCCCATCTCCTTTACCAATAAAGTCTTGAGCATACCTGAGTTGCACCTTGCAGAACATTATGGAGACTGTGTGACTTCCTGGACACGTCACTGCTCACCTGGAGCAGCCCAGCCGGGGGACCATGATAGCTGGTCTAGGTTCTGGTTGCAGACTGCAGACCTGCCAGTGGTCTGTCAAGTCCCTCCGGAGCCCTGCTCATGTGAAACTGAGCTTCCTGACTATGTGCACAACAGATAGACCAGCTGGAACTCACAAAGATCCTCTGCCTCTGCCTCCCGCCCCCCCCCCCATATATGTGATTTTGAGTGGCTCCTGAAACTACAAAAAAATTTCCTAAGGAACTTTTTCTTTTTTGCCTCTTTTGATTATTATTATTATTTTATTTGCTTGTTTGTGGGTTTTTTTTTTTAAGCAGGGTTTCTCTGTGTGACCCTGGCCATCCTGGAACTTACTCTGTAGACCAGGCTGGCCTCAAACTCAGCTCTGCCTTCCTCTGCCTCCCGAGTGCCAGGAGTAAAGGTGTGCATCACCACCACCGAGCTCATTTGTTAATATGTATGAGTGTTTTGCCAAATTTGGAACTGGTCATTCTCTACTCCAGGTTCATACAGACCTGGGACCCAGAAGGGACTGGCCAGGTTGAGTTTGGTGTGTAGTCAGCTGCAGGCCTGAGATCTAGGGTGTGGTTCTGGGGTCTGAGCTGTCATGTGGGGCCCCTGGCCTGGTTGAGCTGGGATTACTGAGCAGAACAATAGAGCTCAGAAGCCCCAGCGAGCAGGTCCACAAGGCTTCGGGATCAGGTTTAGAGATGAGCTGCCAAGGATCCTCTGGAGCTTCCTGGCCTGACCGCAGCTCCCCCACCCCCCACGCCACCCCACTTCTCAGCACCTGGTGTCCTTTTCCTGCACCTCTTAAGTTCTTCTCAAAGCATCTTTGTTTGAGGCTCTTCAGGTGCAGCCGCAGCCCCGCCTTGGCCTTGCTAATTACCTGGGCTTCCACCTCCTCTGACTTTTAAGCCCCCATGCCCTCCCCTGGTTCCAGTCACCAGAGAAGACACCAGGCTTCAAGGGTGAGAGCTGGGTCCAAGGGCTTCGAGGAAATGAAAGATGGGGTCCGGAGGGTGAGGTTCCAGGGTTCCTCCTGAGGCCTAAAGTGCCTGATCTCAGAGGTTGGGCATGCTTGGTCAGAGTTGGTCACATGGAGCCTGCACCTAGAGGTGTAGAGTCTGGGTGGCAGGGTTAGGTCCAGGGTCAAGCCGAAACTAATGGCAGACAGAACTGCCACAGAGGTACAGGGTGGAGTTGGATGTGTCCCCTAGCCTAGAATATTCCCTTCTGCTCCCTGCCCCCTCCAGACCAAAGGCCAAGCCCTGAGTAACGTTACCTGTACCCAGGCCAGCCTTGAAGATTAGAATGAGGGGTGCTTCCCACCTCCAGATCCTGTTCCTGTTGTTGCTAGGTGAGTGGGGCAAGGGTTAGGGGTGTTGCAGCAGAGACTTTAGCTGCAAGTTGCCGACCTCACCTCTCCCCAAGCCTGGTGCCTCTAGAGCACCGTGGGGCATTCTGATCTTCATTCCAAGGCATGGAGTCTTTCTGGCACTGACCTTGGGTTCTTCAAATCTGAGTATGCTGTATGTATATAGTGCCTAGTGCCCACCTCCAGCCTCCCAGTGCTTTGGGGAGGGCGATGGAGGCTACCAATGGCACAGAAGCTTGGCATGAGGTCAGTGTAACAAATATGTTCCACCTCCTACCTAATCTCTGACCCAGGCTCTATTACCTTGCACCAAATCCCTAATCTAGTCCCTTGCCTGCTTCCTCCTACAGGAGCCAGAATGCAGAGGTGTGCAGGTAAGGAAGTCTGGGAACTACCTCCTCCCCAGCTTGGGCCTGTCCCCCTTCCCATACCTACTTCCCAGGTCCCAAGTCCCAGCCAACCCTCACTGCCCAGTTGTCCTGTCACAGCTTGTGGGCAGCCACGCATGTCCAGCCGAATCGTGGGGGGCCGGGATGCTGGAGATGGAGAATGGCCATGGCAGACAAGCATTCAGCACCGGGGAGCCCATGTGTGCGGAGGGTCCCTCATTGCACCCCAGTGGGTGCTGACAGCAGCCCACTGCTTCCCCAGGTCAGCTCTCACTCCCTATTCCAGCTCCAGAAAGAAAAAAAAAAAGCCTGAGGGAAAGCGAGGGTGATACCTGGGTTGTGTGCTGGCTCCGGATGTTGCCATCAGCCCCATGTCTGTTCTGCAGACGGGTAGTGCCGTCAGAGTACAGTGTGCTCCTAGGAGCACTGAGTCTGGGTGTCACATCATCCCATGAGCTCCTGGTTCCTGTGCTGCGGGTGCTGCTGCCTCCTGATTACTCTGAGGATGAGGCCCGTGGTGACCTGGCACTGCTGCGGCTTCGTCACCCGGTGTCCCTGAGTGCCCGAATCCAGCCTGTCTGCCTGCCTGCACCAGGATCCCATCCACCACCAGGGTCTCCATGTTGGGTCACTGGCTGGGGCAGCCTCAGCCCAGGAGGTAAAATACATAGTCAGGCTATGGGGACTTGGGGGCATTCTCCTCTGGCTCTGACTGTGAATCCTGGTTTGTCACCATCCCAGTGTAGGACCCCAGCCACACGTGAGTACCCAAACTTCCCTTCCACTCAGACTCAAGGAGTCCTGGTTGGCAAGTCAGACCCTCATCTTATTCCAACTGAGCCCCACTCCAAGCCATGCCTTCTTCTGACTCGGATCTCTTCCTTTTCCCTCAGTGCCACTCCCAGAGGGGCGACCCTTGCAAGGAGTGAGGGTGCCACTGCTGGACTATCGTGCCTGTGACCGCCTCTACCACATGGGTGCCAATGTGCCCCAGGGTGAACGCATAGTGCTACCAGGGAACCTGTGTGCTGGCTACCGCAGGGGCCATAAGGATGCCTGCCAGGTGTGTCTGCTAACCCACATCCTCTGGAATTGGTTCCCCAGCCTCTTACCTCCCTAAAACCTAGGATCCAAGAGGTTGCAGACCCTCAACCTAGAGCCACTACCCCAGGGAACAGGACCTAGGAAAGTGGCCTTGAAAAGCTTTAGGAGAGCTGTGACCTAAGCTCACCTTTTTCCTGCAGGGTGACTCTGGTGGACCCCTGACCTGTCTGGAGTCTGGCCGCTGGGTCCTGGTGGGTGTGGTGAGCTGGGGGAAGGGCTGTGCCCTGCCCAACCGTCCAGGTGTCTATACTAACGTGGCCAAGTATAGGCCCTGGATTCAGGGTCACCTGCGCCTCTGATGCTGGTAGATTCCATAACATGAATCGGGAGCCTCCAACCCCCCCTGTGCTTCTCTTTCTCACCTGAGGCTGAGATGCTAAGAGCCCAGCTGCCCATGCCCTGCCTCTTCTCCTCCTTGAGGCACACCTTCTGTCACTCAGGGATTTTCTGTGAGTCCCTGCAGTTACACTACTGCCCTCTCCTTTTTGCTAGTATTTACTTCTTTCAGCTTTAGCGATGGGTAGACCCGCTGGTGACTCATTTGGCCTGCGTGCCTTTTGTTTCTCCGGAGGAAGTCAGACAGATTTAAAGCGTAAGAGGGACTCAACACCAGAGAGAATCTCTGGATTTGAAAGTTGAGGGGCCAGGCATTGTGAGTAGCCATAAGGCACTGACAGCCAGCAGGACGTCTGCAATCACCAGGAAACACATTCTGCCAACGCTCAGGAGACAGGATACAAATTTCCTCCATCTTCTAATCCCTTAGCTTCATGAGGATGAAGCCTTCAACAGAAAACTCAACTGAGCCACCCAAGTTGTTGATCCACATATTTTTGATTTAATAAATTTGTGTTGTTTTAAGCTGCTACCTTTGTGGCAACTTGTTACATAGAGTCTAACAAAAGGGGTAAACTAAACACAAGGGCTTCATTTATACTAATTTAGAAAAGAAGGGACCAGACCCTCACTCAGCTGCCTGCTTTAGCAGCCATGACAGGTGACAGAAAAGACCTCTGTAGGCCTCTGACACAAGGAAACTCCAGATTCCCCTGGCTTCCCGGAGTCTAGGGCCAAAACTGAACATTCCTTCTGGAGGTTGCTGCGTCAGCTTGCTAGATGGGGTCCCTGTTATGGTTGGATGAACAATCATTAAACCTAGCTTTGTCAGGGACCTCCGGCCATCAACCAGGTACGGCTGCCTCACGTACTCATAAGACATGATTCAACCCTCATAGAAAGTATGTGACTCTTAGCCGGGCGTTGGTGGCGCACGCCTTTAATCCCAGCACTCGGGAGGCAGAGACAGGCGGATCACTGTGAGTTCGAGACCAGCCTGGTCTACCGAGTGAGTTCCAGGACAGGCTCCAAAACAACACAGAGAAACCCTGTCTCGAAAAACCAAAAAAAAAAAAAAAAAAAAAGTATGTGACTCTTAAATTTAAATTTAAAAATAAATAATAAAAATAAAAAAAGAAAGTACATGACTCGGGACCACCCTGCTACCTGCCAAATTCCAGAAACAGACCTTATCTAGGGCATGGGCTTAATAGAAGGTGGAATGTGAAAGGTAAAGTTAGAGTCTGCAGTTAGGTTACCAGAGGACACAGGATGCCCTACCCATCCCACTGACCTTCCGCTCTGCCAGGTTCATCGCAGCTACAGCACATCCCCCATTCCTTCCCCTCCTCCCTTCCCCTATATAAATCCCTTTGGGATGAATAAAGTTGTCGCCTTGATCAGACTCTTGTCTTGGCGTCCGTCCTTGAATCCCCTGCCCCCCATCTTTTTCCTAGGTGTCCACCAGACCCACGTTGAGTGTCCTGCAGGTCGGGACACTTGCTTTTGCAGTTTAGTGGGTCTGTCTTCCTGATGGTCTCTGGGGACTTTGCAAGTTGGGCACACCATCTAGTATATATCAGTTTTACCCTACTGCGATGGAGACTTGCCAGAGGAAACTGGACTTACCCTCTGTACTCCAGGTGGCTCAGCAGTCTGGGTTACATGAGACCAAGTCTCAAGACAAAAAGCTTCGTAGACTCGTTATCTTCCCCGAGTCCCTGTACTGAACCCAGACTAAGCAAATGCACAAACCCCAATTAAATTAGAGAGAGCTGGACCTGGGCAAGGCCAAGGCCCAAAGCTGCAGGGTCACCTGAGAAGCAAGCCTAGCAATCAGTGTTATGGAGGCCTGCCGCATAGTAGGTTCACTTGGTAAGTGAACCAAGCCAGGAGATAAGAGAGTAAAAAAAGCTCAATTGCTTGTAGCAGATGAGAGCCCCGAGACCTTTCCTTTTTTTTTTTTTTTTTTTTTTTTTTTTTTGGCTTTTTCGAGACAGGGTTTCTCTGTATTGTTTTGGAGGCTCTCCTGGAACTCGCTTTGTAGACCAGGATGGCCTCGAACTCACAGAGATCCGCCTGCCTCTGCCTCCCGAGTGCTGGGATTAAAGGCGTGCGCCACCAACGCCCGGCCCAAGGATGTATTTTTTACATTATGTGTATGAGTGCAGGTGCCCACAGAAACTAGGTGTCACATCCCCGGGAGCTGGAGTTGGAAGCAGTTGTTAGCCACCGGTTGTGAATCCTGGGAACTGAACTCTGAAATAGCAATCATTTCTGTTACGGGTTGAGCCGTCTTTTCAGTCCCTACTGTGTGTTTTAAAACACAGGATGGGTGGGGCAGCAAGATGTTTATAAATTCAAAGCCAGCTTGTACTATATGGAGAGTTCCAAGACAGCCAGGGCTACTTAGTGAAACCTCGCCTCAAGGGGAGAACAAGAAGGAACAGCATGGTCAGGGAGTGGTAGTACACACCTGTAATCCAGAGCCCATCACCTTGAAGCTCAAGGCTAGGGAATCAAGAATTCAAGGCCAGCCTGGCTACTTGGCAAAACCCTGTATTAAAATAAATAAACCATCCGGGTGTTGGTGGCGCACGCCTTTAATCCCAGCACTCGGGAGGCAGAGGCAGGCGGATCTCTGTGAGTTCGAGGCCAGCCTGGTCTACAGAGTGAGTTCCAGGACAGCCTCCAAAACAATACAGAGAAACCCTGTCTCGAAAAACCAATAAATAAATAAATAAAGGCAGAGGAGGGGCTGGCTTGTGCTCTCTTGGGTTGTGGAGAGCATCGGAAGGGCAGAGACTGCATCTTCTGGAGCAGGAAGACCGCGGTGGTTATTTACTCTTATCTGTGTAAGTTCTTCCCTAATAAACACCTATTTATCATTTATCTTGGGTCTGATGAACTCATTTAAACCTCCATCTTCAAAGCCCTTTCTCGAAAAACCAACAAATGAATAAATAAATGTGTAGAGAATTAGTTCACTGGTTAACAATACCTATAACATAAAACACATTTCAATTCCTAACAGCCCGCAACCACCTGCAAGTCCAGCTAGAGGAGCCCCGGGCTCCCCAGGCACTGTACTAACATGCATGTACCCCACACATGCACATAATTTGAAATAACAAAAACGTTAAAGTGGGATGGGAATGCCTCTATCAGAGAACTTAGTGTTACAATAAGATCATAATGAGCAAAACTCATTCTAGCCAGGTATGATGGCACACATCTTTAATTCCAGGCTATTGTAGGCTATTGTAGGCTGAAACAGGCAGACTTCTGATTTCAAGGTCAGTCTGCTCTACAGAGCAAGCACCAGGACAGCCAAGGCTACATAGAGAAACCCGTCTTAGAAGTAAAAAAGTTTATACTTGCTACAAACGCAACCAGTTAGCACTGAGTTCCTACCTCCTTCACCATCTCAGATCCTGTCCACTCTTAAGGACCTACAGCTTCCAAGTTGTGTGGAGTTTAGAACTACCACTAGTCCTGTATAATACATTCTGAAATGGACTCTCAGTGACTGTTCACCTGTGGCAGAGAAGTGAGAAGGCTCTTGGCCTTGCAGGTTAGCATGGCACAAATCAATGGTCAAACGGCTGCCAGTCTGGAAAATCCTTCTGGGCACCGACTCTAGGCAAGAAGGTGGGTTGATGCCCTAGGCTCTTGGGTGAAGGGGACACTATCCCATCTTCTTCAATCCCAGGAAGTGTACCCAAGAGAGTGGAAGGAATGGCAATACTCTAAAGAGGGAACATTCTGTGGTTTCTATGGCATTGTCTTGTTACTTCAGGTGGCCTGTTGTACATAGATACCAATAGTTTTCAGAACTATCCTGGAGACTACAGGGGAGGTTTTGGTTTCTCCTAGAGTTTCTTTTGTGGCCAAACAGTTCCCAGGAAACAAGTATCTAGAAGGCTGGGGATGGAGGGGCAGTAAGCGTTTCGGGATGGGTCGGGACAGGATGGAACAGGATTGGGTCAGGTATTCTGGCACTCGGGAGTCACAGAATACTGAGTGTTACACAGCTCAGGTGGAAAGGTATCCTGGAGCTTGGGAGCCAAGGACCACCACAGGTTGCAGTAAGCTTAGCAGTTTACAGCCTTGCCTCAGAGAAAGGCTTCTCCGGTTGGCAGGACAGGGTCTTCCAGCTGGGGATGTATGCCTAGTGTAGCAGTTTTACTGGGTAGGAGGTTTCTCGGGCGAAGTTGCTACAGTTCAGTTCTGCTCCTGGACAGTTCAGTTCTGCTCCTGGAGAGCAGAGAGCAGAGGGAAGGTTTCCTGGGCAAGTGTTACAGCCCTGCTCTGCTCTGCCCAGGGTGGCCTCAGCTCGTCGCTGCAAAAGAAGATCTTCACCCAAAGCTCATCCGAAGGTGTTTATTGGAAGGAAGCAGCTGGACCAGCCAAGCTGAACATACACAGGGTTTATATAGGGATTCTTGGGGACGGGGAAGTTTTTCCAGGGTAGGGATTGGTCAGATTTCAATTCCTGAGTTTAGGATGGCTAGATCTACTGCTCAGGGATTGGTTAGTTTCCTGCACAGGATTAAGGTCAGATTTGGCTCTGGTTTCAGGGCCAAAGTGTGTTTCTTTCTCTGGTCCTTTTTAGCCTTTTGGCTCCAATTTTAGGGCCAGGGTGCATTTCTTTCATTGACTCAGATTCCAGGGACAAAGTGTGTTTCTTTGGCTCTGCTCAGGGTGTGTTTCTTTGACTGGTCCCTTTTCCCTACAGGGGCCTGGAGTTTCTTTGTGTTCAGTTTTGGCCCTAGACTGGGGAGGCCAGAGGATCTGCAGTTTCCTTGTGTCAGAAGCCTACGTGTCTTTTCTGTAGCCTGTCATGGCTGCTAAAGCAGAGGCTGAGTGAGGGTCTGGTCCCTACAATTTTAAAAGTGAAGCCTTTGAGGTTTTTTTTTTGTTTGTTTGTTTGTTTTTACCCCTTTCATTAGCCCTGCTCTAGGGAAAGGCTTCCCTAATGAAACAGCTCTGCTCCAGGCAGGAGAGGGTTTCCCCAGGTTCAGGGAAAAGCCCCCCCCCAAGTTACTCCAGTCCTCAGGGTGTGGAGTGTAACAACTCTATTTTGCCTCAATGGGGGAAGGTTTCCCTGCTCCGCTCTGCCCAGGGTCATCTCTGTTCCAGTGAAAGGTCTCACCCAAACCTCATTCAAGAGATTTATTGGGAGGGAAGAATCCAGGAGAGTGGCTGCCTCTGCCAGGTTGGCAGAGGACAGCCAGGCAGCCACAGCTGAACAGACACAGGGTTTATAAAGGGCATTTTAGGGGCAGAGTTTTGCCAGCGAGATTTCCAGGGTGGTGATTAGTCAGGTTTCAGTCCCTGAGCTCAGAATGGCTACATCTCGTGCTCAGGTTCAGGCTCATATTTGGTTCTGGTTTCAAGGCCAAAGTGTGTTTATTTCACTGGTGCTTTTTAGCCTTTTGTCTCTAATTTTAGGACCAGGGCATTTTTCTCTGGCTCCGATTCTCGGGACAAAGTGTGTTTCTTTGGCACTGGTCTCAGGGTCAGGGTGCATTTCTTTGGCTCTGGCCGCAGGGCCAAGTGTGTTTCTTTGGCTGGCCCTTTTCCCCTACAGTACACCTTCTCAAAGCGGTTTTAAAGTTATCCCTTAGAACCTGTTCCTGAGTTTAACCCTTAATGATTAAGAGGACTTGACTGCTCTTCCAGGGGCCAGCTAGGTTCGATTTCCAGTACCCACAAGGTGAATCACTACCGGCTGTAACCCCAGTTCAGATTTCAGAGGACCCAACGCCCTCCTCTGGCTTCCCCAAGCATTGCATGCAACTGGCGCACAGACAAATTCAGATAAAATACTCATTAAAAAACTTTATGGCAGACGCGCTTCCTCCCGGATTATCTCTCTACACTCCACAAAGCAAGTCCTTTGCCTTTGCAAAGCTGTAGCCCAGACATCGAGATGGCGGCGACGCGCAGCCACTCACTTCCGGATCGCTTAAAATGGCGGCGACGGTATGGGAGGGGCTGAAGGAATGAACGGATCGCTTAAAATGGCGGCGACGGTATGGGAGGGGCTGAAGGAATAAAGGGGGCGGGCCGGGCGGGGCCGCGCAGAGCACGCCGGGCCGCGCTTGGGTTGCCGGGAAGAGGTGGAGCGTGGCTGCGCCGGCGCGTCGAGCCAGAAGCAGCCGCCAGGATGGTGAGCGGGCGCGGGGGGGAGGGGCGCGGGGCCGGGGGTGGCGGGGGCGCCGGGGCCAGGCCGGGGGCCGCGGGCTGGCGTTGACGCGGGCCCGCCATCCTCAGGACGTCTTTCTCATGATCCGGCGCCACAAGACCACCATCTTCACGGACGCCAAGGAGTCGAGTACGGTGTTCGAGCTGAAGCGCATCGTCGAGGGCATCCTCAAGCGGCCGCCGGATGAGCAGCGGCTGTACAAGGTGCGACGAGCGGGCGTGGCGGTTGCGCGCGTGGGGGGCCAGGCATGACGCCCAACAAGGGGGTCTCGGATCATGCGGAGGGGCCGGCGGCATCGGGTCCCCGGCCAGCCGCCCCGCCCTGCCAGGCGGCCTTGCTCAACGGTTGGGGAAACTGAGGCCTCGGTGATCCTATGCAGCCGCAGGTCGTGGCAGAGCCAGGCTTTGAACCACAATGTGCTAGTCTTCGACCTGAGGGGAGTCCACCGGAATCCCATTGCCAGAGGGTGGGGTGGAACTCGATGAATGCCAGTGTGGTCTAGGAGATAGGTCAAGATCCCACCAGTGCTTCACCTAGGCAGTGTTTATCCCTGCCAATCTCCTAATGTTCTAGAACCACCTCTCATTCAAGCACACACCATTTTACTTGGAAAGCCAGCTCCAGTTTTCAGTAAGCCAGGGTGTGCAGTTGGAATCTTATGCCTTAAACTCGATTCAGGTTTCCCAGAAGCATGATGTCAGTCACCGAAGTGCATTGAGCTAATTCTGGCTGTAAACGTGAGCAGACCTTTTTCTCCAGATTAAAGTCTGGCTTTCTGTCTCTGAAGGGCTTTCTCTGATATCCACTGGGCTTTCCTTGAAAGACCCTTTTGCTATTCTAGGAACTATGTAGTGTTCCTAGTACTGCTTTCTAGACTTCTCTAAGTTACTGAAACTTCTGACTGCCCTGTGAGTTGGATATTCCAGCAATTCTCATTTTAAGGTGAAAGTTGATTTAAAAACAAACAAACAAACAAACTGACTAAAGGTCAGGGATGCAACTTTGTTGAGTGCTAACATATAACCTGCATGGAGCCCTACATTAGATCATCAGCCTGGAAAAACTTAGCAGTAACCCTGTTTGGGTGGAGGAGGATCACAGTTGAAGAGATCTTCTAAATAAATCCAACTACCTTTTTTAGTTAATTTGCCTTTGTGAGTTTTATTTGTGTGGTACGTGCCCACACAGCCCAGGTGCTTGTAGAGGCCAGAGACATTAGGTGAACTGGGGTTGGTGAGCCAGTCTATATGGGTGCTGGGAAATGAACTTGGGATTCTGTGCCGGAGCTTTTAACTGCTGTGAGCCATCACACGAGCCAGCTTTGGGAATTCTTGGCTGTAGCTCTGGAATGTGTGCTTTACTGATGCTGACATGCCATCCGGAAGGCTCTCTTGGGGACATGTCCCTTTTAGGACCTGTCCCCCAAACCTTCTTCTCTCTTCAGGATGACCAGCTCCTTGATGATGGAAAAACTCTGGGCGAGTGTGGCTTCACTAGCCAGACAGCAAGGCCGCAGGCCCCAGCCACAGTGGGCCTGGCCTTCCGAGCAGGTAAGATGACTAACCTGGATGGCAGCTAACAATCTAGTAATATCCAAAAAGGGATTTGGGGAGCCTGTAGTTGTTCTTCAAAGAACATGAGGTATTTTTTCCTTATTAAAAAGCAAAGCCTGGCAAGGCAGTGGTGGCACACTCCTTCAATCCCAGCACTCAGGAGGCAGAGTCAGGCAGATTTCTGTGAGTTTTGAGACCAGCCTGGTCTACAGAGCGAGTTCCAGGACAGCCTCCAAAACAATACACAGAAACCCTCTTTTAAAAACCAAAAAAAAAAAAAAAAGACTTTCAGGTTCCTAGTATCAGCCACAATTGGAAGATTTATTTTGATACTTGGCCCTATACTCTGCATCATCCCAGCAATTAAGAACATTGGCTCTTGAACAGGACCTGAGTTCAGTTCACAGTATCCACAACTCAGTCATCCATAATTCCAGTTCCAAAATACCCAATGCCTTTGGCACAAAGCCATATACACATACATGAAAATCTTTTGACAGGAAGTACTTAAAATTAACCTACTTATTTTATGTACATTAGTGTGAAGATGAGATCCCCTGGAACTGGAGTTAACAGACAGTTGTGAGCTACCATGTTGGTGCTGGGAATTGTATCCAGAAACCCTGCAAGAGAAGGCAGTGCTCTTATTCACCGAGCCGTCTCCCCAGCCCAAGAAGTTTTTTTTTTTAATCTTGAAAGAAAAATAACCAAAGGCAGGGAAAGCACAGATCTAATTGTAGTGGGTTTTTTGGGTTTAGCTTACTTTTTAGATTTTAACAAGTAAATCTTTTTTTTTTTTTTTGGTTTTTACGAGACAGGGTTTCTCTGTATTGTTTCGGAGGCTATCGGTCCAGCCCGGCCTCGAACTCACAGAGATCCGCCTGCCTATGCCTCCCAAGTGCTGGGATTAAAAGTGCACCACCGCCCAGCTTAACAAGTAAATCTTAGGGAGTTATACCCTCATATAGCCAGTTACCACTCGTGCCACCCAGCCTGGAGTTCCCAGGACCTGCTGCAAGTATCTCATATTATGAGAATCTTTCTGATAAAACTGCAAGTGAAGTGACACTGAGGCACTTGTAGGGCTGGTGAATATCCACAGACCAGATGTCAAGTGAGGTTTCCTTTTGCATGGGCTTGTGGGGGTGAAAACAACTCTTCTGCTTCTTAAGGTTGTGTTTTCTCTCACCCTTTTTCTCCAAGCAGACCCTACTACCCTGGAGTACCATAGTCCTAGAAGACACTGATAGTCCTATTTTATAGTTATATCAAAGCTAAGGGAAGTGACTTTTTTTTTCAAGACAGGGTTTCTCTGTATTTTGGAGGCTGTCCTGCAACTCACTTTGTAGACCAGGCTGGCCTCAAACTCGCAGAGATCCGCCTGCCTCTGCCTCCCGTGTGCTGGGATTAAAGGCGTGCGCCACCAGTTACTTTTTTTGTTTGTTTGTTTTTACGGGTGTTTTGGAGGCTATCGGTCCAGCCTGGCCTCGAACTCACAGAGATCCGCCTGCCTCTGCCTCCCGAGTACTGGGATTAAAGGCGTGCGCCACCGCCGCCCGGTGACTTATTTTTATAATGACCCCTGATATGGCATTGGATGTGGAGTGACTCTGGACACCTAGTACTCCTCCAGCAGATGGATGTTGTGGTAGGATGTTCAGGGTTGCTGTTTCCTTCACAAATTTGTAAAAGCACTTCTAGAAACAGCTGACAGCATTAGGTTTTTGGACCTAATTAGTTGTCATCCTTCCCTCCGTTATTCAAGTGTCCATGCCAAATGATAAAGCAAGCTTCTCCCTAAAGCTAACAGCTATTAGGGAGGTTTTGTTAAATCAGTAACTATCTCCCCTCCCCAAACAGGGTTTCTCTGTACAACCCTGGCTGTCCTCAAGTTCAGCCCACCTCTACCTCTGCTGGGATTGAAGGTGTATGCAACCACCTTAGCACTACTGGCATTTTGTGACCAGGATGGTTAATTGTGTGTGCTGCTCTTACAGAACACCTGGGTCCGAGCACTCACATGCCAGCTTGTCAGACATGCATGGACGCCCCCATAAATTGAAAATTGAGAGGCAGCTCAAAAGTTTGTAGATGGGTGTAATCCATGGAGGACAGGTGTGTGGTGTCAATTCCTTTGTTTTTGTACTGAGTCAACAGTGGGTACTGAAATAGGGCTAAGAAATTGAGAGTATTACTTTGCCTGACAGGCATGAAGCTGAGAGTCTGATCCCCAGCACTGCATTTTTTGTTTATGAGACAGGGTTTCTCTATTGTTTTGGAAGCTGTCGGTCCAGCCTGGCCTCGAACTCAGAGAGATCCGCCTACCGCCTACCACACTCTGCCTGGATTAAAGGCGTGTGTCACCAACGCCCGGCCCCCAGCACTGCATTTAACAACAAAACAAACAATAAAAACAGGCAGGTGTGATATGCCTGTATAATCCCAGCACTTAAATCTGGAGAGTTCAGTGTTATCCTTGGCTACATTAGCAAGTTTGAGGTCAGTCTGAGGCTCGTGACCCTGTTGTCAGATCCCCTGAAAACTGGTTCAGGCAGTGGATGAGTTGCCATGTCCCAGGTCCTCTGCAAGAGCAACATGCACTTTTTTTTCTTTTGAGTCAGGGTTTATGTTAGTAGCCCGGGCTGTCCTGGAGCTCACTCTGTAGATTAGGCTAGCCTTGAACTACTACTATCTCCCATGCGCTACCATGCCTGATATCCTCTCACACCCATTATTATGTGTTGTGCATGTATATTATGGTTAGAGTATGGAGTATAATGATGAACAGAACAAAGTTCTGAGATTATCAATCACTTGGTTTTTGGTATCAAAGGAATTGAGATGCTGGTAGAGCAATTTGGGGACAGAAGGTGCATGCATCCTGGTTACATTGGTTGATTAGAACATCTAGTGCTAAAATTAGGGACAGAAGACCGTCCTTCCAAGTGAAAGGAAAACACTGGGCATCTCTCAAGCTCTACTTCCTTCCACAGATGATGCCTTTGAAGCCCTGCGCATTGAGCCCTTTTCCAGCCCTCCAGAGCTTCCAGATGTGATGAAGCCACAGGATTCTGGAGGCAGTGCCAATGAACAAGCTGTGCAGTGAGGGCCCTGGGCCCACCCCTTTAGATACATACTTCCTCAATAAAAGATTTGGATGCTGACTGCTTTCTCTCTGTTCTTACTTACCCAAGTCCTAATACCCAGTCAGAGTCAGGCAGTGGTGGCCCACACCTTTAGTCCCAGCACTCAGGAGGCAGAGGCAGGTGGATCTGAGTTTGAGACCAGCCTGGTCTACAAGAGCTAGTTCCAGGACAGTCTCCAAAGCTCTTAAAAAGGACAGACCCCGTCCCACCCACTTACTGTCTCTTACCCCCCCCCCCCCGTTGTGTCTGTCTCCCCGCTTTTGTGCTTGCTATAACTATGGTTAACGTGCTTTTTCATGGTTTGTCTGTATAGCGCCAGTCCCAGTTCTGTGCTTGTGTTTCTCCTATTGCCTCCTTTTTTTTTTTTGGTTTTTTCGAGACAGGGTTTCTCTGTAGCTTTGGAGGCTGTCCTGGAACTCACTTTGTAGACCAGGCTGGCCTCGAACTCACAGAGATCCACCTGCCTCTGCCTCCTGAGTGCTGGGATTAAAGGCGTGCACCACCAACGCCCGGCTTCCTCTCCTAATTTCTAATCTTAAGCAAAATAACAGAAAGTATGCACACTTGCTCTTACCCAGAACTCAAACTGTAATAAAATTAGTCCTTTTTTCTTCTGAGTTTCCATTCTATACACATTGTATTTCCTTTCATGTTTTAGTTTAGTATTTGCTAGGACATGCAATAATGTTGATTGAAAGCCTGTATGAGCAGGTAATCACACACCTGTAACACCACCACTGGGGAAGCCTAAGAACAAGATGGACTTAGTAGAAGGAAGTCATGGGGTAAGCAAGAAGACTCGCCACGTGTGACAACCTGGAGACCACTTGGAGGAAGGAGAGAAAGGACTCCAAAGAGTTCTCCTTTGGCTTTCACATGTGCTCCTCTGCATGGACATCCCACTACCGTCTCAGTTACTTTTCTATTGCTATGATAAATCACAAGGCTAAGGCATTTTGTAATGAAAGCACTTAATTTGGGACTTCAGAGTCCAAGACCATGATGGTTGGGAGCACGGTCAGGCACGGCACTGAGCAGTAGCTGAGAGACATCCTGAGACTAAACTACCAGGCAGAGATAGATGTACACGCGCGGAGGATGGCGCGGGCTTTTAAAATCTCAAAGCCCAGTCAGCAGTGGTGGTGCACGCCTTTAGTCCAGCACTCTTTTTTTTTTGGGGTTTTACGAGTCAGGGTTTCTCTGTATTGTTTTGGAGGCTGTCGGTCCAGCCTGGCCTCAAACTCCCAGAGATCTGCCTGCCTGTCTCCCGAGTGCTGGGATTAAAGGCGTGCAGCACCACCACCCGGCTAGTCCCAGCACTCTTAAAACAGAGGTAGTTGGATTTCTGTGAGTTTGAGGTCAGCTTGGTCTACAGAGTGAGTTCCAGGGAAGGTTCCAAAGCTATACAGAGAAACCCTGTCTCAAAAAGAAAAAGAAATCCAGTCGGGTGACAGACAAGACCAAATTGCATTTCTCATTTTTTATTTGACAGAAAAATTTTGCTGTACAGATTTTAAAAAACCAAAATGCCTTAAGAAACATGAAAGTTGGGGGGAGGGTATCACAACCTCACTAAGGGGGGTACAGTAACTCCTTCAAATCAACTCCTTCCAAGAACACAAGACTTACCAAGTCTTAAAACATCAGTCTCCCCCAGGAACTTGAGGTGGAACAGCTCCCTAGATGTCCTCAACTGTGCCCCTCTCTCCCCAAACTCACACTCCCTCCCACTCCAACCCCCCAAACACATGAACCAGGAAAAACTCACAGAGATCAACATTTCACAGGAACAAAAAAAGGGGGGAAGCCCTCCCCTCAAGATGCTGCCAAGATTCAAGGGAAGGCAAGACTCCTTCCATGATTCTTCTGGGAAAAAAAATGAAGAATACTCATGTTCCAGATTATGGAGACCTGCAAAAGAGAAGACCGGTCAATGCACCATTCCATATACCCCACCCCCAGTATCAACTCTCAGAAAGGCCAGGTTTCCAAGGAGACATACCTGGAGGAGCGGTGGCGATTAGGTCGGGGACTGGGTGTCTCCTTCCTGCGCTTGTGTCCAGGAGAACGGCTGTCCCCTCGCTGGCCTCTCCAGGAAACCCGCTCACTGCTACAAGATAACAGAAATTAGGTGCCAGAACAGTATCAATGAGCCTATTTTTTGTTTACAAATTAATGGTGGCTAGATGAGCCAGGTTGATACACCTGTTATGTGCCCTACCTCTGTTGATCCCTTGGTGAGGGCTGGGGCGAGGGCTGGTGCCGCTCCACAGGTGAGTAACTGAGGGATCGGGAATCCCGAAGGGAGTCTATTGGCTTTCGAGGGCTGCGTGACCTAGAGAGCAGAGTAGACCTCTATAGCACCGCATCCTCCCAAACCCACCAGCCAAGCATTCAGGACCACCCACCCAGGTCCTGACCACCAAACCTCACACCACACAGGGCCAGCCTCAGACCCACCTTTGTCCGCACTCACCCATCCGCCCGCACACCATCCACCGAGTGCCCCCAGTGGACAGGGCACAGGGTGCAGCGGGGGATGCAAAGATAATATTTGAGTCCCTGCCCTTGGAGTTTTGTTTGGTAGTGAAGGAGGTCAACAATGAAGGCACACATGCCCCCTACATAGGAAACAGGCCAGTGAGGATGGATATGCATGGGCCTGGGGATCCCGAGCAAGGATGGGGACCTGGGCAGGGCAGGGAAATGGCAAGGCAGTCTTCTCGGAGGTGCTGTTTGAGTGCAGTCTTGCAGAACGAGTTCACCAGGCAGACAAGGAAATCCCAGGCAGAAGGAACAGCATGTCCAAAGGCATGGGGCTCTCCTTAGACTGCAAGGCGCTGGGTATGGCCGGAGCACAGGGCATGTGTGGGGGCGGGCAGGAGGAGCACAGGGCGGGCAAGGGCAGCTGGTGAAGAGCCTCACACGCCATTCCCGCAGAGGTGGCACTTTATCCTGCAGGCCACAGGGCGTCCCGGAAGGATTTGTGGAGTGAAGGGAAGTAACCAGATGTGCGTTTTAGAAAGATCCCTCTGGCTACGTGTGGAAGAGAATGGCGTGGAGGCAGGGAGACAGGGAGGAGGCTGTGGACAGAGTCGGGAGAAGATGACGGTGGCCAGACCAGAGCCCTGCAGCAGCAATGGGGAGACTTAGAGCTAGAATCTCTGAGACCAGGCTGCTTGTCAGGGGAGGGGAGAGGGAAGAAGAATCCTACGACTTCCCAGTTCTGGCCTGGGCCCTCAGTTGAATAGTGCAGCCCTTGACCAGAACACAACACTGTGGGAAGATGGGAGGAGTGTCGGACTCCTCCTGTACAACCAGATGCAGACGTCCACACTAGGCACCCCAGCAGGAACCTCACCCAGGGTCCCTTTTCTGGAGAGCTCACCCCCAACCCCCTTTCCACAACAGGCAAGGAAGCACTCACCTCCTCTCGCCAGGGGGTGGCTTCTTGGGGCTTGCAGGTTTGGGTAATGCCTGAGGGCCAGGCTTAGCCGGGGAAGGGGAGGAGGAAGAGGAAGAAGAGGAGGAAGAGGAGGAAGAGGAAGAGGAGGAAGAAGAGGAGGAGGAGGAGGAGGAGGAAGAGGAAGAGGAGGAGGAGGAGGAGGAGCTGGAACTGGAGCTGCTAGAGCGCCTCTTCCGTTTGGCTGGGGTTGGCTCCTGAGGACGTCCTTCACGAACAGCCTCCTTTGGGGCTGGGGTGGGGCTGGGGACCCTGTGAGAGAAGAAAAGTGTCACAAGAAGAGGCCCCAGCCCCAACCCTACCTTCCTTGGCCTGGAGGAACGGCAGTGGGGGAGGGGTGCCTGAAAGGCCCTGGGAACACACGAAGGCAGGCCAGTAAGCACTTCTCTGGAGCAGTGGCACAGAGCTGACCAAACCTCTGCTAACACAAGCAACAGGCTGGGGCCCGAAGCACAAGGGATCAAGGTTAAACCTCAAGAATGTCCCTGAAGGATTAAGGCCCCTGGACTCAGATGTGGAAGCTGAAGCTGGGTGGTCTCCTTCCTTGGAGAGCCGCAGCTTGGGAAGGCCCCTGTGAGTGCAGGTTGGCTGGGGAGGGGCCGTCCTGCCTGGAGGCAGGGAGAGGGATGGGATGACCTCTGAAGATCCTTCCAGCCCAGGGAGTTCCTCTTGAGGTCTAACTGCCATCCCTCCTGCTGTAAAATTAAGTCCATTTCCTCTAGTTCTGTCCTCTGTAGAGATGGAAAACTTATCATTATCCTCTTGAGAATTAACCTTCGGAGACTGTTATCTGTCCCATTCCTCCCCACAAAACCCCCACCCAGCATTCTTTCTATTCCCAACTTGAAGGTCAAGGTCCCCCATACTTTCTCAAAGTCAAGTACTTGTGACAAGATTTCTCCCTCCCTCCCAACTTCCCCACCCATTGTAAATACCTTCCCCCTAGATTCCTTTACTCCCTCACCTTTTCAGTGCCACCTCAGGTTGAGCAGGAAGGCTGGAGCCCTCAGAGTCGCTAGAACTGGAGCCAGAGGAAGAGGATGATGATGAAGATGATGATGAGGAAGAGGAGGAGCTAGATGATGATGAAGAGGAGGAAGAGCTCCGACGTTCCTTTGTTGGTTGCAAAGCAGCCAATGCAGAAGGCTGCTGGGCCCCAGTAGAGGCTGGTGGTTCCCCACCTTCAGCATGGGGCGCCCCAGGGGTAGGGCCAGAAAGCATGCCATTGTGGTCACTAGCAGAGGATGTGGACTTTGCTACAGTCCCAGATGAAAGGGACTGAGACCCAGCTACAGGAGTGGTCTGGGCAATTGAACGAGATTGGTCTGAAAAAGCAGATGGCACAGGGGACCGAGGCCTATCCTGTGCTGGAGGGAGAAGAGATTGTGAAGGAGCCTGGACCATTCTTGAAGCAGGGGAAGGAGCCCGCTCAGAGGTCATTCTAGACTGGCTTGGGGCAGATGGTGGTGTTCTGGATCTGGCTCGGTCAAGCAATAATGGTGAGGTTCTGCCACTGACACGCTCATAAGCAGAAAGGGGCACCCTGGGGCTGGTGAGATTTGCACCAGACAATGCTGGAGCCATCCTGGCACTGGAGAGATTTGAGGGAGCCAAGGCTGCAGAGGTTCTAGAGCCACCAATATTCACAGGAGCTGTGCCATGTGCAGATCGAGGACCCACCAGGTTTGCAGGAGTAGGAGCCTGGGGTGTTCTGGAACTGGAGGGATAATTTGCAGCAGTCGGGGGTGTCCCAGAGCCTGTGAGACTCAAAGCTGCCAACGCAGCTGGTGTTCTAGCTCCTGCTAGGTTCACAGCTGTAGCTGCAGGGGCTCTAGGATCAGCAAGATTCACAGCTGAAGGAGCCACTGCTGTTCTAGGGCTAGCCAAGTTCATAGCTGCTGCCGCAGCTGGTGTTCTTGAGTCAGCAAGGTTCACTGATGCCGGAATAGCAGATGTCCTGGCACTGGCAAGGTTCATGGCTGCTGCAGATGCTGCTGGAATCCTGCTAGCAAGGTTTGCAGCTGGGGCTGTTCTGAGGCTCATGAGAGGTACAGGAGCTGGAACCTGGGACATTCTTGCAGCAAGACCAGCAGCAGACATAGATGGAGGTGGCCGGGCAGTGCCAAGACTGATAGCTGTCAGAGCAAGTGCAATTCTAGACTGAGCATGGTTTTCTGGAACAGATGTTCTTGGATGATCAGGAATCCGGGGACCTGGACCATCCATCATGGAGCCACCAGTTTGCTGTAGCACAGACATGGGTGTTCTAGCACTTCCAAGAGGTTCAAGCATTCCAGGTGATCTACATCGATCAAGAGGAGTTGGTGACATGCTAGGACGACTGAAGCAACTCATTCTAGAGCTACTGAGTGCTACAGGAGGCGTACGAGATCCAGAATGATTCCTTGTTGCTGGAGGAGTGGCAGAACGTGACCGATCAGAACTACTTCCAGAAGCAGACCGCCTACGGATGGCTGGAGGAGATCTTGTTATGGACCGCTTGCCTCGAGTTGCTCTAGGAGTACGAGACCTAGAACGGCGACGGATAGCAAGTGGTGAGCGACTTCGAGAGCGTTTGCGTGGCAACAGTGGTGTCCGAGACCTGGAACGTCTACGAATAACTGGAGGAGTTCGGGACCTGGAGCGCCGGCGTGTCACTGGAGAGGTTCGAGAACGAGAGCGCCTCCGGGTGACTGGAGATGTGCGAGATCGAGATCTTCTACGTGTGACTGGGGACGTCCTGGATCTGGATCTTCTTCGAGTAATTGGTGAAGTTCTGCTTCGAGATCGCCTCCGGGTTACTGGTGGAGTCCTAGATCTGGACCTTCTGCGAGTCACTGGAGGAGTCCTAGAACGAGAGCGACGGCGTGTTGTTGGTGTTCTGGACCTTGAACGACGGCGAGTTACTGGAGGTGTTCTGGACCTGGATCGCCTACGACTCACTGGGGATGCTCTTGATCGAGATCTACGCCTATTCACTGACCTTGACCGTCTCCTACTCACAGGCGAGGTCCGAGATCTGGACCTGCGTCGGCTGATCAGGGGTGTTCTGGACCTGGATCGCCGATGAGTAGCTGGTGAGGCTCGAGATCTAGAGCGCTTCCACGGGGCTGGTGATGTACGTGATCGAGATCGCTTCCGACTGGTCAAAGGTGTCCGAGATCGGCCTCTTCTGCGTCTAGATGAAGTTCGGGAACTCTCCTGTCTGGTAGGTGATCTTGAATGGTAACCAGAGCCACCCCTCCGCCTACGAGTGACACGAGACCTAGACCGGCTCCTCTGGCGTCGTCTTGATGTTGACTGAGATGATCCAGACCGATCTCGGCGTCGGGTTGTTCTGGTTTTCTCTCTACGTGAGCGGGATCGGGACCTCTGGAGTCCACGAGGTTTTGGTGAAGGAGATCGGCCTCTCCTTGAAGTTGTCTTGGTACGGGATGATGAAGCTGAGCGACGCCTCCGTGAAGACCTTGACTTTTCGGTTGGCTCTGGCGAAGATACTGAAGGACTTCTTCGACGTCTTGGTGGAGTTCTGGAGCGGGTTTCTGGTGATGAGGAGGCAGAGCGGCTTCTTCGAGAGGCTCTAGCCTTCCTGGTTAGCTCGGGAGATGATCGAGAACTCCGACGTCTAGGTGGTGTGCGAGACTTTGTCTTTGGTTCCATTGAGGACCTAGAGCCTCTTCGAGCAGTTCTGGATTTGGGTGGATGTTCTGGAGAAGACTCAGAACTACTGCTTCCTTCAGGTGACGGGCCTCTGTCTTTGCTTGACGAACCTGACCTACTACGTCTGGGCAGGGCCCTAGAGGCAGGTATTTTGTGTTCAGGAGAAGAATCAGTACCACTCTGAGCCCTCTGCAGCCCTCTTGGCTTATCTTTCATTTCAGGAGATGAACCAGACCTACTGAGCCGGGGAGAGGGTCGAGATTTGCTGTCAACCTCTGGAGATGATCCAGAGTGACTCCTCTGTCTAAGAGGGGTTCGAGTCTTAGGTTTAGAATCTGGAGAAGAGTCTGATTCACTTCTTTCCTGAGGTGATGCACTCGGTTTTCCATCAATCTCTTGGGAAGACCCAGATCGACTTCTTTGCCCAGGAGAGGTTCTAGCTCCAGTTTTCTGTTCTACTGAGGATTCTGACCCACTTCTTTCTCTCTGAGGGGTGGCACTTTTGTTGTTGAGCTCTGGGGATGATGGAGGGCTTTGTGCTCTTGGAGTCTGAGGCAATGCTTTTGATTCAGGTGAAGAGTCACATTCACTTTGTCCCCTGGATGGGGTTTGAGGTGTATCTTTGATCCCAGGAGACGAACCGGATAAGCTACGCCTAGAAGGACTCCCAGACCCATCTCTAAGTCCTGGAGAAGACCCAGACCGGCTTCTCCTAGATGGAGTTCTGGGCAAACCATCTTTCAGTTCAGGTGAAGATGCAGAACTACTTCTTTCTCTTGAAGGTGTTCTGTGTACAGTCTCAAGTGTAGGAGAAGACACACTCTGATTTGAAAATATTCCTACTTTTTCCACTACTTCTGGAGATAACTCAGAACTGCTGCGCCTGGAGGACATCGCTGATTGTTCTTTCATGTCCAGAGAGGGATCGGTCTCTGCTTGATTAAGGAATGGACCATTCAATTCTTCTTTAACTTCAGGAGAAAATCCAGCATTTACTTCTGAAATAGGGCCTGAGTTTCTAAACTCTAAAGATGACTCAAAGCTATTCTCCCCAGGGGGAGAATGAGATAGTTCTTTATGTTCTGGAGATATTTGTAGTCCACCCCAACATGAAGCCACTGCAGGGATTTCTGCTGCTTTAGAAGAGGGCTGTGCCTGGCTTTGGTCAAGAGCAGACAATACAGCAGGCCTTTCTATTTCAGGAGATGACTCAATGTTACTTCCAGGCATTTCTTTATGTTCTGGAGATAAACTGTGTAGAACTTGACTTAAAGGTTGCTCAGATTTTTCTTCCATTAATTCTTCTTGGCTTGAATTAGGTAATAAACTATGTTGGTCTCTTGTAGCTGGAGGTGACCCAGCACCACTTCTTTCCTTTAATAGTACTCTAGGTGTGTCTTTCAGTACTGTAGAGGATTCAGGCCTATCTTGTATAGGTAAAGATGATGGTACAGTAACATCCTCTTGAATTAACCCTAGTTTCTCTTTCAATTCAGAAGGCTCCAATCTGCTCTGTAGCAAAAGAGATTTAGACTCTATTGAAGGATATAGGTTAGAGTCAGGTTTAGTCTTACTCTGCTCAGGAGACAATCCTGATTGCAGCTTTGGATCTGTTGGTAATTCACATTTATCTTGTTTAACTGGTGATCTGAGGACCAGCTCAGTGACTGGAGATGAAGATCTGGAAGGGCCACCCTTAGGAGATGTCTGAGCCTGCCTCATTTCTGGACTTGAAGTATCAGACCTGGGATCTGGCCAAATTTGAGACTGTCCTTTCTGCTGCACAAATGAAGAGCCAAAACAGCTCTCTCCTGGTAATGTACTAAGTGTTACACCTGGACAGAGGGAAAAGGATCCAGAACTTTCTGTTGGTGAATCTTTAGACTTCTCCTGGGGACAGGGTGACTTTGATGCAGAGAAATTTTGCTCTGGAGGAGTCTGGAGCATGCTTTTTGGGTATGGTGATGCAGACCCTGAGTGACTGTGTCTCAGTGGTGTTCCTGGCTCCACTTTAGTATCTGGTGAGGAGGATCTAGAGCGACTACGTCTTGGCAACAATCCAGAATCCATCTTGGAGCAGGGAGACACTGATCTGCTTTGCCTCTGAGGCGTTCCAGATGTCACTCTAGAAGGACTTGGAGAAGAGGAGCCAGAATGGCTTCGTCTTGGTGATACTACTGTCTTCATTTTGGGTTGTGGAGATGATGACCTACATGGGCTCTGCCTTAGAGGTGTGCTAGATTTCACTCGAGGAGAAGACCCAGAGCAGCTTTGTCTTGAAGGGGTCCTGGATTTCACCTCATCATCAGGTGATGATTCTGAACGGCTCTGTCTTTGTGGTGTTGCAGAGTGTTCATCGACGTGTATGTTTGTTACAGACCCTGATCTTGGTGGTGTTCCAGACTTTACTTTGGGCTGAGGAGATGAACTTGAATGACTCAGTCTTGGTGATGTTTTTGACTTCTGTTTAGGTGGCGAAGAACCAGAACGGCTTCTCCTTGGTGGTGTCTGAGACTTTTGTTTAGGACATGGAGAGGAACCTGAAAGACTTCGCCTCAAAGATTTTGCTTTGGATCTTGGTGAAGAAAGAGACCTGCTCCGTCTTGAGGAAATGTGAGATTTTTTCATTTCCAGGCTTGAGTTAGATCTGCTCCTCCTCTGAGATGTTCTAGATTTGTTCTTCCTGTCTGATGATGAGCCAGATCGTCCTCTTCTTTGTGGTGTTCTAGAGTGAGATCTTCCACGTCTTCCTAGACTTCTGCTGCGAGATCTTCGTCGTGCTGGTGTTCTAGAGCGTGACCTGCCACTTCTCCTGGCTGGTGTTCTAGAGCGTGACCTGCCACTTCTCCTGGCTGGTGTTCTAGAGCGCGACCTGCCACTTCTCCTGGCTGGTGTTCTAGAGCGCGACCTGCCACTTCTCCTGGCTGGTGTTCTAGAATGTGACCTGCCACTTCTCCTGGCTGGGGATCTACTTCGGGACCTCCTTCGAACTGGTGATCGGGTCCTAGATCTACGCCTAGCAGGTGTTCTAGACCGAGATCTGCCCCGGCGAGTTGGTGTTCTAGACCGAGACCTACGCCTGGCAGGTGTTCTGGATCGTGATCTGCGTCTAGCAGGTGTTCTAGAACGAGACCTACCCCTTCTAACTGGTGTCCTAGAACGCGATCTGCCCCTAGTGGCTGGAGATCTAGAGTGTGACCTGCCTCGCCTTGCTGACCTAGACCTGCCTCTTCTCTGGGTATTTCTACTCCTGGACCAGCCTGGCCTCTGAGGAGATCTAGACCGGCCACGCCTCTGGGGGCTTCTAGATTTTCCCCACCTCTGTGCAGACCGTGACCTACGCCACTGAGGGGAACGGGATCTAGAATGACCTCTCTTGGTGGGGGTTCTAGATCGAGATCGTCCTCTCTTAGTGGCAGGACTACGGGATCTCCCCGCTTTATGAGATGGGGTATGAGAATGAGATTTATCCCGCTTTGCTCGACCATGTGAACGATTCTTAGATGTGGGTGAAGAAGAAATCTCTCGGCGGGCCCCAGGAGCTGGAGTAGGTTTAAGACTTTCAGGAGAGGAGCTGGCATGCCGAGAAACTTTGGTAGGCTGAGGGGATGGTGGACAGCTCTCTGAGGAAGACGATTGGGGAGGTTTCTCAGGAGATTTAGGTGGTGAACAACCCCGGGTTGGGGAGGCCTCAGATGAGGGGTTAACTGGCTCCTGACTGGATGGGATTGCTGCAAGGGGTCGTGGGGAGTCGTCATGCTGCTCAACAAGGAGCGGAGTAGGGGCAGGTAGTTCTGGCCCTGTGCTGCTCCTTTCCGGAGAGGGACTAGGTCGAACTGCAGATTTCTAAGAGTGAAAGAGAAAGTAAGGATAGTGATAAACACCAAATCTCCATTATCATCCATAAGACCCCAAAAGTTTCTAACAAAACTTTCCTCTATAGATCTTAGACCAATTGACCCTTTCCCTACCCAAAGAGACAGCATGATAGCCTCCTGGGCAGCAAACCATGGGACCCTTGTGAAAGAAAGAGAAAACCTACTCCTCTGAGTATGCACCCACCACATGCACATACAGTAAATAAATGCATTTTTAAAATTAAGAAAATAAAGCACTAGTAGGAAAAAAACCTGACTATATGGACAATCTCTGACCTCAAGTCAGAGAAAAGACAAATTGAAAACAACACACTATCATTACCAACAAATACCATCAGTGTCCTGAGAAAAGGAAGTTTTTTCTTTTCAAGAGAAGTCTGGCACAGTGTGAAGGAGATACATGTGAACACTACCACCCACCCCCCAAAAAGGTATGCTTCAATGGAAAGAGAATGCAGTTTGTGACAATAACTTTACCCTCAAACATGAACTAAATTAAGTTAAAACAGCATAAAGAGGGCAAAGCTTTGAGAGTGCAATTTGTCTTGGTATCATGGAGCATGTTTTTAATCCCAGCAACAGAGGCAAATGGAGCTTTGTGAGTTCCAGGACAGCCTGGACTACATAGTGAGCTGCAGTACAGCCAGGGTTAAATAAGTAAATAAATGGTTGACCAAGTGAGATAGCAGTTGTCACATAAGTCTGGTAACCAGAGCTCAATCCCCAGAACCCATATATAGGTACAGACAGACAACAGAATCCACAAGTTGTTCTCTGACTTTCAAACATACATGTGAACTCATACTTTCCTTCCCCTAATCACAGCACACAGCAAAATTAATTCATTAATATCTCACTGGAATAGGCCAAAGGAGGAGGCCAAACTATAAACACTTTAAATATAACTTTAAGCCAGAAGAAAGAACCATGGAACTAGATTAGAGGGTATAAAACTGGAACTACCAAAAACACCACTCCTTAATATTTTCAGGTTGGAGGCATCAAATCAAAGGTTTGAAAAATTTAGTGAGTGATGACAAGCACACATAAAGGAAACAGACATTGTAAATAAAAAAGTTAAAGCAATTTCTTAAAAAAAACTTTTTGTTCCATTGTACTGATATAAACAAATCACTAATATAAAATCTACTAATCCATTGAAGTTTCATTGTGAAGGTTTCACATTTAGTGGGTCAACTGGAGGTATATAACAGGATTTAGTAAACTAAAACAGGAATACAGAAATAGAAACTCAAATATTTCTCAGAAGTTGCTTATAAAATGTCCATCATGCAGCACTAAGTCTGCCCACTGTTCTGAGTTTCAGAGAACTCTTCTTTTCTCTCATTTTGTATCTCCTTTGAATACTCATGCTTGTTTTTACACTATTCCAATCTTTGTTTCTCTGAAACAAGCCCCCCACCACACACACACACACTGCCTTCTATAGCTTATTACCAAGCTCCATACATAAACATGACCATAACGCAGAAGGGCAAGATTTTCTCTTAATAAGACACCCTACACTACTTGCCATACTTGTCCTTTTTTTTTTAAACATTTACTTATTTGTTATATATACACAGTGTTCTGCCTGCATGTATGCCTGCAGGTCAGAAGAGTGCACCAGGTCTCATTACAGATGGTTGTTGAGCTATCATGTGGTTGCTGGGAATTGAACTCCGGACCTCTGGAAGAGCAGCCAGTGCTCTTAACCTCTGAGCCATCTCTCCAGCCCCCCCCATACTTGTCCTTTTAAGGCAGATCCCGGAGTAAAAACCCTGCAAACCCAGTGAATCAACTCAGAACATACCTCCTTCTTATCTTTGTCTTCAAACAGACTGCTAGACTGCTTTGTGGAAGGGTCTGGGCTACTAGGCTGCTGTATGTTGGTGGCACCTGGTTCACTAGAAGGTGCATCTCCCTCCCCTTGATGCCCTGAAGCAAGGGGACTTTGCCCAGTCAAGGCCGTTGTATGAATTTTAGCAGCAGCACTTCGAGACCTGTGAGTTGATGGAGGGCAGGGGAGAGCAGAGAAATCAACTCAAGGGAGAATAAAAAACCCCCTCCACCCCCAGTTTGCAATCCACTTTCGTACATGTACAACCCTCTCTGGGGAAAAAAAAAAACACCTTGGTCACAGGACTCAAATCATTTTCAAAAATGCAAATGCAACCCTTGTTTTGTTCCATCTCTTCCCAATATAATCCCAAATAATATATACCCCTCTACCCCATTATTCACCACCCTCCAACATACCCGAACCTTCCACCCAGGCCCTTCCCTACCCACTTCATTCACAACTCACCTCTGAGCCCACCTCCTTCTGGAAGCCTTCCCCGATTAAGGAAGCCAGGGTAAGGACTCCTTCCTCCCCCAGACACCAAACCAGCAAACCACCCCCGCCCTATTCTGGTAGTCCATATACATCATAACAAACAAAAATAAAATAAAAATAAAAAAAGACAAGGGGAAATGTATATATGTCTGTCCATCCTGTTGCTTTAGCCTGTCAGCTCCTAGAGGGCAGGGACCGTGTCTTCGGAATGGTCTGTGCAGCGCCTAGCACACCGTGGGCGCTCAATAAATATTAAATTGATTAACCCATCATTCCCTCTCCCTCCATTTCTCCTGGACTACCCCTTACCGACTACGAGAAGTATCAGAGGAAGAAGCAGAGTCAGCAGAAGTTGACCGATGGGCTCGGCGGCTCTTAGGAGCTGGTGTTGTACTTCGAGACCTGAAGAAAGACCACCACAAAGTCAGAGGAGACTGTCATACCTATTCTGAAGTCTCCAATCTCTTTTTAAAAACAAAGAAAATCAGGACTTGGGAGGCAGAGGCAGGCCAATCTCTTCCAGTTGAGGCCAGCCTGATCTACAGAGTTCCAAGATGCTCAGGATTACATAAAAAGACCATGTCTCAAAAATATACCAAACAAAAAAACACATTACATGTTTGACTACATATGTATGCAGAAGGAAGTCACAAGACAATTTGTATGTTGGTCCCAGAGATAAAATTCTGGTGTTTTTAGAGTTGGTAGAAAGGGCCTCTTACTTGTTGAGTCATAACACCCACTCAGTTTTAGTCTGAGTTTCCCCCTTTCACACACTCCTCTCTCTCAATCCTTTACTGCCGGTCGATGACAAAACTGATTTCAATCCCTCTTCCCAAGTGAGGCATTTATCTATTTCTTGCAAATACACTTACCGCTTCCTCTTCTTGTCCTTTGATTTACGTTTGCTCTTTGGAGTAGGAGACCTGGAAAATAAGGAAATGATGTCTAAAAAGATTTTTAAAATGTTAATAAAATCTGAAGTAAAATGAAAACATAACTGCCAAGTTTTATTGATTAACAGTTAAAGGACTAGCACTACTAATAGAAAAAGGGGGGGACACACAACTACTACAAGTTAAATACAGAGTAGCTCACGACTCCCAACATGTCACTATGTCTCCCCCAAGAACCAACAAGCTTTCTTACCTGTGTTTCCTTTTCTTGGATTCAGATTCTGATCTGTTGTGGTGGGGGAGGGAGGGAGGGAGGGAGGGAGAGAGAGAGAGAGAGAGAGAGAGAGAGAGAGAGAGAGAGAGAGAGAGAGAGAGAGAGAGAGAGAGAGAGAGAGAGATCATTAAACCACACTTAACTCTTCAAGAGCTGCTTCCAATCACCACCAGAGGTTCATCTCTTCCAAAGGTCCTGGGTTCTATTCCCAGCAACCACATGGTAGCTCGCAACCATCTATAGTGGGATCCTATGCCTTCTTCTACATAAAGTTGTACATGCAGATAGAGCACTCACACACATTAAAACAAAAACAATAAAGATCTTCCATCTTAGCCAGGGTACGGTAGTAGTACATGCCTTTAATCTCAGCAGAGGTAGCCAGATCTGAGACAGAAGCCAACCTGGTGTACATAGTGCCTTTCAGGACAGTCAAGGCTATTCAGAGACCATCTTTAGAAAAAGAAGGGGGGCTGGAGAGATGGATCAGAGGTAAAGAGCACTGGCTGGTCTTCCAGAGGTCCTGAGTTCAATTCCCAGCAACCACATGGTGGCTCACAAACATCTGTAATGAGATCTGGTACCCTCTTCTGGCATGTAGGCAGAGCACAGCATAAATAAATATAATCTTAAAAACAAAACGAAACAAACAAAAAACTTTCTAGCCGGGTCGTGGTGGGGCACACGCCTTTAATTCCAGCACTCGGGAGGCAGAGGCAGGCAGATCTCTGTGAGTTTGAAACCAGCCTGGTCTATAAGAACTGTTCCAGGACAGCCTCTAAAGCCACAAAGAAATCCTGTCTCGAAAAACAAAACAAAACAAAAACCTTTTCCACCTCATACCTGTGTTTCTTCTTCTTTGAGCTCTTCTTCCTCTCACGTCGAGGAGAACTGCTCTCTGATCTCCTAAAATGGGTTCAGAAGCAAGTCATTTTATTTGGCTTCCTTTCTGACCCTCTAACCTGTAATTCTCAAAACTGCTTCAAAATCACCAAAAACAAACCCAACAGCATCAGTGGCCCACACCTTATTTACTTCTATATTCAATCAATAAACATAAAACTGAAATCTGAAATGATACTAGCTAGCTTGCTGGGCTACAGATTCAACCATTTCGCACTAGGCACACAGATTTCTCAGCTGAAACCTGAAAAAGCAACTCTGTCTGTCCCCTTCAACTGTTTCCCAATTTGGATTCTCAACTTCTAGAGGTCCAGCAACAAGCAAACTCAACTTCTAGAGGTCCAGCAACAAGAAAGGTTCCTCTGGATATTAGAGTAACTTTCCAACTGACTTACCGTCCTCTATCTTTCTTCTTTTTCTTCTTCTTTTGCTTTGGAGTTGGTGATCGAGAACTGCTCGTATCTCGAACAAGGCTGGAAAAGGCAAAGAGACTCTAGGTGGCAGGACAAATTTCCTTAAAACATTTTACCCTAATGAATATACTTGCTACAGCTCACTGATGATTGTTTCACCTTAGGACAATTTTTTTGTGTGAAAGCTTCAGAATTAAAGGATGTAAATTTGCTGAGTGTTGGTAGTGCACTGGGGAGGCAGGAGCAGGCAGATCTCTTTGAGTTCGAGGCCAGCTGGTCTAACAGAATGAGTTCCAGGACCGCCAGGGCTAGAGAAACACTGTCTTGAAAAACAAAACAAAAAGATGTAAATTTAAAAGTGGTTGTGTATCTAGGTCCTAGGCTGTCTCTCTGTGTGTGAGAAAGAGTGAGACTGTGTGTGTGTGTGTGTGTGTGTGTGTGTGTGTGTGTGTGTGTGTGTGTGTGTATGTGTGAGAGAGAGAGAGAGAGAGAGAGATTGTATTTTGAGTTTTGAGGCAGGCCTCACTATACAGCCCTCCCTGAGTGTCCTGGAATTACCTATGTAGAGCAAATTAGCCTCAACACACCGAGATTCTCTTGCCTCTGCCTCCCAAGTATTGAGATTAAAGGTGTATGTCACATCTGGTTTCATTAAATTGTTTTGAGACAGGGCCTTCTTACTATGTAGCTAGCCCTGGCTGGCCTCAAAATCAGAGATCTGCCTATTATCTGCATGAAGTGGTAGGATAAAAGGTGTGTACCACCACACATCCTTAATTATTTAAAAGAATAAAAACAGGGGCTAGAGAAATACGTCAGCAGTTAAGAACCTTTGCTTCTCTCCAGCGGACCTTGGGTTCCTTTCCGAGCACCAAGGCAAACTCTCAACCGTAACTCTACCACCAGGGGATCTAATGCCTCTTCTGGCCTCCAGAGGCACCAAGTACACAGCACAAAAACATAAATACAGGCAGAACAACCATACACACAAAAATAAATAAATATCTGACCTAAAGACAACACAATCTAAGAACTCTGGAAAGGCATAGTGGCATACACCTTTAATCTCAGCACTGAAATGGTAGAGGAAGGCAGCCAGCCACGAGTTCCAGGACAGCCAGAGCTACATAGTGAGACCCTATCTCAGACCAAAATAAAAATAACAACAATTTAGAAGTAGTCTATTAGTAATAACAATACTTTTAACAAGGAAGAAGATCCAGGCTTGAGTACCTGTATGGTTTGGGGGGCTCAGGAACTGCTTGCTTAGCTTCTCGAGCACGTCTCTGAGGATCAAAAGAACTGCCATCCACATAGGAATCACTGATGCCAAAGGCAGCACGGAGTCTCTCATTCTTCTTCTCATTCAGTTCTGCCAACTGATGAGTTTCAGTTACCCTGGAGAGGGGGAAAAGGCCAAAATCTGAAGGAGACATATAGGGAACAAGTAAGAGATCTAATTATAAATATGAGTCTAACAGCTGTGGACTAAGGAAAGGGAAAGAAAAAAAACCCAGTCCCAGGTCCTTTTTAGAAAAGGACAGCCATAGCTATAATAACATAGACTCCAAAGAACAAAGAGAAAATAAAAAAAGCACTTACATTGGCCTCTGCCCTGGGGTTTCTTCCTTGCCCCCAGGGTTCACATCCTTCTCCAGCAACATGAGTCGGAAAGTCGCCACTTTCTCCTGAATCTGCTGTTCCTCGTACCTGAAGGATAAATCCCTTCACGGTTAGAGCTCGATAGGGGTTTTCCCAAGTCCCAATTTATAATTGCTTCCTTTTCCAACAGGGTCCTTTTACCTTCTCCATTCGCACAGTACTTGTCACTCAAAAGTTCCGTAAGTTTTCCTATCTTTCCCCTCGACTCTCCTTCCTTTTCTACACTATTCTCTCTAGAACAGTGGGTTTTAAGCATGCTATAATTCAGGGGCCAAGAGAGGACAGTTTGCTTGCTGGCAGAGTTACCAGTGCTACTCTCCCAACTTCAACACGAATAGATCTTTTATTTCCTGGGACTTCAATGAAAGCATAATGTATAAAAGGATACCAATGCTCAAGTATGAAAGCCACTGCTCTAAACGGGTTTCTACCTAAATGTGTTCCCTTTTCCAAATTTTCACTCTCTGCCAAGCTCATGATATCCTCTATTCAAATACTCTTTCAGTTCCGATCTTCTGCCTTTGCCACCTTCCACAGCCGAAATCCCTTAAATCTACCTACCTTTCTCTTCCTTCCAATAACAACACCTGTCAGGTTACCCTGATCTTCTGCCTGATGCTACTTTCCTATACAGCACATTTTTGGCCCCCTTCCCCTTCATAAATTCAGCTAAATAATTCAGACCCCCTTAGCTATCACTGCTCCAAACAGTTTCCTTGACATCCCACTATGCACTGACCCATGACTCTTCTTGATTCTTCAAGCTCATTCTTTCTCCCTTACAACTCCTTACTAGGACTCTTTCAACCTTAGAAGCTCTAGTTTCTTTCCACACTTCCCACCTAACACCCAACTAAGCACTCACTCAGTGCTTGGCTTCTCCCCACCCATTCCCTCACCCCTGCTCTTCCATCATCTCCTCCAGCTCGAGGCATCGCAGCTCCACGCGCCGCTTGCGCTCGTGGTCCAGGATGTCAGGATTAGGCCGCTTCACCAAGGCAGCCTCCAGGCGCCGCAGTTCCTCCTCTCCCTTGTAGTCAGGCCGCTCACCACGGCGGCCCCGCACCAGGGACAAGTTGCGCTGGACGTAGCCGTTGGTGCCGCTGCCCCGGGGCGTCGGCAGCCCGATCCCGTTGTACATGGCCCTGTGCCCAGGGGGGCACCACCGCTCCTGAGGGGGAGCGGGGAGACACCAGTCAGGCTCCTGGCCCCAATCTAACTACTTACCACATCCCTGGCTCTCTTATCCTTTAGTTCAATACTTAAGTCTCACACTGAATCTCCATTAGTAAAAGGATATTTCCTCATTCCACTAGCCTGCAAACAAAACCCTCCCTTTATCCTCCCCACACTTCATCCTTTCCACTAAATCACCATCTACTTTTAAACCTTTTCTCACAATGTACTTTCACCAAATTCTAAACCATTCTTTGTACTTTTTTTTCTTTCTACACCCTAAGCAAACAAGAATCCAGTTTGTCTCAAATCTCTCCACACTATCCCTTTTTAACTTCTTTAGCCACACAATACACACAAATGGTGTCTTTAAACACCCTGAATGTAACTATTGGTAACCAAGTCCTCAAAATGGCACAACAAACATCATAGATCAATCAGAAGCACCTAAAGCCTACAGTCCATTTTCAAAGACTCCTCCAAGAGAATATATATTTAGGCTAACTTAAAGAAATGGATTAAACAGTCTTGGATATCTAAATAGGTAAACTGGCTAATTAACATAAACCAAACATCCTATGCAGTCCCATACCCAAACTACTGGCAAGCAGGATCAGAAACAGAGGAACCGTGGATACACAAGCTTATACTTCACATGGGGAAGGTGAGCCATCTCTTTGATTCCAAATATTCCTACCAACTACAGTGATTTTATTATTTTAGTTTCCTTCCTAGTAAGGTTTACCACGTGGCTTGCAGCTCCTCCAAGTCTGGCTAGCTCTTGTTAAATATTGCCTGTTTTTTAACTTGATAGTCTAAACACATCAAACCATTTTTCTCTGTTCCAACTGTTCCCATGCTTTACCGTATCTAGAAACCTTCAAATCCTTATCTTTATTGTAAAACTGTTGACTTTCCCTTTCAATCTCTGTTCTGGCACTTCATTTTTTTCCCCTCAAAGTTCTCTTCAATTTAACCTTTTCTTTTTCATCTTGTTCCAACCTCAGCATGACTAAGAACCCCCAAGCTCCAGTTTTTTGGACTGCATTACTCATTCTCTATTCCTTTCTTGCTATATATACTTTATTTTTTTTCCTCCAACATGTTTTCTCCAAGACAGATTCTCAGAACATTAAAATGAAGCACACAACAGGGAAAAGTGAAGGTTAATAAAAGCAGATGGAAGAGATGGAGTTGGATAACTAGTATTATATCAATTCCTGAACAAAACAACACCTAACTGTAAAAAAAAAGAAATATAGGCAAATGTCAAATGTAAAGAAAATACCCACATATACTTTTGTTCCATCCCACCGTCAATCAAGCCTAGCTTTAGCCCTACTCAGTAACAGCTTTTAGAAAACTGAAAGAAAGAAGTCTATCAGGATCAAGAATGACAGATAAAACAATACAGAGAAACCCTGTCTCGTAAAACCAAAAAAAAAAAAAAAAAAAAAAAAAGAATGACAGATAAGGCTAAAATCTATAAAAAGCAAGTGTAAAATCAGAAAGCCACAGAAAAACCTTTTTGGAGCCAAGAAATCTGTTTCTGTAGTACCTTCCAACGATCATTCTTTTTTTTTTTAAAGACTGTTATTATGAATATTCTGCCTGCATTCATATCTGCATGTCAGAAGAGGGCGCCAGATCTTATTACAGATGGTTGTGAGCCACCATGTGGTTGCTGGAAATTGAACTGGTCCTCTGGAAGAATAGTTAGTGCTCTTAAACCTCTGAGCCATCTCTCCAGCCCCCAACAATCATTCTTAAAAGTCTAAGAATGCCAATCCTTCATCCCTTTAAATCTAAGGCTTATATTGCTTCATTTGTGTCCTTTGTGAAAGGATTTTTTCTTTTCCTTTAAAGATTTATTTCATTTATTATATATACAGTTTTCTGCCTGAATGTATGCCTGAACACCAGAAGATAGCATTAGATCTCATTATAGATAGCTGTAAGCCACTATGCGGTTGCTGGGGATTGAACTCAGGACCTCTGGGAGAGCAGCTCTTAACCACTGAGCCATCTCTCCAGCCTATGCAAAAGACTTCTAACAATCTTTCAACCTAACCATTTACCCACACTTCCACCACCATTTCACACACAAAAATCCTCCCACTCCCTCCCTACCTGAAGAAAGCTAAGTAGAATGTATTAAAAATCATGATTTTGGAGACCTTTCAGGGAAGAGAAAAAAAAAAACCCACCCAGCATCCAAAGTAGTGCTCAAGACACTAAAAGGGAAACCACAGCCACCAAAATCAGGCAGCACTTAAAACAGGAGCACAAAGTATGCAAGCCTTCCAAGAACAGAAAGAAACAAAGTTGCCAAGAGAAAATAATTATCAGAATGCTAAAATACAAAAGAGGTAAAAATTTAGAACTAAGTTATTCAAGGGGGGGGGAGGCACCCGAGAGAACAGCAATGAGCCCAGAAAAAAAGACAAAGAGTAAAATACGGACAACTCAGCGCTAAGACATTAACTGTCTAGGCACATGTGTAACACACGCAGTTCCAATATTAACCCAGGAAGAGACCTTACCTAAGCCCATCCAAAGGGGGAAAAAACAAGACCCCTTTTGAATCGTTGAGACAGCTTAAAAGAACTGCAAAATGGAAACAGCATAGGAAGAATTCATGCCAAGTAATGGCTGACACAAGTCAGGGTGCTTCAGTCCAGAATTGTCTTCCCATGGTAGTACACCCCTTAATCCCAGCACTTGGTAAAGAGAAGCAGGCAGATCTCCTAAGTTCCAGGCCAACCTTATCTATATAATGAGTTCCAGTCCAGCCAAGGCTATGCAGAAACCCTGTCTCATAGAACCAGAAGGTAAAAAAATAATAAATAGCAAGGAGCACATGGTCTTCCTTATACACGCAGACTGAAGACGTTCGTTGCCTTTTTTCTTTTTTTAAGATTGGGGGATACCCGACGCCGCCACCTCACACACACTCAACCTCAGCACTCTAAGGACGACGAACTCAAGTCCCGGCCTCCCGAAGTTCAAGACCTCCCAGCCGTCATTGGCCGCCGGGCCTATTTTCGGCTTGCGAATGGGGGAGGGGCCGCGCGGCGCCCCGCAGCCCGAGGCCCCGGCCGTTTCTCAGGCCCGCAGCAGGGGCAGGAGGGTCCACGCCCGGGCCAACGGGCTGGGATACCCGCAGGTCGGGCACAGGGGCGGGGCGCAGGTGCCCCCGGCTGCGGCCCCCTCCCCGCCACTCAGGACGGAAGAGGGCGGCCGCGGAACGAGGGTCTCCTCAGACCCAGGCGGAGCAAAGGCCAGAACCGGAGGCTCGCGCGCAGCTACCTCGTCGGGGCCGCGCGCACACGAGACCCGGCGGCGGCGCGCGCGCCGTTGCCATGTGGGGGAGGGGCGAGGGAGCGGAGGGCCGCGCGCGCCGGGAACCGCGGGAGGGGGGGGAGAAAAGGTAAGAGAAGGCGTCCGCGCCCGCGGAGGCGACGAGCACGCGTGCGCGAGGCGGCCTGGGCCGTTCTCCGCGCGCCTGGGCCTCGAGCCGAGGCCGCCGCCCCTCCCCCACCCCGCCAGCGCGCTCCCTTTCTCTCACCCGCCGCCGCCGCCCCCGGCCGCCGCCTCCGAAGGGGAGAGGTCCTGCCGCAGCTGCCGCTAAGGCCTTCGGATCCCTCGGGGTCTGAAGCCGCCGCCCCGCAGGTCCGCCCGCTTCTGCCGCCGCCGCCGCCGCCGCCGCCGCCGCGTCCGCTTCCTCAGGGGCCGCAGCGGGCTTCGACTGCGCCACTCGCACCCCGCCTGGACCGCGGTGCACGTCAGCACGACCGAGTGCGTCAGCACGCAATCACGAGAGGCGCTGGGCCCTCTGGGAGCCGTAGTGCGTTGTGCGCAGGCGTTGAAGGCACACGGGGGTAGGTAAAGGTTTTTTTAGGCCCTGAGGACGTTCGATAGCGAAGTCGAGAAACCCCGAGTCCCGTCGGGCACTGCGGGGGAAAAGCGAGGAAAGGCGAGGGCACCGTACCGAAGAGGCAACGTCTGCTGGAAATTATCTGTGGGGAGGGGGAGGGGCACGGGGCGGCTACCCACAATGCCGGAGACTGCCTCGGGCGCACGCCTTCCGCAGAGAGTTCTGGGAATTGTAGTTCAGTTGTAGAGAGAGCGTCGTAGAGCTCCTTCTCCAGGCAGTGTCGCCATTTTGTCGGCCTGTGTTGTGTGGCAATGGCTCAGCAACTCTGCCTCTTCCCTGTGACTGCGGGTTTCTTTAGCAATTCTCAGGCCACACAGCACCGAGCCTTCCGCTCTTAGGAGGAGTTGCTCTAGAGTCAAGTCTCCTAGCACCCCCTGGAACCACTTAAACCGGCTCTGGCCCAGGTTCTGAAGTTTTCACCATCTTAGACGAAGCTGAAATGGGGCGGGCAGGCCAATGAGAAATAGTTTCTCTTGCTTGGCGGTGGTGGAGCACACTTCTAATCCCAGCACGCGGGAGGCAGAGGCAGACTGATCTTTTAGTTCGAGGCCAGCCTACTCTACAGAACGAGCTTCAGGACTACCCAAGGCACAGGGTTGTCTCAAAAGGAAAATTCCCTTACCTTTGGGTATCGAGACTAGATAAGCGATTTCACCGTAGAATCTGTGCTGTGAGTGAAGGAATGTGTCAGGAATAACCTAAGATTTTATCTCTTCTGTGCTGTTTCCTGTGCCGTTTCCTGTGCCTTGTAGTGCGGTACTGGGAATTGATCCAGGGTCTTCATATGTGCCAGGAAGGGCTCTACCACTGCGCTGTACTCCTGGCCTATTTCCTACTTATGTATTAAAAATCATGTGTATACATGTTTGTCTGTTCAGGGTATGTGCTCATTAGTGCAGTTCCTGTGGGGGTTAGAGGCTTTGAGGGCTTCTGAGCCACCTGAGGTGCTAGACCCGAACTTAGTTCCTCTGCATGAAAAGTACAAAGTCTTACTGAGCCATCTCTCCAGCCCACCCCCATTCATTTTTTTTAAAAGTCCTTTTTTCTAGGGCTATTAAAAGATGGTCTTCCACGAAGCAGAGCTATAGGAAGCTGGCCTTGTAGCCTTTAAGCTAATGTCTGATGGCCTTAGCAGATGTAATACCAAGTTGTCTGCAGTCTTGATATTGTTTCTTTTTAATTTACCAACAAAAGGATATACTCAGGTTCCAGAATTCCAAGACTGTGAGATGTACCACATTAGAGTTCACATTTCTCTGCTCTAGAATCGTGCTAACTCTGTTTCCTTGAAGTTCCCAGCACTGCTAGACTTCCATAAGCTGGGCATTAACCTTTGGAGTTAATATGGCAAGGTATTTCCGGTTGAAAGAAAGGTTGGTGGTTTCTTTAGACGTCATATCACTCACTTCTAGGGAGACCTTTCCTATAAGCTAAATTCCTATCCATCTAAATTCCTCCTATTTTGTGCCACATTTTATACAGAATTGTTTACAAGAACCCCTTGAGGAAAATGTTTTTCCATGACAACAGTGAATTCCTTTTCATGTCCATAGTGCAATTTTCAAAATCAAAGTAACATTGAAAGCTGGGCATGCATGTCTGTACTCCCAGGACTCATGAGATTGAGACAGGCAGATCCCTGTGAGTTCCAGGCCAGTCTGGAACAGATGGCAAGACCCTTCTCAACAACAAGAATGCAGGGCTAACAAGACCAGCTCAACTGGGGAAGGAACTTAACCTAACATATATGGTGGAAAGACAAAAGTACTTGTGCAAGTGGTCCTCTGACTTCCCACTGTGTAGTATGGTATCACCCCAGCCCCCCAAACACATGCACAAAATAAATGAATAAATAAAAGCTGAATGTAATATACAAACAATGCTACAATCTATAGACCTTATTGAGACATTGTTATTTGTTATGACAACATCTTTTATAACAACAACAAAATTCAAAAGTGTTCTGGTCCCAGGGTGGGAGTTATTCAGATGTGGCAGACAGCAGGGTCTTTAAAAGTTGAGGCCTAGACATTTGTTTGTAGTTTCACTTTAGTAATTCCCACATTTAGGAGGCGCTCGAACTCCATGAGCTCAAAGCCAGGGTGGGCTACATGGTCAATTCCAGATCAGCTTGGGCTATAGAATTAGAAATTTTATTTGCTGAGCCGGGCGTTGGTGGAGCATGCCTTTAATCCCAGCACTCGGGAGGCAGAGGCAGGCGGATCTCTGCGAGTTCGAGACCAGCCTGGACTACCAAGCGAGTTTCAGGACAGCCCCCAAAAGCCACAGAGAAACCCTGTCTCGAAAAAACCAAAAAAAAAAAAAAAAAAAAAGACAGGGTTTCTCTGTATTGTTTTGGAGGCTGTCCTGGAACTCACTCTGTAGACTAGGCTGGCCTCAATCTCACACAAATCCACCTGCCTCTACCTCCTGAGTGCTGGGATTAAAGGAATGGGCTACCACCAAGCTGTATTTTCATCTTGAAGAACACAGATCATCAAGTAAGCAAAAACAAGCATTTATTAGTAATACAAGAGTCCTTTCAGTCCCCACTAGCAGAATATGAATGGGCCTGTTTGTCTACAGCTTCTCCAATAGAGGGAGTTGTGATACTTTTGAATTTTTGTTTCTGTGTTAAATAATAAAAGGTATTTCAGTATAGGTTCTTCATAGTAAAATATACAGAAAAGAGAATTTATCATCTTAATTATATAATTCAGTGTTATTAAATATATTCACGCCAGGTGTTGGTGGCTCACACATTTAATCCCAGCACTCGGGAGGCAGAGGCAGGTGGATCTCTGTAAATTCAAGGCCAGCCTGGACTACAGAGTGAATTCCAGGACAACCTCCAAAACAATACAGAGAAACCCTGTCTCAAAAAAGAAAAAAAGAGCATTTGCTGATTCTCCAGAGACCCAGTTTATTTCCTCATAATTACCTGTAACTTTACCTCTAGGAGATCCAACATGCGCGTGCGCGCACACACACAAACAAACACACACACACACACACACACATGAATGAGTGATAAAAATCTTAAGAGTAGATGTGTTTGTTCAATACCTTTAATCACAGTATTCTGGAGACAGACAGATCCCTGTGAATTCAAGGCCAGCCTGGCTATAAAGAGTGTTCTAGACCAACCAGGGATACAGAGAGGGACCCTGTCTCAAAAAACAAAAATCTTAATAAGAAAAAAATACCTCCAGGACCAGCAATATTGCTCAACAGGTAAAGATGCTTGCTATTTAACAAGGCAATCTGAGTTCACTCTCTAGGACCCACACGGTAGCAATAAATAAAAAGTAACCAATACACACTGCCCCCCTCCCCACCCTCAGAACTTCTAGCTACAATCAATCATGAATTTGCTAGCCATGGGTACCTCAGATGAGCAGGACAATGCAAACATGTGCCTGGCTTATTTCAGTTATGACATTTTAAAGATTCTTACATGTCACAGCATATGTCAGATTTTACTTTTAATGACTAAAAAGCAGGAAGACAGAATGTCAGAGAGTATTTGTATTGCTTCTGCCTTGTAACTGTAGTGAATGATGCCACTATAATCATTTAGATGCAAATTCTTGCTTTATTTTCTGATTCACTTTCTCACTAACCCTGGCTGTTCTTGAGCTCACTCTGTAGACAGGCTGGTCTGGACTTCACAGAGATCCATCTGCCTCTGCCTCTTGAGTGCTGGGATTAAAGGCGTGCGCCACTCTGCATGCAAGTTTTTGTCAGGATATATTTTTGTCAATTTGGCTTTTTTTAATTTTTTTTTTTTAGGGAGTTATTTTTAGGCAGAGTCTTACTATCTAGTTCAGGCTTGCCTTAAAAAAACTCACAACAGCTGGGTGTTGTGGCGCACACCTTTAATCCCAGCACTCGGGAGGCAGAGGCAGGCAGTTCTCTGTGAGTTCGAGGCCAGCCTGGTCTACAAAAAGCTAGTTCCAGGACAGCCTCCAAAGCCACAGAGAAACCCTGACTCAAAAAAAAAAAAAAAAAAAAAACTCACAACAATCCTCCTGCCTCAGTCTTCCTCAAATCTTGGGATTACAGTGTGTGATACTACATTTGCTATGTTTTTTTGTTTCTTATACCTAAGAGGAGAATTGTTGGCTCCATGATAATTGTTATTTATTTAGGGGGGTATATCTAGCTATCCTGGGACTTGTTTTTGTAGACCAGGTTGGCTTCAAACTCAGAGATTCACCTGCCTCTGCCTCCTGAGTGCTGGGATGAAAGGCGTGTGCCACACCTCCTGGCTGTTTTTGTGTTTTTTATAGTAGCTATTCTAGTAGGTATAAATGATATAATTCTCCCCCCCCCATCTCCTCTCTCTCCATTCCTCAGGGTGAGCGTCAAACCCAGGGCCATGTATGTACCAGGCACTTGAGTGTTCTCCTGAGCCACCTCCCCAGCCTGTGATCCGATATGTTTTGATTTTAAGATGCCTTCATTTTATTATGAGTGTTTTCCTACATGTATATCAGTGCACGGTGTGTGTGCCAGGTACCCTAGGAGGCCAGAAGAAAGCTTTGAATCCTAATGTCTAGGAACCAAAATGTGGGTGATGGGGGAAACCTGGGCCTCTCTGGGAGAACAGCAAGTATTCTAAACGGCTGAGCCACCTCTTCATGATAACTTTGATTGGCAGTCCCCAGTGACTAATGAAATGAAACATGCTACATATGATGATTGAAGATTTTCTTACTTTCTCTGGAGAAAAATGTATTCAAGCCCTTTGTCCTCCCTTGTGGCAGGTGTGCTGGAGGCTGAGCCCAGGACCTCGTGCATACATGTGCTCTATTATTGAACAGTGTTCCACGACCTCTTTGTCACTTTCTTTTTTTTTTTTTTTTTTTTTTTTTTTTTTTGGTTTTTCGAGACAGGGTTTCTCTGTAGCTTTGGAGGCTGTCCTGGAACTCACTTTGTAGACCAGGCTGGCCTCGAACTCACAGAGATCTGCCTGCCTCTGCCTTCTGAGTGCTGGGATTAAAGATGTGCGCCACCAATGCCCGGCCCTGTCACTTTTCTTTTTCGTTCTACAAAGAGGAGAGATTGGTGGGAAGGCTTGCTTTGTTTCTAAGCCTGACCTCCTGAGTTTGATCCCTAGGACCCACATGGTGGATGGAGAGAGCCAACTGACATAGAATGTCATCTGACCTCCTCACAAGCACTGTAGCACAGGCACACACCCACACACACGCAATGCAAATACACAATAATAAAAAAGTTTGTTTTAGATGTGATACATCACCTCCCATCCTACTTGGAGAGATAATAACATCATGGAGGAGACAGACAGCTATCCCTTAGCTTGTCTCTTGCTCTCGGCTACCACGGTCCACGGCCACACTGGCCCCAAGTGATGGCTTCCTCTCCAGCCTTCAAAATGGTTTTTTCAATTTTCATTTGAAAAATTATGTCATGCAGTACAGCAGTTTGAACAGTCTTGCTCAAAATGTCATGTCCACCCAGACATGCAGTCTGGTTTGAGATAATAGGCTTTGCAGATATAATTAAGAAAATATACATAATGTATATAAACATATGTAATTAAGAGTCTTGAGAAGACATCATGAATTTAGGTCAGACCTTAAATCCAGTGACTTTACAAAAAACAAAATGTCTCTACAAAAGTAAAAGGGGAGGCTGGGAAACAGCTCAGTCAGTAAAATGTTTGCTATGCAAACATGAGGACCGGAGTTCAATCCTCAAAACCCATGTAAAAAGTAAAAAGCCAGACATGGTGGTGCCCACTTGTAATTTCAGCAGTCGGGAAGGTAAAGACAGGTGGCTACCTGGGGCTTAATGACCAGCAGCTTAGCCCAATCAGCAAGCTTCAGGTCCCAGTGAGATCCTCAGAAACAAGCAGGGCAGACAACAAGGCTCAGTGGGTAACCACAACCGCTAACAAACATTATGATCTGAGTTCAGTTTCCAGGACACGTGTAGTAGAAGAGAGGACCTGACTCCTACTAATTGGCTCTGACTCCACATGTCTTGTACATATACATGTTTTGTATATACATACGAAATAAATAAGTGCAATAAAAAAACACAAGGTGGCAGCACTCGGGAGGTAGAGGCAGGTGAATCTCTGAGTTTGAGACCAGCCTGGTCTACAGAGTGAGTTTCAGGACAGCCAGGACTATACAGAGAAACCTTGTCGCAAAACACCGCATAAACAAAACAAACACAAGGTGGATGACATCTGAGGAATGGTACCCAAAACTGACCTTGGGCAGGCCTCCACATGTGTTTGAACATGTATGTGCACATACATACCACATCTTTATAAGTCTGAGAACAAAAACAAGCAGGGAAGTAAGACATGGTAGCACATACCTGTCAACTGTCTGCCGGGCTCTGTCCTCTCCTTTTCCTTACTTATAGACCCAAGTCACTCTATAGTGTGTGGGAGGACAATGATCTGAAACGTGGTTGCATTAACTTTCCTAGAGAGACAGAAACAAAGTTCTCTTGCCCCAGATAGGCACCAATGACAGGCCAAAGGAGCAACTCTACCAAAGTCCAATCTGGTGAACCGGTTTGTTTATTGGGCTATTTTACAGAGTATGGATGAGGGGTTTCTCATGGGAGCATGGGTAACCCTAAAACAGTTTAATAACAGGAATATCTCACCCCAGCATTGATGATGACTTCCAAACTGCATAGATGAAGTTCTTTACCGCAGTTAACCTTCCAGTCTACACATTCTGCCTTCTGAAACAAGGAAACCACACACAGCTGGGTCAAAATTATAAACAGCTGACAGATGCCAGGTAGTGGCGGTGCACATGTTTAATCCCAGCACTTGAAATATAGAGGCAGGCATATTTGAGTTCGGGGACAGCCTGGTCTACAGAGTGAATTCTAGGACAGCAAGGGTTACATGAAGAAACCCTATCTTGAACAACAACAAACAAACCAGCTGACAGGAAGGTATAGGAGGGACAGACTGACATCTTAGGTAAGGGGCTGATGACCCTCTACACCCACTCTTTCTGTGAGGGAGTATCAGTAGGTACAATCTTTGAGGGTCTCTGGGGAACTGTCATAGCTGCTCTGATCAAGGTGCCAATAGTGTCGGGCATGGTGGCGCACGCCTTTACTTGTAACACTTGGGAGGTAGAGGCAGGTGGATCTCTATGAATTCAAGGCCGGCCTGGTCTACATGATGAATTCCAAGCCATCCAATGCTATATAATGAGACTGTGTCTCAAAAACTAAATGAATAGGGGCTGCAGGGATGGCTCAGCAGTTAAGAGCATGTACTATTCTTCCAGAGAACCAGCATTTGATTCTCAGTAACAACTTACTGTAATACTAGCTCCTGGGGGATCCAACTCCTCTGGCCTGTGTGGGCATCTGCATTCCTGTGCCCATACACACTGATAAAAGTAATTATTTAGCCTGATGGTGGTGGCACACACCTTTAATCCCAGCACTCGGGAGGCAGAGGCAGGCAAATCTGAGTTTGAGGCCAGCCTGGTCCTCAGAGTAAGTTCCAGGACAGCCAAGGCTACACAGAAAAACCCTGTCTGGTGAAAAAAGAAAAAGAAAAAAGAGGTTCAGGAGGGCATGGTGGTGTATGCCTTAGTACCAGCACTCGGGAGGCAGAGGCAGGTGGATCTCTGTGAGTTCAAGACCATCCTGATCTACAGATGGAGTTCCAGGTCAATCAGGAGTACATAGAGAAAACCTGCTTCGAAAACAAATCAAAATAAAAGGATGACAATGGCTGTTATGCTCGGAGAACAGTGTTCTACAAATGGGGAACGGGTAACTGCCAGGCCTGTTCCTGCACCTTGCAAGGGATGTAACATGTAAGGTTGTCTGGTCAGGCTGGTCATGGCCCCCCCACTGGATGCAGGCTGATTTTCAGAGCTGTTGGCTCCTGTGGCTTAGCATCCAGTGTGGCTGCCTTTGGCAGGGCAGGACAAAGTAGAGACTCCATTCACTCTGACAGTTTCTCTCTCTCTCTCTCTCTCTCTCTCTCTCTCTCTCTCTCTCTCTCTCTCTCTCTCTCTCTCTCCCTCCCTCTCTCTCCCTCATTTTTTTCCCCAGACAGGGTTTCTCTGCGTAGCCTTGGCTGTCCTGGAACTCACAGAGATCCTCCTGTCCCTGCCTCCAGAGTGCTGGGATTAAAGATTAAAGGCGTGCGCCACCACCTCCCAGCGTCACTCTGACAATTTCTTGAGTCTTGGAAACTAACTCTGGCATACTTTTCTGCTCAGTGGGAAGTAAAAAGCCCACTCCATGTGTGTACAAGCCTGCTCTTCCTGGATGGGCTCACCCTGGTGACATTGCAGTGGGATGTGGGAATGCTGGATTCCTGTTCCAGGCAGCTGGCTGGCACAGTGACAACTCACCTCAGAGGTCCTTTCCATGCGACCCCCGGGAAGGGACCCCCGACCCGCGGGGGTGAGGTGATGAGGGTCGCTACTAATTTAGTGGGCCTTCACGAGCAGATCCGATCTGGAAAGTGAACTTCAAGAGGTTAATGGAAACAGGCTCAAGACAACGTTCGCTGATCAAGAGCCTTTATTTTTTGGGGCGCGCTGGAACTTATAGAGGAAGGACCTCAGGGGGTGGTACAAGCATGTCAATCAAGTCTCAATTCAAATATACACCAAATACGGTAAAGACAAAGCTGTAATTTTCCATCAGTCATTAGTTGCATTCCACAAATGCTTGTCGGCGTAAGTCAGGTGCAAGAATTAGGGAAGGATAGGAAGTGTACAGCAGAACACTATAATTTTGTTAACAAAGACAATTGCTCTGTAAGGGTATTTCCCCCTGGCTAGGCGGGTGGGCTGCCCTGTGTAAATTTAACTTTAATGGTTAGCCTTTTCCTTTGTCTCAAGGGCATGTGTGCTCGCAGTCACGTAGGCGGAAGGCCAAGAAACGGTTGACAGACTCCATTTTGTTCAAGGTTCTAGCAGTCCCCAACATTTCCACACCTTGGATTGGCTACGGAAGATCTTGTCCCACAGGGCCAATCTCCAGGAAGTATCCTTCTCTTGCCTGACCTTCCCAGAATGTTCAATTCTCCCCCTTCCCCCTCGATTTTCCAGGCCTGATGGATTCCAACGGAGAACAGTGTCTAGTGCCACTGCTGCCCCGCCCCCTCCTCCTGGAAACCCAGGCAGGCTCCACAGCTGCCTCCCTGCGGGCCCCAAGGAGGACTCAAGGACCAATGGTGCCTACCAGAGCAGGGTGGCCCAAGGCTTCTAAACAGCCAGCCTCGGCGCAAGGAACAAAGGCACAGCGATTCTCCCTGCCTGTGAGCCACCACCGAAGGGGAACGTCAAGCTGCAGGTTCCCGAGTCCTTCACAACCGATTGTTTTGTTTCTTGAGACTGCCAAAGATGCCCTGGTGCTCAATAGAAGTCCAGACTGGCCTCTCACTCCTCCTGCCTTGGCCTCGAAAGTGCTAGAATTACAGGTATGAGCCACCATACGAGGGGAACACTGTGACAAGCCATACTGCAAAGGAGGAAACAGAAATAAAAACGTGGGGGAGGGGAGGTAAAATACTGTAGCCTTGACTTTTCCTTACAAAATAAGGCTGATATTGCTTCTTTTTTGTTTTCACTTTTTGGATTTTGTTTTAGACAGGGTCTCATTAAGCCAAGGGTAAGTGTTAATGCTTTACCACTACACTGTATCCCAAACGCTTTATATTTTTTGACACAGAATTTCATGCAGCCCAGACTAGCTTCCAACTTGCTATGTCATGGGAGGGGGCCTTGATCATCCTCTCTCAACCCATTAAATGCTGGGATTACAGGCACACACCTGTTAGATCCCAAAGAAATTCAGGACAAATGACAAAGGTACCTATTGACATATCCGCAGCATCCAGCTGGATGTTATGAAAAAGCTCCAGGGGAACCTTGGTGGATTCCACGGCAGGCGAGGGGCGGGGCACAAACGTGTCAGGTAGATAGAAAGGGAAAGGGGCGGGGTGGGGGGAAGGAAAGAGAAAAGAGGTAAAGAGACACAGAGACATGACAGAAGAGGAGAGAGGAAAAGGCCTGTCTGCCACAGGAGAGCAGAGGAAAGAGCAGAAAAGAGAGTGTAGGTGGGCAGGGGTCTTTCTTTTAAAGGGTCCTTTGCACCTGTGTGCAGACTAGTAGTTGTGGACCCCTGGGCTGACCAGGGTACTGCCTGAGTGCATTCTGCCAGGTGTGGGCAGTCCAGCATAATGCCTGAATCCTCACACTGGCTACACAGCTCTCTCAGCGTAGCAGGTACTTGTTGCAGAAGCCTGGCTCCTCCTCACCCCCACCCTCTCTCAACTCTCCAGCCTTGAGCTCCCCTTTCCTATATAGCCCAGCCGTATTGGCCAAGCGCTCTCTTGGCCTCTTGGTTCTTCTCCCTCTCCTGATCCCCTCTCCTTCACTCCCCTCACTCTTCTCTTCCTCTTCCACTCCACTCCTACCCCCATCTCATGGCCTGGTTCAGTTTGGACCCTTCCAGAGGCTTCTGGCTGTACTCTCCCTCTTAAGTGAAAACTTCCTGGACCATACCTAGGAGTGGTCAGGTTCTTATTTTCACTCACACCACCATGTCTAGACTGCTAGATTCTCTGTGTAATAGTTCAAGCTGTCCTAGAACTCACCTGCCAGGCCTTTTTTATGTTTGCTTTTCAAGATAGGGTTTCCCTGTGTAGCTTTGGAGGTTGTCCTGGAACTAGCTCTTGTAGATCAGGCTGGTCTCAAACTCACAGAGATCTGCCTGCCTTTGCTTCCCAAGTGCTGGGATTAAAGGGGTGCGCCACCACCACCTGGTTAAATACTCTTTTTTTTTTTTTCTTGGAAACCCTGTCTTACTCTGTTACCCTTACTGGGCTACATCTCTATGTAGAGGGATGAGAAAAAGAAATAAAAAGGAAGGAAAGAACATGACTGCTCCTAGGTATGGTGGAAGAGAAAGTTTATTGTAGACATTGGGAGAGAGCATAGGTAGAGGCAGGGACATCTGGGAGAGTCCAGAGTGGACATGACCAGACTGAGATGCGCCATGTGGGATTGAAGGAGGGGAAGAGAGAAGGGAGAGAGGGGAACCAGGTGCAGCAGTCATAAGGCCCAAAGATATAAGCACAGTGTGGGTAACCAAAATGTCTGGATTGTGTAGGCAAGAGCCTCTGGCGGGTGCCCAGGCCCAGGGCTATAGAGTTCAGGATAGTGAGCAGTGGACACAGAGGTGAATGAGATGGAATCTTCCATGTGAGCTCTGGGATGAACAGCACCTAGATGCTGTTCCTAGGCCCTAGAAGACAGTCCTCACTCCCTTTTTACCTTCACACTGCAAAGGGCAGGGTGAGCTGCCTCCCTGGTCCCCAGTGGAGGGACCAGGCTTCTCCAGTCCCCTCACTCTGTCTCCAGGGCACACTGGATGTTGCCCTACCGGGCCCAACTCTCACTTCTTTCAGGGGGTCCCCAGGCTTTGTGGCTTCAAACTGAGCTCCAAGGCCATGACTCTTCTGACAAAAAGAGCCACTCTAGAAGTTTTCAAGAGGATTGCTAGAGCTTGGAGCTCCTCATGTCCAGGCCCATTTGCACCATCAACACAGGGGCCTCTTAAATCCTCTGTGGTGAGGGTGATGTATGCGGTTCTTGAACTTCACTCTGGCTGGTCTTGACACTAACCCTGTGCCCTAGGCCTTCACCTTCATCGTTTGCCTGCATCTAATTCTGTGCTCAGCCTCAACAAGGCTCCTTGGGGAGTTGGTTTGCAACCAGAAGCCAGGAGCGGTTGGTTGAGCTTTATCTCAGAGTCACAGAAAAATAAAAGCTAATACCCTTCAGAGGCAAGCTCAGAACTGACCTGTGTCACATGTGTTTGGAGAAAGCACTTTGCTTTAACAAACCATTTCTGGGAAAGGGTAAAAGGCAGGACAAGTAGCCACTGGAGTTTTATTTTCAGCTACTGATGACAGTAACCACTGCGACTAAGCAGAGCTTGCCTCTTGTCAAGGTGAAATTAGGATTCGCAAAAGGGTACAGCCAGAAAGAATCATTCCCTGGGTGGGCCCTCCTGATGATACCTGATGATATCAGCCAGGGAGAATGGACCTCCAGGGTGGACTCCCACAGGATAGAACACTGTCAGAAGGACTTAAGGGTTGGACTGGGCAGGTTGAATCTGGAGAAGGTTCTCCACCAAGGGAAGGCCCAGATGAAACTTGTTACAATCATGCCTTCCTTGGAGAAGAGGCAGCAGGGGCCTCTGGATGAATAAGGGCAGGGGCAGCTCCAGTGTGTCATGATGCTTAGGGCTGAAGGCAGGGACATTCGGAGTGAGTGGCAGAGAGTATGCTGAAGGCCAGATTGTTTCTTTCGCTACACCCACCCCAGGGTTACCCAGCCTCCTACCATGCTGTCCTCCACCCAAGGCTTGAACTACAATAGGTTCTCAGAACCCGTGTGTGCCCAGCGCTCTGCCAGAGCTTTAAAGTGGGAGTCTGGCACCTGGGCAGCAAAGGAAAACATCTGGGGATAAGAAGTGATTGCAGGGGGCTGGAGAGATGGCTCAGCGGTTAAGAGCGCTGACTGTTCTTCCAGAGGTCCTGAGTTCAATTCCTGGCAACCACATGGTGGCTCACAACCACCTTGAATGAGATCTGGTGCCCTCTGCTGGCATGCAGGCAGAAGATTGTATACACAATAAATTAAAAAAAAAAAGTGATTGCAGAGTTATCTGAGGACCAAGGAACAAAAGGGATGAGGGGGACAAGCTTGGGGTGCTCAGTGTGGAAACTAAGAGGGCCTTGAACCCTGCCAGACCACAGTCTGTATTCCTAGGTGGGAGGGAGAATGGGAAGCTGAAGAAGTAGAATGCCCAGGGAGGCAGTGACCATTTCACAGGGGTTTCTGATCAGCTTCCTGGCAGCCGGAAGCCCTCTGTCTGGGACCAGATGTGTGGTATCCTGTGGTACACACACACACGCACACGCACACGCACGCACGCTCCTGCCCCCGCCCCGTCATCTGCACCCTTCTTCAGCTGCCTCCTCTGTCTGAACCTTTAGGAAAACACAGGATGGGCTGAGAGCAACTCCTGGAGAAGGCAACTTGCAGGGCTTTGATGAGAGCACTCTGGCATATCGGGGTGAGCCCAGGCAGGACTGGGGAGCCTGGGAGTAATTAGAGCTCCAGCCATGGGCTGAGAGGCATGAGGGCATCGTCCTAAGGTGGAGAGTTTGTAAGAATTGCTAAGCTATGCCAACCCCTCCTTCCACTTTTGGAATACTAGCATTATCTCTCTCTCTCTCTCTCTCTCTCTCTCTCTCTGTGTGTGTGTGTGTGTGTGTGTGTGTGTGTGTGTGTGTGTGTGTGTGTGTGTTTGAAACAGAGTTCCACATAACTCAGGCTAGCCATAGACTCACTATGCAGCTGAGGCTGGCTTTGAATTCTTTGATCCCCTTCCCTCCTTTTCCCAAGTGTTGTGATTACCCGACCCATTTACTTTATTTATTTTAGAAAAAAAAAAGGTCTCACTGTGCAACCCAGGCTACTCTCAATTCTCAATCCTCCTCCCTCATAGTGAGACCAGGGCCAACCTGACCCCCCCCCCTCGAGTTTTGGTGTTACAGGCCAGGCGTGTGTTGCTGCAATTTTTGTTTGTTTTTTGTTTTTTGAGATATGGTTTCTCTGTATTGCTTTGGAGGTTGTCCTGAAACTCTCTGTAGACCAGGCTGGCCTCGAACTCAGAGATCTGCCTGCCTCTGCCTCCCGAGTGCTGGGGCTAAAGGCATGCACCACCAACACCTGGCAGTCCTGCTATTTTTAATAAATAAGTTTTACCTTCTCCATTTAAAACTCTATCTGACAAAATTTAAACTCACATAAACCAGAATCTCTTTGAGTTCCTCAATAATTAGGAGTTTGCCAGGAGTGGTGGCCTTCACCTTTAGTTCCAGTGCTTGGGAGGCAGAAGTAGGCAGATCTCTGTGAATTTGAAAGCCTGGTCAACATATCGAGTTACAGGACAGCAAGAGCTACATAACAGAGAGACCTGTCTCAGAAATAAATGAATAAAAATTTTCATAGTGTAAAAGGGTCCAGGGAGATGGAGTCTAAAATGGCTGTGTGGTGCATGCCTGGAATCTCACAGTTGTGAAGTAGGCAGGGATGAGGACTAGCTTAGTGATCTGGGCTATACACCTGTTTCTAATAACGCATATGGCAACCTGAATCCTTCACCCACCTCTCTAAACAATAACTATCAAACGCGTGTTTTTATTTGTTTATTATATATATACATATGTATATATGTATATATAAAATTGTTCTGTCTGCTTTGCCTGCACACCAGAAGAGGGTATAAGATCTCATTATAGATGGTTGGGAACCACTGTGCGGTTGCTGGGAATTGAACTCAGGACCTCTGGGAGAGCAGTTAATGCTCTTAACCTTTGAGCCACCTCTCCAGCCCGCCCTTATTTGTTTTGCTTTGTGTTTATCTGTGCACTTCAGGCTTTTCTGGAACTCTCTCACAGGGATCCATCTGTCTCTGCTTCCCAAGTGCTGCTGGGCTAACCCTGGACAATTTGTTTCTGCTTTTTTCTGAGACAAGGTTACTCTGTGTAGTTCAGACTGTACTGGAACTCCATTTGTAGACCAGGCTGACCTTGGACTCCCAGAGATCTGCCTGCCTCTTCCTCCTGAGCACTGGGATCAAAGGTGTGTGCACCACCACTGCCCAGTACTTATACAGTTTCTATTCAACAGCATTCTCCATACATCTGGCAGGAGGGTAAGAGGGCTGGCTGATGGAGCCTGAACTAATTTTAGGTGCATGTTTGTATTGGTTACTTTGTTACTTTTCTTTTTTTTTTAACTTTTATTTTATGGGCATTGGCATTTTGCATACATATCCCTGTGTGAAGGTGTCAGAACTCCCGGAGCTGGAGCTACAGACAGTTGTGAGTCGCCACGTGGGTGCTGGGAATTGAACTCAGGTCCGTCTGGAAGAGACTTTGTTACTTTTCTATTGCTGTGATGAAGCACTGTGACCAAGGCAACTTGTAGAACAAAGTTTATTTGGACTTAAGTTTCCGGGAGAATAGGAGTTCATCACAGCGGGGAATCGTGGCAGCAGGTATAGCATCAGGAAAGCTAAGAGCTCACAGCTCAACCGTGAGCACCACGTGGAGACAGCAACTGGAGATGTCAGAGGTTTTTAAACTCTCAAAGCCTTCCTCATGCGACATACTTTCTCCAAAAAGGCCTTATTTCCTAACTTTCCCCACACAGTGCCAGATTCTTGTTGTGCCCAAGTCGCAAAGATAGATCCCCAGAGATCACCAGGAAGACAGACCCACCAAATTGCAGAAGCAAGGTTTTAATTGTTCATCCACCCATGACAGGGACCTTGTCTGGCTAGCTGTCACAGCAGCCTCCAGAGAGAGTGAAGTTCCCTGTCTACTGCAAGGTTTGAAAGACAAAAGTTACAGGATTACATCAGTAGATACAGGTTGGTTTCTGATTGGTTGACATTTGGGTACAATTAGAAGCATTTCTCAAAGTCACATTTTGGCATGAAATACCTGTTGTATCAATTATTCTCATTGGTTGTGCTGAGAGGGAACATTCTGTGGTTTCTATGGCATTGTCTTGTTACTTGCAGGTGGCCTGTTGTACATAGATACCAATAGTTTTCAGAACTGTATCCCGGAGACTTATAGGAGAGGTTTTGGTCTCCCCTGGAGTTTCTTTTGTGGCAAAACAGTTCCCAGGAACCAAGGATCTAGGAGGTTGTAGGGGATGGGTCTCAAGTTTCTTTGTGTTCAGTTTTGGCCCTAGGCTCCGGGAGGCCAGGGGATCTGAAGTTTCCTTGTGTCAGAGGCCTATGTGTCTTTTCTGTAGCCTGTCATGGCTGCTAAAGCAGGGGATTGAGTGAGGGTCTGGTTCCTTTATTTCTTTGTTTTGTTTTGATTTTTGTTTTTTTTTTTCGAGACAGAGTTTCTCTGTGGCTTTGGAGGCTGTCCTTGAACTCACTCTGTAGACCAGGCTGGCCTCGAACTCACAGAGATCCCCCTGCCTCTGCCTCCCAAGTGCTGGGATTAAAGGTGTGTGCCACCAATGCCCAGTTGGTTCCTTTATTTCTAAATTATTAGAAGTGAAACCTTTGAGTTTAGTTTATCCCTTTCAATTCTGAGGACCAAGTTGAGTCTATGGAAGACATTCTCATTGAAACCACTATAATACACAGTAAGACAAACTATGTCTTCTAAGTGAACTTTTGGGGAGATCCCCTATTTACCATCTCATGTTTATACATAAACAGGCATGTATCGGATTAAAATCAGTTGCATTATGGGAAAGAACATGCACAGTGAGCAAAGGCTGCCAGTCAAAACAGAGAAGCACCCAAACTACAAACCATGGTAACTACTGAACCCCATAGAAGAAGCCCCACTCACATGGCCTGCTGCCACACTCTACAGGATCTCACCTGTTCTGTTTTTTTATATATAATTTATTTAAGTTTAGCTAATGTGCATTGGTGTGTAGGTGTCAGATCCCCTGGAACTGGAGTTACAGACAGTTGTGAGCTGCCATATGGATGCTGAGAATTGAACCCAGGTCCTCTGGAAGAGCAGCCAGTGCTCTTAACTACTGAGCCATCTCTCCAGTCCCTGTTATTTGCTTTGAATAAAGTTTCTTTGCTACTTTTACAGATCTGTGACTTCATTTCAGTCCCCTGAAAAACCAAGAACCTGGAAACACAGACCCAGACATGCTGAGACAGGAGGACTGTTATGAGTTCAAGAGCTGTGTAATGAGATTCTATTAAAAAATTAGATGTGCCGGGTGTTGGTGGCGCACACCTTTAATACCAGTACTCGGAAGGTAGAGGCAGGTGGATCGCTGTGATTTCAAGACCAGCCTGCTCTACAGAGAGAGTTCCAGGATAGCCTCCAAAACAATACAGAGAAACCCTGTCTCCAAAAACAAAAAAAAATTAAATGTACATATGTATTATTTCCTCCTAAAACAGCTTCCTATGTAGTCAAAGTTGGCTTTGAACTCTTAGGCCTCCTATCTCTGAGATTACAGTTATGTGCTACCGTGTGTGTTTGTGTGTGTGCTAATTAATTTTTTAAAACACAAGATCTTTATTGGTCCAAATGGATCAAATACCTCAACATAAATCCAACCACACTGAACCTGTTAGAAGAGAAAGTTGGAGGTACCCTTGAATGAATTGGTACAGGAGATCACTTCCTGAACATGACTCCAGTAGCACAGACCCTAAGATCAACAATTAATAAATGGGACCTCCTGAAGCTGAGAAGCTTCTGTAAGGCAAAGGACACAGTCAGCAAGACAAAAGGCATCCCACAGATTAGGAAAAGATATTCAGTAACCCCACATCTGACAGAGGGCTGATCTCCAAAATTTACAAAGAACTCAAGAAGCAGGTCTCCAAAACACCAAAGGATCCAATTAAAAAGTGGGTTACAAAACTAGAGAATTCTCAGTAGAGGAGTCTAAAGTGCTCAACATCTCTAGCCATCTGAGAAATGCAAATCAAAACAACTCTGAGATACTATCTTACCTCTGTCAGAATGGCTAAAATCAAAAACACCAATGACAGTCGGGTGGTGGTGGCGCACGCCTTTAATCCCAGCACTCCGGAGGCAGAGGCAGGCGGATCTCTGTGAGTTCGAGGCCAGGCTGGACCGACAGCCTCCAAAATGATACAGAGAAACCCTGTCTCATAAAATCCAAAAAAAACAAAAACAAAAAAAAAAAAAAAACACCAATGACAGTTTATGCTGGAGAGGATGTGGAGAAAGGGGAACACTCCTTCCACTCCTTCATTGCTGGTGGGAGTGCCGACTCATAAAACCACTTTGGAAATAAGTGTAGAGATTCCTCAGGAAAATGGGAATCAGTCTACCACAAGGCCCCTCAATTCCACTCTTAGGCATATACCCAAAAGATGCACATTCATACAACAAGGATGTCTGTTCTACTATGTTCATAACAGCATTATTTGTAATAGCCAGAACCTGGAAGCAACCTAGATGCCCCTCAGCTGAAGAGTAGATAGAGAAAATATGGTACATTTATACAATGGAGTACTATTCAACAGAAAAAAACAATGGAATCTTGAAATTTGCAGACAAATGGACGGCACTAGAAGAAACCATCCTGAGTGAGGTAACCCAGTCACAAAAAGACAAACATGGTATGTACTCACTCATATATGGATTTTAGACATGAATCAGGGGAGTGCCAGCCTACAGTCCCACTGCCAGAGAGTCTGGGAAACAGAACCTTCATCCAATGACTGAAGGAAGCAGAGGCAGACACCCACAGATAAACACTGAACTGAACTCCTGGAATCCAGTGTCAGAAAGGGAGAACTGATGGGCAAAGAAGTTAAGACTGGACTGCTTTAACCCACAGAAACAGTTGACCTGAACAAGGAGGAGCTCTTGGATTCCAGATTGATGGCTGTGTGGAAAGCATGGGACTGATTCAGACCCCCCTGAATGTGGGTGTCAGTGAGGAGGCCTAGGCAATCTATGGGGCCTTGGGTAGTATTTATCCCTAGCATACAAATGGACTTTGGCTACCCATCCCACAATGAGGGATGGTCTCTCTGCCTGGACTCTTGGGGGAAGGCCTAGGCTCTTCCCTGGATGAAATGACAGACTCTGGAGATCCTCCATGGAGGGCCTCACCCTCCCTGGGGATCAGAGTGGAAATTGGGTGGGGGACTGGAGGGCCTGGTGGGGAGGGTGGAAGAGGAGGGGAGGGAGAGGGAGTTAGGACTGACATGTGAAGCAAGCTTGTTTCTAACTTAAATTTTTCTTAAAAAGAAAGAGAAAAAAAGATCTTTATTGGTTCTATGCTTTGAAAATAACTGCCACAATATTTTTTTTTAAAATGTGTTTGTGTGTTTTGCCTGCATGTATATTTATGCACCACCTGCCTGGTTCTCATGGAGGCCAGAAGAGGGCATCAGATCCCCTGGAACTGGAGTTACCGACCATTGTGAGCTGCCATGTGGGTGCTGGTTGAGCAGCCAGTGTTCTTAGTCAATGAACCATCCCTCCAGCCCTAGCTCATTGTTTTTATGTGAGGTCGTAAGCTTGTGTGTGGAGATCGGAGAACTTGCAGGTTCCTTTCTCTCCTCCCACCCTATGGAGGTCCTATTGATTAAATTTGGGAAGCCTAGCTTGGCAGCAAGTGCTTTACTGACTTAGCCTTCTGGTTGATCCCAGCTATCCAACTGAGCCAACCCCTTGTTTTGTTCTTTTAAGGCGAGGGTTTGACATTAGTGATTTATATACGAAGAAATAACCAAGACTATGGTTGATTGTAGATGATGTAATTCACGAAGGTCCTTGAGTTCCTGGAGAATGCCCAGGAAATGACGTTGACTTGGGAGAAAGGATGGGGTCAAGGAGGTAAAGGAACCAGAAAGGAGGGTGGGACCCAAGGATCCGCTGAGCCAGGGACACGAAGAAGTAAAGTGGGTGAACGTTTCTGCAGGTGGGTGTAAACCAGACAACCCATGATGTCAGGATGCACGAGCATGCAAAATACAGAAAGAACGCAGTGTCTGAGCCATCCCAGCCTCCACCTCCACAATATTTCAGGGCCAAAGTGTTCCGGTCTATGAGCCAGGGCTATAGCAGCAGCCTGTGACTACAACAATGGGCGAGAGCAGGGCTAATGACAAAGGATGTTGCGCAGTCAGGAATGCTTGTCGGCGTAATACAGTCAGCTTCAATGAAGAGGAAAACATTTCCCTCCCCTCAATGGGACATTTAAAAAAAAAACTTTAAATGTCCCAGCTTCCTCCTCAGGGAACCAGATCAAATACTGCGTGAAGTGAGTGGGAAGACATCAGTATACCATATCAAACTGGATCCCAAATCCAGTTTGCTCCATCCCTACTGGCTCCGCCCCCTTCTGGGTAATGGGTCCGCCTCTCACGCCCATTGATCAAGCGGTCCACTCGCCGCTGCGAAGGTAATATCCGGATAAGCGGAGTTCGTCAAAGGAATGGATCGCCCTCACGACCCTACTGCGCATGCTCGCCCCGTGACCCCAGCTTGAGGTGACGGCGGGAGCCTAGGCGGGGGCCCCAAAAGCACTGAGGCTGAGGGACCCGCCACGGCTCCGTCGTCCGAGAGGCAGGGCCTGTTGCCGTCGGTGAGGACGGGCCCCATCGGGCGGGAGGGTCCCGGCCCACGAAGCGACTTCCTGGGCCTGGCTGTCCCGAGATCCGGGACTGGTGCTAGGGAAGGGTCCCTGGCTCTGCCCCCTCAGATTCAAGCCGCCTCCCTGCCGTCCATCTGCAAGGCGCTTCCCTCCTCCATGCTTCCTTTTCACTAACCCAGCCTTCCACTGAACCGAACCTGTGCATCCCCAGTCCGAGATCCCACCCACCCACTGCGCACCTACCCCGTCGGTCCATTCTGCCTGGTACACGCCCATCCTTAACCTCGGCAGTTTTGTCACATCTGTCCTGGGGGTTCTTGCCCCAATGGCAGAGTTTGTGGGCTGGGAGCTGGGGAGATGCTTCAGAGACTGGAGTGGGGGCACTGGCCAGAGGGGATCAGGGAGCTGGGGCGTTGTAGTCTCAAGACCAGACATGTTGGGCAAGGGTGGTGGAAGACGACATTCTGAGTCAAGGTGACTAGGGAAGACCCCACATTGCAAAGCTCTGCACTACTCTATGTTATTCAATTCTTGACTTTTCGGGAGGGTCACTGCCTTTTTCTCCTGTCTCCCTGTGAGACTATGTCCTGCACACCTCAGTGTCATATTGTTCCCTAAGCAGTCCAATCACAGTCCCCCGTGACTGTGCAGGACAACGCCCTTACCCTTATCTGATGCTAGCCGCTCCAATTACAGAGATCTAACCAGCCCAGGGAGGGCGAGGGGTCTGTTCTAATGTTAGGACATAGCTGTTCCACTCTCGTCTTGATGAAGGTAATTCTACTGGGCACCCAAGATAACAAAAGAAGTTTCAAGCCTCCAGAGCCTCATCAGTATGAGTTCGGACCTTAATTATTTTATGGCCACCATAGCAAATCGCCACCAACTTAGCGACTTCAAATAACACAACTTCATCATTGTACATTTTAGAGGCCAGAAGTCTGATGTGGGTGTTGTTGGTGTCGGCAGCGCTGTATTCCTGCTGAGACCCTAGGAGAGAAATACTTTTCTAGAAACAGCTTACCTTGTTTGGCTGGTGAGGGGCCTTCATCAGTCCTCCAAGTCCCATCTCAACCCATGATCCCTGCCTCTAGTCTTATCTTTCCTGCTTTCTTTTATTTTATGTGTTTGTGTGCCACATGTGTGCAGTGCCCGTGGAGGCCAGAAGAGGGCATCAGATCCTCTGAACTGTACAGTGGTTGTGAGCCACCTGAAGTGGGTGATGTGAACCAAATTCCTGTCCTACAGAAGAGCAGGAAGCACCTGACCACTGAGCCATCTATCTGGCCCTGTGTCTTCTGTTTGACTGAGGGGTGGGGGGCAGGAATATGCATATGCCTGTGGACAACTTGTGGGAGTTGGGTCTCTCCTACAATGTAGATCCTGGGATGAAACTCGGGTCTTGAGGCTTGGTGGAAAGCACTGTTAACTGCTAACATGTCTCGATAACCCTTGTTTTGGAGACAGGCTCTGGATACATAGGTTTAACGTGAACACCCCCCCTCCACTCCTCCTGCATTAGCCTTCCTAATGCTAGGATTATAGGTGTATGCCACTACACCAGGGATCAGGACCTGGATAGCCGAGTATTCACCACTCTGTCACAGACCTGATGATGTGTGGATGACTCCTGCTCATTGTATGCTCTTGAGCCATTTTTGCTCTTCTGGGTCTCCTGGTCATGAACAAGGTCATGAGCGCTGCTTTGCTTTGCCATACTGGGGACTGAATGTGGGCAAGCTCTCAACCAGGCTACACCAACTCTTTTTTTTTTCCTTTTTTTTTGGTTTTTCGAGACAGGGTTTCTCTGTATTGTTTTGGAGCCTATCCTGGTACTCGCCCAGTAGACCAGGCTTGGTCTGGAACTCACAGAGATCCATCTGCCTCTGGAGTGCTCGGATTAAAGGCGTGCACCACCACTGCCCGGCAGGCTACACCAACTCTTGCTTCACTTTTTTTTTCCTTTGGTGGGGGAATGTGTGTGTGTATGTGTGTGTGGTGTGTGTGAGGGTGTGTGTGAGGGTGTGTGTGATGTGTGTGTGTGAGGGTTTGTGTGGGGGTGTGCAATGCTTCTGGATGTTGGATGCCCCCATCTGCCCACAAAAACGTCTCACATGAAACGGAAGCTCACCATTTTGGCTACATAGATTGATCAGTCAGCATGCTCCAGTGCTCAGCTTCCCAGTGCTGGGTTTCAGACATGTATGGGCAGGCCTGGCTTTAACATGGTTCTGGGGACTTGGACTTAGGTCCTCAGGCATGTGGGGCAAGTACTTTTTTTTTTCTTGAAGTTGGAACACATGACAGTCTTCCTGATTCATTCTCCTTAGTGCTAGGATTTTGGGTGGGAGCCACCACACCCGACTTCACTTCTCTATTCATTCATTCATTCATTCATTCAGGCTGCTCATGAACTCCTGATCCTCCTGCTTTAACTTCATATGTGAGAGGTCTGGTCTGAGACTGTTTTTCTCTTTAAAAAATTATGTTTTAAAATGCTAAATATGTGTCTACTGCAAAAAAAAAAAAGAGTGAGTTCATGAACATTACAATTTGAGAAGATGGGTCTGGAGAGATGGCTCAGCAGTTAAAAGTGCTTGCTGCTCTTTCAGAAGCCCCAAGTTGGGTTCCTAGCACCGTGTTGGACAACTCACAACTACCTGTAACTTTAGTGACCTGACACCCTCTTCTAACCTCAGAGGGCACCTGTGCACACGGCATCCACTCACACAGACATGCATACATGCAAATAATAATAGAAGCAAATCTTTAAAAGTCAATATGGGATTGTGAAAGGTAAAATCACTCCTCCTCATCTCCCCAAATTCATTCCAGATGTTGGCAGATTTGGAGAGTGTTAGCCAGTGTTAGTCCCATAATGTGGGACTGGGATTTCCTAGGACCCCACAGAGATGAAGTGCCTCATTCCATCACGGCACAGGCACCTCCCGTCTGTGTCACTCATCACAGACCACGTTGACTTTGGTCACCTGGTGAGGTGGTATATGAGCTGCACTGCAGTTACTATTCTTATCATCCCTGACTCCTTGGGAATGAGTCTGAGTGACGAGGTCCACCTTAGGGAGGAGCATACTCTTTAGAATTCCGTTAGCTTGATACAGGGTCTCATTAAACCCAGCTTGTCCTTGAACCCTGTATATGGCCAAGGGTGAATTTGAACTCCTGGTCCTTCGGCCTCTACTTCCCAAGTGCTGAGATTATAGGCATTTGCTGCCATAAAAGATTCATGTGTTGGAACTCGAACCGATGGCTTTGTGCATGCTGGACAGGCACTCTCCCAACTATATCCCCAGCCTGGAATTTGTGAGGAAGACTTGGGCCCTCTCCAATATATAGTCAGTTATTTGTATCATTGTGGGTTTGTATTTATTTTATTCTTAGGGTTATAATCCTGCCCACTTAAGGGTAGACTCCATTCTGTGGAGCAGTTGTCTTCATAACTGGCTTTTCTTACTGGAATTGGCTCTTGGCTGGTGGGTCCCAGTCCTGACTCTCACCAGCTGTGTGGTACTGGGCCACTCCACTAAATGCCCAAGGGGGCAGAGTGGGATGATGGTAATATCTGAGAGGGACATCATTGGGTTCCAGTGAAGAAGGCCACGGTTGACCTTATTCTTGACTCGGGCTGCTTTGTGAGCAAGAAGGCAGAGGGGCAGGGTACCTGAGCTCTTCCTCACACTGTCTCGTCCAAGAAGTTTCTGGGTCTTGTGTGGTGGTGCGTGTGCACGTGTGGTGTGCAGTGTGTATGTGTTTGCAGGTGTGCTCTCGTGTACATGTGCAGGTCAGAGGTTGATACTGAGCACCTTGCTCAACCTCAACCGCTACTTGGTAGTTTTTTGAGGCAAGGTCTCTCACTGAACCTAGAGCTCATTGTTTTGGTTTAGACTGGCAGGGAAACTATCCCTGGGGTCTCCCTGACTCTGCTCCCCTCCCCTAGTGCTAGGGTTACAGAGGCTGCCACTCTGGGCTTTCTATGTGAGTGCTGGTATGCAAACTCAGGGTTTCTGCTTACACAGCAAGACTTTGCCCACTGCGTCTCTGGGTCACTTCTGTCTTTGTTAACCTGTGTGCTGTCTTTAAGTCTGAAACAAAATCTTTCCTCCCCATGCTATGAATTGACCACTCAGATGCTAGGCAAATGTGCTGTGTCGCTGAACTATATCCCCAGCCTAAAACTAGGGTTTTTTTGTTTTGTTTTGTTTTGTTTTGATAAGGTCTCATTGTATAGTCTTTCTTGTCCCTTGTTCTGGAACCAAACTGGCCTCAAACTCAGAGATCTGCCTGCCTCTGTTTCCTGAATGTTTGGATTGAAGGCATGTACCATCATGCCTGGTCTTAAACTTTTATTTATTATTTATTTATTTATGAGTTTTTTTGGGTTTTGTTTTTGTTTTTGTTTTTTTTGGTTTTTCGAGACAAGGTTTCTCTGTAGCTTTGGACGCTGTCCTGGAACTCACTTTGTAGACCAGGCTGGCCTCGAACTCACAGAGATCCACCTGCCCCTGCCTCCCGAGTGCTGGGATTAAAGACATGCGCCACCAACGTCCGGCTGCCTGGTCTTAAATTTTAATATATTTAATTTTGTTCTAGTGATTTGTATTAATCTTTGTTTGATGTTTGAAACAGGATTTCTCTATATAACAGCTCTGGTTGTTCTACTCACTTTGTAGACCAGGCTGGTTTCAAACTCACAGAGATCCGCCTGCCTCTGCCTCCTGAGTGCTGGGATTATAGGCGTGCGCCACCATCGCCCAGCAATTTGGACTAATCCTATTTACTTGCTGTTTAACATTTTTGAGGTTCTAGGATCTAACTCAGGGCCTTGTGCATGCTAAGCTTGAGAGCTACCACCGAGCTGCACCCCCAGCTCATGTGTCTTTTCTTTTCTGACATTTACATTGCACAGGAGACCCTTTTCTTCTGGTAATGAACTAATGGGGGGAAATTATCTTGTGAGTAAGTATATCTCATCTTTTTTTTTTAGATGTTAAATATATTGCCACATGACATAGTAAGATAGTGAAGAGTAAAATTGCTCATTCCCACCATCACCTCAAGCTACATCCCAGATCCATTTGGTAGCACTCCATCCTCCTCCACTGACTGCTTTGCCTCCTCCCTTAGGACAGAGCCCCTGGACTCCCAGGTTCCTGGCCAGGGAGGTGCAGGAAAAGGAGAGACCTATCTGCCAGGGTGAGCGTGGCCTGAGGGTCAAGCTGCTGGTCCTGGGATGCCCCAGCCCAAGCCCAGTGAGCAGGAGGGGGAGAGCATGAAAGCCGGCCAGGAGCCAACTCCCCAGCCTGGAACAGATGTGGTCCTAGCAGCCCCCAGGAAGCCCAGAAAATGCTCCAAACTGGTCCTGCTGACAGCCTCCAAAGACATCGCCAAGGTGGCTGGGGCCAAGCGCAAAGGAGTGCACTGCATCATGTCTCTGGGGGCGCCAGGCCCCGCCACCCTGGCCAAGGCCCTCCTCAAGACTCATCCTGAGGCTCAACGAGCCATTGAAGCAGCCCCCCAGGAGCCTGAGCAGAAGCGCAGCAAGCTGGACCCGGGTGAGGCTTCTGTAACTGGCACTGCCCCTCAAAGATACCTGGTTCCTTTCAGAACTGCCACAGGCAACTGGTTCCAGTTCTAAGAGTCCTCTTTCTTCCTTTGCCTTCACGATCCCTGCTCCTTTACTCCTCTGAGCACAGGGGTGATAGCTGCCTCTGGACACTCCTTGAGGAGCCTGAGGCCCTATCTTAGCCCCTTCTATTCTTGCCCCTTTGAGCCCATGAAGAGTTCCCTCTGCATGGCCTGCATGCCTTGCTTCATCACAGAAGTGTCAGAGGTTGAGATGGGCCTGCTGTCATGCTCTTCCGTGCCGGAGGCTGCTGGCCACTCTCAAAATCCTGGCTCTGTACAGGTTTTTCCAAAGGCCTGGGCTTCTTGGTCCACCTGCCGCATGTTTCACAAGCATTTTATAGCCAGTACAAAAAGTGCCGCCATTTCTTCAGTCAGCCAGTTTACCCATGTTTGTAGACTTGAGGCGATGTGCCCACTGGGCACTGGGACTCTAGGCCATCCGGAGTTGTGGGGACTCCCGTCCCTGTCTCTTCTGCCCCAGCCTCACCCACACTGAAGCTGCCACGGAAGGTAGAACAGGGCTCCAGGCAACTGTCAGGAGGCAGGGAAGAAGTTGCAGGCTGATGGGGGTACCAGGCTTCCTGGGAAATTTCGGTGCCCTCTTCTCTTGTTTTGCAGTGATGAGATGAGGGGAGGCCACGGGCGGCATTAACCTCACCCTGTGCCACTCCTCCGTGGCTGTGTCCCTTCCTCTAATGTGGCTGGGTGGGTGGTGGACGGTGATGACAAGCTGTCCCTTTCTCTACACACAGCTCAAGCTGGCCTCCCTGGGAGGAGGGTCAGGTCATTGAGGGTGGTGCTGAGGTGGAGAAAGAGAGGGGATGCTGGCCACAGGGTGACTTACACACGTCAAAGACTTGAGGCTTGGTCTATGGTCTGATCCTCTTGCCAGTACACAACAGTTCCCAAAGTCACCGGAACTGGAAGGAGAGCCCTAGGCCAACAGCACCTGGAGACCCGGGGAGGGTGACAAGACTTCCTGGATGGAGCCTGAACTTCCCTAACTTGCGTGTGTACATGTTGTGCCTCTTACTGTGTGTGTTCTGTGTGTGCTTGTCTGTGTGAGCATCTCTTTGATTGTTTCTCTTGTCCCTTTGTATGACTTTTACCCATGAGAATGAGTGTGTGCCAGTCTGAGGCAGTTACCCCTCCCTACTAGGCATGGAGCAGGAGATACTGCAACTCAAACACCCACTAGGGGTGCTCAGTGGCAGGGAAAAGATAAATGAGCTGATCTCTCCCAACAGAAGAGCATCTGTCAGGCCCTGAGACCATCGGGGTAAGAAAAACCAAGTCCTGGGCCTCCATCTGCTGTCTTAGTACAGGTGGCCCCTTGGGATCAGCCATGCACTGGCATGAGGAAGGAAAGGAAGCTTCTGTGTTACCATCAGTTAGCTAGGCCTCACAGGTAGAAACTTAATGGGATAGCCTAAGGCCATAGAGATTCATAGTCCCACTGCCCACTCCCACCTGTAGGGGCTAAAATCTCAAGAAAGCCAAGATGGAGTGTTCATGGCTATACGTCTTTGGGGACCATAGAATTCCCAACCTCCCACCCACAGCTGGAGAAGTACTGAGGAGTCAAAAACGACCTTGGTATGAGGACTCTGTGAGTGCTCCCACTAGTCAGTCCTGCTCTGGGCGCCTCCCTATCCCCCCACCTAATTCTCCCCAGTACAGGGGTAGAGAATGGGGTCTCCAAGACCATTAGGAAGCTTATCTCAGAAAGTATGTCACTACACCAAGCCCCCTACACGGAAAGGGGTGGAGTCTGGCTGGGTACCTGTTCTTCCCACAAGAGTTGGGTATAGAGACATCATGTGTCTCCTTTCCTTAGCTTGTTTTTGTAAGTTCAGGTGCTGCAACACTATGGCGTCTATGAGAAACGGGACAGAACTCACTTCTCCAGATGACATACAAAGGAAGGGTGGTACCCTTCAGGGCTTGCTGGGCAGGTGCTCTTGACTAGTGGTAACCCCTGCTCCCTGTTTCCACATGCACACCTCCCTGTCTTTGTCCCACGCAGGACCAGGTGGTGGTGAGTCAGCCACTTCCTGCTCAGATGTTTCCTAGAAATGAGTTGAGAAATGTTTGTGACTCTGAACTTGGTGGCTTTTTAGGAACAGTGTCTCTGGTGTGGCCAGTACTTCTCTAAGTTAACAAAGATATTTGGCCCTGTACTGACCCCCTAAGAAGCCAAGGTGAGGGTGGCTTTCAGCTTATAGTAGAACAGTGTGAGCCTAGGGCCAGCGTCTCCCAGCCCTCCTTTGTTCCTTGTTGCCAGCCTGACCTATCTGCCTTTCTTCCAGATACAGGTAGCCCAGAAGACAATGCATGGTCTGGGGTGTCTTCTTCAAGTCCTGAGGAGACCACTGTGCTCCCCACGGCACCCAGCACTTCCCCATAACCTTGGCAACTGCTGCAGCATGTGCTGCCCACTGTGTCAGCAAGAAAGAAAAATAAGAGAAAAAATAAAAGAAGCTGTATACTATTTCCCACCATTGGTAGGTTTTTGTTGTTGCTATTGTTTTTTTTTTTCCAGACAGGGTTTCTCTGTGTAGCCCTGGCTGTCCTGGAGCTTGCTCTGCAGTACAGGCTGGCCTCAAACCCACAGAGATCCACCTGCCTCTGCCTTCCTAGTGCTGTTATTAAAGACATGTGCCACCACCTCCAGGCTAAGGTAGGATTAAAACATTGTAGGACTTTGGGTTGTTGGAGACCCACTGTGCCCCCATCATTCTGGTGACTTCCTTTTTGACTTTCCTTCCCATTCCAGACTTGCCTGGCCTGGGCCATTGGACCAGTGGAGTCTCTCTTGAGGCCTCCAATCCTTAGCCTCACAGTTAGGCTCCCTTGGCCTGGAAAATGAGCTCTTGGCATAATTTAGACTGGTTCCCATGGCTTCATCTTCATACTGCCGCTAGCCTGAATGGAGCATTGAGAGGTCCTGCCCTGGACCCGGGACAGTCTGATCCTCAGTCTGGTCCTCACCACTTCCCTCTACAAGAGCATCTAGTTGAGTCCTCCAAGGTTGCCATAGGCCTCTGTCCTTCCTAACCTAAGACTGCCCTCTAGAAGAAGACCTTCAGATTGCTGGCTCCCAAGCATGGGAGCCCAGCCTCCTCCCGACAGGTGCCACTCAAGACGGGAAGAGCCTGCACCTGACAGTTGTCAAGGATCTGCCTGGGATCCTCACAGGAGTGCAAGGCCATCCAAGAAATCACACACAGCCTGAGCCCCTAACGAGTTTGAGGTGACCTCAGGAGATCACACATGAACACACAGCCTGAACCCCTCTCCAACTTGTGGATAGGAGAGAAAGGGAAATTTCTGCCTTCCATTTCCAGTCCCTAAGTTGGGAACTCCCACTCCCAGAGACCCCCAAAGGCTTTCAGTCCTTTTACATATAGGTTCTTATTCTTTAAAAACTACTTCTACTTTCTGAGTATGAAAAACATTATCTTTTTCAACGTAAGATGTAGGGACCCTATGTTTCAAACATGTCTTCAAAATTGACTGCCTCTGAAACATACTTGGCACATTTTTCTCCTGCCATTTTGCTGTATTGCTTTTATAGTTTTTTTGTTTTTGTTTTTGTTTTGTTTTTGTTTTTTGTTTTTTGTTTTTTTTTTTTTTTTGGTTTTTCGAGACAGTGTTTCCCTGTGGCTTTTGGAGGCTGTCCTGGAACTCGCTCGGCAGACCAGGCTGGTCTCAAACTCACAGTGATCCGCCTGCCTCTGCCTCCCGAGTGCTGGGATTAAAGGCGTGCGCCACCAATGCCCGGCTATAGTTTTTTTTTAACTAAAAAATGGCTAATTTTGTCTGCATGTATGACTGCAGAATGTGTATGCAGAATTTTTGGAAGTGAGAAGATGTTGGGTCCTTTGATACCACAGCCACAGACAGACAGTTGTGAGTTGCTATGTGGACACTGTGAAGAGAACCTGGGTCTTCTGGAAATGCAGTTAGTGCCCTTAACCACTGACCATTACTCTAACCCCATCAGGCTCTTGCTTGTAATATTGCTATTCTGTTCCAACCCTGGAAGTTAGTTCTTTTGTCCTAATGCTCGTTTTAAATGCAGTCCACTGTGGTTTCTCTTTTGCTGTGTGCATTTGGTGGTCTAGTTTTGTCAGACGATAAGAAGCCTTGGGCAGGATGTGGTAGCCATGCCTTTAATCCCAGCACTCTGGAGACAGAGGTGGCTGGGGGTTGGGGTGGAGTGGCAGGACATAGGGAGATGGCTCAGTTGGTAATGCTTTCTGCTGCTTTTATAAGGACCGATTTTTAACACACACACACAGAGAGAGAGAGAGAGAGAGAGAGAGAGAGAGAGAGAGAGAGAGAGAGAGAGAGAGAGAGAGAGAGAAAGGGGCAAGGCTACCCTAACCTTTGTGTGCAAATCTCTATATTTTCCTGGGTTAAAGTGTCTGGCCCTTTTCGCCGGGCGTTGGTGGCGCACACCTTTAATCCCAGCACTCGGGAGGCAGAGGCAGGTGGATATCTGTAAATTCGAGGCCAGCCTGGTCTACAGAGCGAGTTCCAGGACAGCCTCCAAAGCTACAGAGAAACCCTGTCTCGAAAAACCAAAAAAAAAAAAAAAAAAAAAAAAAAAAAGTGGCTGGCCCTTTTCAATACTCCTCGATCTCACAATTGCTGCTGGAGACCAGATGGGGGCGCGCACAATCCGCGCCGCTCCCTCATATTCGTGGTACGTGAGTGGTGAGCGCCTCCTGGAGTGTGGTCTTGGATTATCGATCTCAGCCCGTCTGGCATGGCACTGAGTCAGAAGCAAGGCCTCCTTAAGGACCAGGCACGGGGTGGTTTCTTGCCTCGTATGATGTATTAGATTTATTGCCTCTGCTTCCTGCCCCATCCCCACACCACAGTAAGCTAACACTACCAGGAAAGTGATCTCTGTCTACTTGGGCTCCTGAGTTTCCCAGTGTGGAGACCCTAAGGAGAGGAGCCTACAGGATCACCAAACACACAGAGCATGGGGAGGAGAGATGGAACAGAGATTTCAATTGCAGAGGCTTATGAATTCTGCCCATGTGTAGATCAGCTGTGTGGATGAGATTAGCCATGGAGAGGGTGGTTGCAGGAACCTGGTATCACACCAATTCTGAGGTGAAGAGATGGCGAGACAAGGAGCCTGCCAGTCCTAGGACCTTTCAGCTAGGTTAAAAGCAAGGAAGAGTACAAGACAGACCAAGCAGTCCTCCCTGTGGGAGCGATCCTCCTGCTTCTGCCTCCTGAATACTAGGATTACAGGTGAGCAGCCACCATACCTGGTCTTAAACTTTGGCTTTTAAAATAGGGCCCATTGACTCCTGATTATTCTTCCACCTCCAAGAAAATAGGATTCAAAGTGTGTGTCACCACACCTAGCCAGACTGTTACCCTTCTTACTTTTTGTTTTTTGAGGTGGTCTCAAAATCCACCTCTCAAGGGCTGGTATTGCACATGTGGCCACAACACTCAGTTTTGTTTGTTTTCAAGGATTTATTTATTCATTGGTTTCTCTCTCTCTCTCTCTCTCTCTTTTTTTTTTTTTTTTTTTTGGTTTTACGAGACAGGGTTTCTCTGTTTTGGAGGCTGTCGGTCCAGCCTGGCCTCGAACTCACAGAGATCCGCCTGCCTCTGCCTCCCCAGTGCTGGGATTAAAGGCGTGCGCCACCAACGCCCGGCCTCATTGGTTTCTCAAGACAGGGTTTCTCTGTGTAGCCCTGGCTGTCCTGGAACTAGCTCTGTAGACCAGGTTGGCCTTGAACTCACAGAGATCGCCTGCCTCTGCCTCCCAAGTGCCGGGATTAAAGGTGTGCACCACTACCACCCGACCTCAAAGATTCATCTATATGAACATTTGCCTACCTATATCTGTAACATGTACATGCCTTATTCTGAAGGAGGCCAGAATAGGATGTCAGATCTCCTAAGTGAACTTTGTCCTCTGCAAGAGCAGTAAGTGCTGAAAAATTCTAAACCAGTTGTTTTCAACCTGTGGATCAAGACCCCTTTGGCAAACCTCTATCTCCAAAAATATTTACATTATGAGATTCATAAGAGTAGCAAAATTACAGTTATGAAGTAGCAACAAAAATAATTTTATGGTTGGGGCCACCACAACATGAAGGACTGTATGAGAGGGTCTCAGCATTAGGAGAACCACTGCCCTGCTTGTTTTTGAGATGTTCTATGTAGCAGCAGCTTCCTTGGGACTCACTACACAGCCTAGAATGGTCTCATTCTCCTGCGTCTGCCTCCTCCAGAATCCTGAAATTACAGGCTTGCCCCTCACCACCAGGCTTTGTATTTTCTGTGTTTTTTAGCTTTTCAACTTGTAAAAAACCCTTTATTTATCTTCCATTTACCTAGTCACATATGGTGGTGTTGTTTTAAAAACAGAGTCTCATATAGCCCAGGCTTGCCTTGCATTCATTATATAGTCGAGGACTTGAATTCCTGATTCTCCGCTTCTATTTCATTTGTTCCATGCCACATCCAACTCCTAGATTCTCCATCCTCCCTCCCTCCTTCCCTCCCTCCCTCTTTCTCTCTTTCTTTTTCTTTCCTTCTTTCAAGACAGGGTTTCTCTGTGTAATAGCCCTGGTTGTTCTGGGATTTGCTTTTCTAGACAAGGCAGGCCTCAAACTCACAGAGATTGGCCTGTCTCTGCCTCCTGAGTTCTGGGGTTAAAAGCTGTGTAACCACTGCCTAGTGTAGCTCCTGGGTTCTTATTTAAAGTTGTGACCTGTTATTGTCATTCTGAATCTCATTGCCCTGGGTTGGGAGTGGAGGATATTTAAAGGCTTCTGTGCGCTGTATAAGAAAGTTCAGCAGAACTGGACAGATGGCTCATCCGTTAGGAACACTGGCTGCTCTTCCAGTGGACCCAGGTTTGATGCACCGCACCCACATGGTGGTTCACAACTCTTAGCAACTCTAGGGGATCCGACGCCCTCTTCTGACATCCGCAGGCACCAGGAATGCACATGGCCCAGATATACATGCAGACAGAACACTCAAATACATTTTTTAAAATGTAAGCAGTATGTTTAAAAAACAAAACAAAACAAAACAAAAGAAAGCTGGGCGTTGGTGGTGCATGCCTTTAATCCCAGCACTCTGGAGGCAGAGGCAGGCGGATCTTGGAGTTCGAGGTTTAAAGAGTGGTCCAGGACAGCCAGGGCTACACAGAGAAATCCTGTCTTGAAAAACCAAAACAAATAAGAAAAAAGAAAGGAGGAAAGAAGGAGAGAGGGAGGGAGGGAGAGAGAGAGAGAGAGAGAGAGAGAGAGAGAGAGAGAGAGAGAGAGAGAGAGAGAGAGAGAGAGAGAGAGAGAGAGAGAGAGAAAGGAAAAAGTTCTGGAAGGTCACCGACCTAAGAACTCATTTAAGGCAACACTACAGTCAAATCCTATGTAAGGTCCCGGTGTCTCAATCAAGATTGCGGGCATCCTCTCATTGAGGATGCCCCGCCTGCATCCCTACAACAAATTCACCTGCCGCCCCGCCCCTCCCCCCTGCAGTAGCGGGCCTATGGGTTGTCCCACTTCAACACGTTAATAGTCCCGCCCCTGTACGCTGATTGGCTAAGGTGTTAGGTTGGCACTGCGCAGAGAAAACCCGGAGAAGTAATTTCCGCCTCAGGAATGGCTCCGCGCCTCTGCTGCGCATGCTCACTAATAGTGTAATGGCGTTCCTAGCCGGTTCCGCGCGGGGGCGCGCGCGCGGGCACGGGCTCGCTCCCCGGGGGGCAGTTGGCGGCTGGATCGGGCGCTCGGGTCTTGGTTCGTACGTAGAGCAGCCCCGGCTGCTAGGCCGACGCCTCCGTTGGCGGAGACCCACACGAAGGACCGCGTGGCTCAGCCGCGGGTGAGGACGGGCCCCTACGGGCGGGAAGGTCCGGCCCGCGGGGCGATGCCTGGTCCGGCTGCCCCAGGGTCGGGCCCGGTGATGGGGAGGAGCCCCAGCTCCGCAGCTCGGGCTCGGACTCGGGTCGCCTCCTTGTCGGTCATCCGCGGTGCGTCTTCTTTCTCCCTGCTCTCTGCACCAACCCACCCGACCCCTGTACGGATCTCAGCATCCCTAAATCCCGGATCACACATTTGCCCGTCTTCCTCGGACCGTGTCCACCCTGCCCACTGCGTGTCTGCCTGGCTCTGTCCTCTGCTGCGGCCCATCCTTGCGGCCGCAGGTCCCAGTGACCTTGCACTTTTTGCCGGTGGTTATCCCTCTGACTATAGATTGCCCGTTATGGCTTTCAAACTTTGTGACTCATTCTAGACTGAGAAACATGTTTTATGTGTATATTCTGTGCCTGACGATAGATTCGTGAATCACAAGTTTAAAGAGAGCCGCTTACCCGACTCACATGACGCAGATCTATTAGGCTCTGTTCTAATTCATTCCTTTCTCTTCCGTTCCATTCCATTCCATTCCATTCTATACCAAATTATTGACTTGCTAACGCATTGATTGAAGACCTAGTTCATCTGATATCTTTAAACCCTCCTTTACTCCTTACTGACATAGTCAGATAATTATTCCAAAGAAAGACCTTTTTGTTGTGGTGGGTTTTTGTTTGTTGTTGTTTTTTGTTTTTGTCTGTTTGTTTTTACGTTTATGCTTTCTAGGGTCCATACTGTTGCTGGGGCTTGATTTAGGTTTTCTGGTATGATTCAGGTATGTTTTTCTCATTGTTCTTCCTAGAGCCAGGAGTCTGACAGGTGGGGGAAAAAACCGAAGTTGTGGTAAAGGAGCTTCTTACTGGTGATCTGATGAGATGCTCACCTATGACAGAGATGGCTTTTACTGGAAGCGTGTGTGTGTGTGTGTGTGTGTGTGTGTGTGTGTGTGTGTGTAAACTTGATTTTTAAGAAGAGCAATTTGTCAGCTTGTCGGTACTCTTGGGGAAAATTGGGGAAGCCGAGGCTGAAGACCATCAGAGCACTGCCCGGATCTAGCTGGGCTGAAGGGGAGGCAGTGAGGACGGAAGCCTCGGTGACAGGAAAGCAGATGGAAGGTGGTGTTATTACACACACACAGAGTGGCATTTGAGTACCGTCAGGCTAGGCCAAGGAGCACATGTAGCCAAGATTCTGATCTAGGATGATCAGTGTGTCAGTTGGCTTGCCTTGTTTCCTCATCGTTCATGAGTGTGTGTGCGTGTGGGTGTGTATGTGTGTATGCATGCAGAGGCCTATTCCATTGCTCTCTGCCTTATTCCTTTAAGACACAGTCTCACTGGACCTGGAGCTATCCTGGAAGCCATGCCTCTGCCTTCTTCAGCACTGAGGTCACAGCCTACCGTCACATGAACGCTGGTATCTGAGCTAATGTCCTCATGCATATGCAGCAAGTGCTGTTGTCTGCTGAGCCGTCCTTACCCCACCCCCATCCCCAGCTTTCCGTATCTGTGACAAAATACTTCTGTGTTGGTGTGCTCCTCAGGGGGACGGGGATAATGACGTCGAGAGAATACAGTGAGAACACATTAATTTTCTTTGGTTTTGGAGAATCTAGTCCAAGATCTGGTAGTCGGATTTCCTTACAAGGGATGGGCTGTGTGATGATGGCTCTGAGCATATAATGAAGCAAGATGCTTCTGTCATAGTCAGGAAGCAAGAGTGAGACGGACTGGGGTTCCCAGAGGTCACTCAAGGGCATGCCCCAGTGATCTAAGGGCCTCCCCTAAAGGTTTCATGACCTCCCAATGGTGCTACATTGATTCTTTGATTAGTAAAAAAGAAAAAATTCTTCTGAGACAGGGTCTTTCTAGGTAGGTCTGACACCTAGAATTCAATGTGTAGCCCAGGCTGGCCTTGAACTCAACCTGTAGCCCAGGCTGGCCTTGAACTAAAATGCTGGAATTAAAGACATTTCACCACCGCATCCTGCTGCAGTGTCTGTATTTCTAATTGCTTTGAAACAGTACTCTCAGTCTGCTGTCCTCATCTCCCCACCCAAGACAGCCAGCAGTATTGCTTCCACAGCTGCTTGGGAAAACAGGTGATGGTGGATTTTATGTAGTTCATAGAGACCAGAGGGGCGGATAAACACCCTATCCTGCGTCTCTCTTCTGTTGCTGCTGTCCCCAGAGACCCAGAGACTGGTCTCCCTCCTCCTTCCCCCCTTTTCCCATTCCTTTTGCCCTAATAAGAAATCCCTCCATGTGAGCTCTCTCGAATGGCATCTTTCTCTCTTGTGATGCTTTTTAAATTACAACATGCTGGGGAGTTGGATTCAGTATCTCATACTTTTACAGCAAATGCTCTTACCCACTGAGCTTTCTCCCCTCACCCTCATTCACTGCTTTTCCTACTGTAGGTGAGTGGCCAGGAAGTTCTGGGAATAACATGCAAGGGCATGGTAATATATTTTATCTCCCATGTAAAGGTAAACTGTCGCTCTGCTGTTAGCTGCCAAGAGAGGCTTCTGGCTTTCAGTATTTTATAGTTGGCAGTTAGGGATTGGATTCAGTTGTGACTGAGGCACTGAGTAATTCCTAACATTGCAGGGTTTCTTGGCCTACTCTGAGCAGTGTGTGACCACCAGCAGGGCCACAGTAGGAGAGCTGTAATCACCCAGCTCTGACATCAACACTGAGGGAGGAGAGGGGATGGAGAGTAAACCACAAACTTTAGACTCTTCAATGTGCTGTTCACATCTGTCTAACCTGAACATACTGTGTTTTTGTTATAGACATATTGAGTGAGAAGTAGATGTTGCAAAATAAACACATTAAAGCTCAAGTCGATGGACAAAGTAAATAAGACTGGGAGGGCATGGTGGCACACATCTGTAATCTTAGCATGTGGAGGTAGAGAAGGGAGGACCAGGCATTCAAGACCAGCCACAGCTACATAATGGGTTTGATGCCAGCCTGGGCAGAGGTAGGTGGATCTCCTTGAGTTCCAGGGCAGCCTGATCTGCATAGTGAGACCTGGTCTCAACAAGGAAAAAAAAATCCCCAAGCAAACAGATCCTGATGTGCTGGATGGATGACTCAGCAGGTACAGGCACTTGCTGCCATGCTGAGGACCTAATTAGACAACCAGAATCCATCTTGACCATAGATAACTAACTGCTGCATGTCTCTTGACCTCCATCTCTGCGCCTCACATGTAATCGAGTGCATGCATACATCCACACAGACAACAAAACCCTGTCTCCTAAAACCAAAAAAAAAAAAAAAAAAAAAAAAAGATGCATTTTAGGGTTTTGTTTTGGGGGTTTCCTTTTTTTTTTTTTTTTTTTTTTTTTTTTTGGTTTTTCGAGGCAGGGTTTCTCTGTATTGTTTTGGAGGCTGTCTTGGAACTCGATCTGGAGACCAGGCTGGCCTCAAACTCACAGATCCGCCTACCTCTGCCTCCCGAGTGCTGGGATTAAAGGCGTGCACCGCCAATGCCCAGCTCCTTTTTTTTTTTTTAAGATTTTATTTATTATTAATTCATTACAGATGGTTGTAAACCACCATGTGGTTGCTGGGAATTGAACTCAGGACCTCTGGAAGAGCATCCAGTGCTCTTAACTTCTGAGCCATCTCTCCAGCCCGTTTTGGGGGTTTTCAAGATAGTTCTTTGGGTAGCCCTGGCTGTCCTGGAACTCTGTAGACCACCACCTCCCAGCTTTGTTTTGTTTTTTTTAAACTGAAATAGGGTTGGGGACATGACTCAGCCAGCTAGCTGTGAGGGCTGGTTTTGACCCTATTGTTCATGTGAGGCCAGGTGTGGTATCCTGCGTCTGTAGTCCTAGCTTCTGTGTTGAGATGGAGACAGGAGAAGTTCAGGACTCTCGTAAACAAGCTAGCCTGGTATTTCCTTCCAGTAGGGAATAAGAAACTCTTCCTCAAATCAGGTGAAGGCAAAGACTGACACCCCAGGTTGTCATTTGACCTCCACATGCGTGATGTTCTTGTCTACACTTATACTCAAGCACATGTGTGTACCATCATGTACATACATACAAAGACACACAAAGATAAAAAAGCAGGATTATATGGAGAACCCCATATCCCCATCAACATGAATGTCAGCATCTTACACTTTTTATCAGATTTTTTTTAAGATTTATTTATTTATTACATACATAGTGTTCTGCCTACATACCAGAAGAGGACACCAGATTGAATTGTAGATGGTTGTGAGCCACCATGTGGTTGCTGGGAATTGAACTCAGGATCCTTGGAAGCGCAGTCAGTGCTCTTAACCTCTGAGCCGTCTCTCCAGCCCTTTATCAGATTTTTTATTGTGTGTTTTATTGTGTTTGTGTGATGTGGGAAAGGTCTCATGCTATGACTCTTGGGTGGAGGTCAGAAGACAACTCTGTGGAATCAGTTCTGCTTTTATGTGGCTTCCAGGGATCAGGCTTGCACAGTTAGTGCTTCTACCCACTGAGCTATCCTATCCCTCTGAGCTGGCCTTGATTTTTGTTTGTTGAGACAAGACCTGATTATGTAGCACAGACTGGCCTCAAATTCTACCTCAGCCTCCTGAGTGAACTCTCCTCATGCCTGGTTTTATTTGCTTCTGGGGAATAAAGTAGTCTTATATTCACCAGGCAAGCATTTTTTTTAGGGTTTATTTATTTATTAGATATACCATGTTCAGTCTGCATGTGTGGCTGCAGGCCAGAAGAGGGAACTGGATCTCATTACAGATGGTTGTGAGCCACCATGTGGTTGCTGGGAATTGAACTCCGAACCTCTGGAAAAGCAGCCAGTGCTCTTAATGTCTAATCTATCTCTCCAGCCCCACCAAGCAAGCATTTTAGCTACTGAACTACATCCCCAAATAGTTTTTTTTCTGTTTTTGTTTTTTTTTACACTTTTTTTTTTTTGGTTTTTCGAGACAGGGTTTCTTCTGTGGCTTTGGAGGCTGTCCTGGCACTAGCTCTTGTAGACCAGGCTGGCCTCGAACTCACAGAGATCCGCCTGCCTCTGCCTCCCAAGTGCTGGGATTAAAGGCGTGCGCCACCAACGCCCGGCTTTGTTTTGTTTTTTAAATTTTTTTTTTTTTGCCTGCATGAATGTCTGTGTGAGGGCGTTGGCCCCCTAGAATTGGAGTTATAGACAGTTATAAGCCACCATGTGGGTGCTGGGAATTATACCCAGGTCCTCTGGAAGGGCAATCAGGGCTCTTAACTGCTGAGCCACCTCTTCAGCCCCCTCCATTGGTGTTTTTAAACACAGAGTGTACAGTCATCACCTTGGCCAATTTTGGGACACTTTCATGATTGCAGGTGAAAACTACACCCATTAGCAATCACTTCTCAGTCTCCAGATCCCACCACTCAATTGTTTTCAGTCTCTATATGCTGGCCGTCTCTAAACCCAATCCTAAGAGACTGACCCTTTCCTACTGGTTTCTTTTACTAAGGGTATTTAAGAAGAAGCAGCTGCTGGGCATGGTGGTGTACATCTTTAATCCCAGCACTGGGGAGGCAAAGGCAGATCTCAGCGAATGAAAGGTCAGCCTGATCTATAGAGTGAGTTATAGGACAGCCAGGGCTACACAGAGAAACCCTGTCTTGAAAAACAAGCAAAAAAACTTGAAAAAAATGTGTTTTTGCTTTGTAGACAGACTCAGGGTATTACTTTGTAGTCTTGGCTAACCTGCAACTTACTATGTAGACCAGGCTGACCTGGAACTCAGATATTCACATGCCTCTGTCTCCTGAGTGCTAGGACTAAAGGTGTGTGCCACTATGCTCAGCTTTTTATGAAAAAAAATTTTTAAAGAAGCTAAAAATGTCTGGAGTGTTACCGTCTTATTTAATGGCTCTTATTGGAAGGTGGGAAACTCATTGCTAGCTACATATTACTCAGTTGTTCCAGAAAGACAAGAAGGTCAGCCCACCCTGGGGTAGCACCCCATATCTGACCATCCTTGTCCAGACTGGAACCCTGGAACCCTGGATGCCTAGCCAAGGCAACACCAGTAACAGAAGCTGCAAGGTCAATGCAAAGGGCCTCTGGTATCTGGAGGACTAGGCTGAGTTGAGGCCTCCAGGGTAGGTCAGAGAATAACCTGTGTGAGCCGAGTTCCATTTCCCAGAGCTAGGCATCAGTCTTCTGCCATGCAGAGTACTAGCACTTACTGGCCTGGGTTCTTTGAGACAGGTACCCAGTATTGAGGTGAACTGCACAGTGCCAAGGTAGGCACACAGGCATCTGAGCAGGTACGGTGGGATTTCATCCTGTTCGTTCCTAGGCATGTCTGTTTCCTGCCTTTTAAATGGGCCATTAAGAATGTAAGGGATCAGCCGGGCGGTGGTGGCGCACGCCTTTAATCCCAGCACTCCGGAGGCAGAGGCAGGCGGATCTCTGTGAGTTCGAGGCTGGGCTGGACCAATAGCCTCCAAAACAATACAGAGAAACCCTGCCTCGTACAAACCAAAAAAAAAAAAAAAAAAAAAAAAAAAAAAAAAGTAAGGGATCTATGCTAGACGTTGATGAGGCTTCTAAGGTAGAAACTCAGTAGAAACTCAGTAGCTAGTACGTTGATCACCAGCAGCCCTGGAAAGGCTTGGGTGGGGGCTGTCTGCCCGGGGCTTCTACTTCTGTCGGGTCTCCTCCAGGCTCCATCACAGACCCACTTGTTAGAGCCCCAGGTCCAGGAGCCTCCTCCACTAACTGCCTTGGTTCCTCTCTTAGGACAGAGGCTTGAGAGGAAGAGGAAGAAGGGGAAGAGCGACCCATCTCCCAGGAGGCTGAAGGTGGCCTGAGGGCCAGACTCTGAGACCAGGATGCCCCTGCCTGAGCCCAATGAGCAAGAGAGTGAGCGTGTAAAAGCTGGCCAGGAGCCCCAGGAGCCCTCCAATGTGGCCCCGGCTAGGGACAAAGGGGGGTCCAAACCAACAGGTGCCGTGTCCCTGGAGATGTCAGGTCCTGCCACCCAGTCCACCAACACCCCCCAGGCTGTGCCGGCTAAGAAGCAGGGGCGGATAATTCACCGGAAACGCAGCAGGGTAGATGCAGGTGAGATTTCCTGGTCCTGCTGGTCCTGGGTCTGTTGGCCTGTACACCTCGTTTTCCACCAGGGTGACCTATGAGATCCCATTCTTCCATTCAGTTACGCTATTTAGTCTCTAAGTACATCCTGTGTCCCAGGCACCAGGCCCACTCCCTGAGCTATATCCAGAATTCTCTAAACTCCTTAAATCTCCCTTATTCACAAAGCCTGGGCTTGCCTGGCAGTTAGGAGCCTGAGAAAGCGTCCTGCCTACAGGGTCCTACCTATTCACAGACCCACTCACCAAGGCCCCTGACCTTGACCTTTGCCCTAGAGAAGCTAATCCAGCCTTTTTCATATCCTCAGCTGCCCCTCAGCCCCTGGAGTTCCTGAAGACCCCATATGGGGGCCGCCTTCTAGTGCACAAGTCATTCCTGTACAAGCAAGAGAAGGCTGTGGGGGACAAGGTGTACTGGAAGTGCCGCCAGCACTCAGAGCTGAGCTGCCGGGGACGGGCCATCACCCGTGGCTTTCGGGTCACTGTGATGCGGGACCATTGTCATCCACCTGATGAGGAGGGCCTGGAGGTCCGGCGCCAGAAGGAGAAGCTGCCTAGCTCAGACCTGCCTGAAGGCTCTGAAGGCCAAGAAGATGGGGTGAGCCTATGGCTGTACCCTGTGGAACCAGAGCCCACCCCTCAGCAAAGCATTGAAGCCCCAGAGGAGGAGCAGGGGTACCGATCCCTGGCACTGCAGAGCTTGCCTCCCAAGAAACGCCCCACACCAGGAGTGGGTGAGTACTTGTCCTCTGCTCACTTGGAGCAGGAAAGAACCCTGGGATCCTTCATGCCCAAATTAAAAAAAAATGTGGGGTTTCATGGGGGTACTTGAACTGTGCTCAAAATCAAAACTATAAATGCACCCCAGTCATCATTAAGCCCATGGGACAGACAGCATTGTGATACGGGGGTCCTGGGGCCTTCCAGAATTTCCCATGCAGTGGGGCTTGGTATGGGTCCTAGAGATCTGCATGCTGATGGGCAGGTTTCAGTGATTCAGGCTAAGTTTGGCAGGGTTCCCAGGGGCAAGGTGTGGCTTTTGAGTCACAGGTTCAGATTCTAACCCTGTGAATTGAGGCCTTGATCTCAGATAAGTCACGTGAGTTCTGGGGTCACAGGAGCTTATTCCTGAGGCAGGCTGTAGTAGGAGCTTGTAGTAGGGGGTGGAAGGGAGCGTGAGCTTAGCTAGCTGAGGGGTGGTGTGCGGTCTTAGAGTAGGTAGGCGTGGCTTCTGGGAGCCTGGATGGTTCCTGACCACAGGAGCTGTGAGGATCTGAGTGGCTGCACTGGGTTCTGGTGGGAGGAGCATCTTTTCCCAAATGTTAAGAATATGTGAGTGTGTGCCTGCCTATATTACTCCAAAAGAGGAGCTAAGGATGTTATTCGGTGGCAGAGCACTTGCCAAGCATCTTTAAGGCCTTAGGCTTAATTCTATACACTGTAAAAACGAAAAAGCTAGACAAAAATTTTGAACAAATCCTAGAAAAAAATGGCCAAGGGTGGCCCAGAATATAACCTATGAATCAGAGCCGAGCTTGGCCCCTCCCATTGTGGTATGAACTGGAGAGCTGAGAGATAATTGACTTGGAAAAGAACCTTGTTCCTCTTGGGTGGCTTGGGTGCATTGGACTTCACACATGCCCAGCTCAGGGAAGTATGTCATCATTTGGGAGAAAGATACTTGGCAGTTCCTCCTGGGACCCCTGGACTCTTGTCCTTGGTGTGTGACCTTCTTGGGTTCTTCCTCCAGTACGGTATCGGCCCCTTGAGTTCCTGAAGACATGTTATGGGGGCACTTTCCTGGTTCATCAGTCGTTCCTCTACAAGCGGGAGAAGACCGTAGGGAGCAAGGTGTACTGGACCTGCCGGGAGCATGCGGTGCATGGCTGCCGTAGCCGTGCCATCACCCAGGGCCAGCGAGTGACAGTGATGCGCAGCCACTGCCACTCACCTGACATAGAAGGCCTTCAGGCCCGGCGACAGCAGGAAAAGACCATAAAGAAGATACAGGCAAGGCGAATTGGTGCTGGGGACTTGGAGGATTGCGATGACATCGAGGACACACTGCTCCAAGGGGTGGACAGCCTGTTCTACCGCAGGGGGCAGGGCAGACTGACTCTGAGCCGGTCCAGGTCCAGAAAACGAGCAAGGAAGAATAAGGAATCCTTTCAGGAACCCCCCGAGCAGGAGGACCAGGACGTGGACCCAAGTGAGTCTTAGTGTTTGGGGAGCCTGTGCCCAGAATTGGCTGCCTCATTTTGGGAGGTGGTAGCCAGCCTGCATTCTTAATCTACATCCTCTGCCCCACCCCTAACTGTCTTTGCCATGCTCTTGCAGGAGGCCCAGAGTTCCTGAGGACTCCTCTAGGGGGCAACTTCCTGGTGTATGAGTCCTTCCTCTATAGGCGGGAGAAAGTAGCTGGTGAGAAGGTGTACTGGACTTGCCGGGATCAAGCACGAATGGGCTGCCGCAGCCGAGCCATCACTAAGGGCCGGCAGGTGACTGTGATGCGAAACCACTGTCATCCACCTGACCTGTTAGGATTGGAGACTCTGAGGCAGCGGGAGAAACGCCCCGGCCCCACTCAGTGGGATGGCCCAGGTACCTGCCGTGACCCCACAGTTTTTTTTTCTACTGGTTACATGTGTCCTGCCCTCTGTCCTTCTGTAAATATTCTGGAAGTCACAGTCCTCTCTTCTGTGACTCCCCGCTTCTGCCCCATACTCAGTCCGTCTGGGATTTGCTCCCCCAGGTTCCTCTTTACCTGCCAACTTATTCTTCTAGGCCCAAAACCTGATAAACCTAATCTCTCCTCTGTTATCTTAGAGGCTGCTGAATGTGTAAGACCAGTTCCTTATTGCTACAGTGAAAGCAGAGGTCAGCGAGTCAGTCTCAGAGTCTGGGAGCTGAAAGAGCCAAACCTCCCTCCAGCTTTAGCTGTTGCAAACCTGCATGCTAGAGTCCTGGCTCTGCCCATCTGGCTCCAGAGGAGCCTGGTGTCTGCCTGGGGAAAGGGGTTGTAGCCTTCTCACCTGGTCAGCACTGAGTTCTTCAGCCCACACTCACCAGCCTCCGAGTCCTGTAGCCTTTGGAGTCCTCTGAGTTACCTTTTAGTTCTAAATTTATTCCAGATACAGGGGGTGTTTTACCATCCTTACTCCCTTTTTGTTCAGTTTCTATGACAACCCTTATAAACAGGGAGATGATGCCAGGTCATGACATCACTACCAGCCCCGCACATCTCTACTCTAAGCATTTGCTTCCCCGTTTCTTTTCTTTTCTTTTTTTGATTTTACAAGACAGGGTTTCTCTGTATTGTTTTGGAGGCTGTCGGTCCAGCCCGGCCTCGAACTCACAGAGATCCGCCTGCCTCTGCCTCCGGAGTGCTGGGATTAAAGGCGTGTGCCACCATCGTCCGGCTTGCTTCCCCATTTCTTAAAATGCATTCTACCACTATTAAATTAATCCATTTTGTCCACTTTTAAATCTCCTTATTACCTGCTGATGTCCAGCCAGAGGGACTGAATTAGCTTTGATATACTTTTGAGTAGGTTTTATGCTTTTGTTTGCTTGATTATGGGTCATTGTTTTGTTTTTTGAAACAGGGTCTTTTTTTTTTTTTTTTTTTTTTTTTTTTGGTTTTTCGAGACAGGGTTTCTCTGTGGCTTTTGGAGGCTGTCCTGGAACTCGCTTGGTAGTCCAGGCTGGCCTCGAACTTACAGAGATCCGCCTGCCTCTGCCTCCCGAGTGCTGGGATTAAAGGCGTGCGCCACCAACGCCCGGCTTGAAACAGGGCCATAAGTCTCAACTATGTAGCTTTGAATAGCCTCAAACTCAGAGATCTGCTTGCCTCTGTGTGTGTGCACATGTGCGTGAGTATGCACGTGCATAAGTGCATGCAAACTTTGGCATACATGTATGAGTCCAAGGACAACATGTAGGAGTTAGTTTTTCCTTCTGTCATGTAGGTCCTGGGGATTGAACTGAGACTGACAATCTTGGAAGCAAGTGCCTTTGTTTTCTGAACTGTCTTACTAGCCCCTGCCTCCTGTTCTTATCAAATTCTGCCCCTGCTAAGCTGGGACTACCCTGCACTTTTCTTTCCTTCCCTGTGTGGCTGTCCAAAAGCTGCTGTGTGCGCCTCTTTCTCCGAGGACCCATCACTGCCCACGTCTTTCTCCACTGTCTTTGTATCACATCAGTAAAGGACTCCAAAGCTTGCCGAGCCCTGCTTCAGCCTTGCCCGGGGATTGGTGCTAAGCCTGACCATCACCTACATTCCGTTGGCTAGGTGAATTGCCTCTGGGCTTTCTTGTCTTGGTTTGAGAGGTCCTTGAGCCAGGCATCTTGGAGGACCTGTTTGAGACCCTGCCCATCAGGAGCTGTTGGTGATTTCCTCATACATTTGCTGGGTAGTGTGGCTGTCTGAGAGTGCCAGGCTGTAAAGTGTCACTGCACAGTAGCTGAATCTACTGGAAAATAGCATAGTCTTTTTCCTATGGCTGACCCTAGAGGTGTGACCAGATTCTGCTGTAGGACTTGGGAATCTTCTGCCTCCCTGATGTGTCAAAGCTGTGGTTCCCTAGGTTCCTTTTCAGACCGTAGCTTTCGTTCGTCAACAGTGTCTTCCTTGCATTTGTTCTGTTCTGTTTTGGGACAGGGTCTCTCTGGGTACTCCTGGCTTTCTGGAGCTTATTATGTAGACCAGGCTGGGTTTGAACTTGAGGAGATCCTCTTGCTTCTGCCTAAGTGCATAGAAGAAAGGTACGAGCCACCATGCCTGATGCAACAGTGTCTGTCTTCTCACATGCCTACCTAATGCTTCTGTTCCGTGGCTTTCTGTGGCTAGAGTTATACAGTCGTTGACCCTCCTGTGATGACCCTGGTCACTTTTGCAGTGCCATCTCAGATTTTCTAGGTTTTGTTTTCTGTTTCTTCTACTAAAGCTTTAAGTGTCTGCCCTCATACAAAAGTGACTTTTGTATGGTGCCTAGTCTTGGCAGAATGATGGCCGCTGCCTGTGTCCTGCTGAGGCAATAGCCGGTTTCTCCAGACACAGTCTCCGCCTGCGTGCTCTGGTGTCTGCCTCCCAGCATGCAGCTTTCCCCTGTGTATTGGCCTTCCAGGCCCTGTCTGTGCACGGGACCTCACTTTGCCTCTGCAGAACTGGAGTAGTTCTGGGTCTTAGCAATATTCCAACAGAGACCTCTGCCTCCTCTTCCCTGGGCACCCTGCTTTGTTCCTCATGTATAAACCCACCTTGATGCCCTTGTGCCTCCAGTTCCCCAGTGCCTCTCTGGCTCAGCCACTGTGTACATGTTTGGGGCGGATCTTGTTACAGGGCTTGGCTGAGTTCTGTTGTTTACTGTGTAAGTGAGTGTTTTTCCTTCATGTGCGTTTATGCTTATTGAAGGCCAGAGGCAGCACTGAATCCCCAGAAACTGGAGTTTAGATGGCTGTGAGCTGCTGTGTGGGTGTTGGAAAGAGACCCTGCTCTGGAAGAGCGGCCCATGCTCTTACTGGCTGAGCCATCTTTCCAGCCCCTTGACTCAGGTTCTATCTCGCTACATCCTTAACATCTTACAATTCCTCTGCCTCTGTTCATTCTGTTGGTGTCTTTGGCTTACTGTTTCTCTGTCCTTGTACTCTACCCGTTTTTATTTCCTGAAAACCATTTTTTATTTTATTGTTCACATATGTAGTTGCTTTGCCTGTTTATATGTTTATGTACTATATGTATGCCTTGTGTCCATAGAGGCTGTGCCTGGTACTTGTGGATGCCAGAAGAGGGCATCAGATTCCCTAGAACTGGAGTTATAGATGGTTGCAAGCCTTTGTGTGGCTGCTGGGATTCAAACTTGGGTCCACTGGAAGAGCAACCTGTGTCTTGTAACAGCTTAACTTCCATCTCTCCAGCCCAGCCCTGACAAACATTTGACTCCAGTGTGGAGGAGGTAGACCATTCCCCACAACCACAAGAGGCTCTCCTCCCTCTTGGCCTCTTGGCTGCTCTGCAGGTTGTCCTAACCTCCTGGTCTCCTTCCCTACCTCTCTGGTCACTCTGGAGTCAGATGCTTTTACCCAAGCCCTCAGCCTCTCAGGGCTGCCCACCTCCAGCTCCTTTGTCATTTGGTGACTTCCTAGTCTGTCACTGTCTTCAGTGCTCCTACTAATATGGCCCATTAAGCCCTGCTTAAAGTGTCCCTGATTTCCTAATCCAGAGTCCACATTCTGCCAAACAGCATGACCAGGCCTGCCACAGCAATGCCTGGCTCCCTGGTACCAACTTCTGTCTTAGTCAGTGTTGCACTGCTGTGAATACAGACCGTAACCCCGACAGCAACGACGACTGTCATAAAAGAACACGTTTAATTGGGATTTGCTTACAGTTTCAGAGATTTAGTTCATTATCATCACAGTGGGGACCATGGCAATACACAGGCTGGAGAAGTACTTGAGAGTTCTCCATCTACATCTGTAGGCAGCAGGAAGAGAGAAAGTCACTAGGCCTGGCTTTGACTTCTAAAACTTCAAAAGAAAAGCCCCTCCCCCCAGTGATATACTCCCTCCCAATCCTGACAGTGCCACTCCCTGGTGACCAAGCATTCAAATCTGTGAGGCTATGGGGGCCAATTCTGTTGAAACCACAACAGCCCTTGTGCCTGGTCACGGTGATCACGGGAGGTAGTGGGGAACGAGGGTCCTCTAGGTAAGGCCAGGCTGTCTTTCAGGTTCCTCTTACCTCCACAGCTCAAGCTTAAGCCCAGCTAACACACATATACAGCCCTTGGGCTCATGACTAAAACCCCCTCTTTAGTTCGGAGCTGCTTTGACCCCCAACTCACTCTTCAGACTATGGAGTACCTGCCGCTGGCCTGGAGGGCACCTAATTTAGTGAGCAAACAAACACCCTGCTCCCTCCGACACTATCATGCTGGAGCCTTTACCTGCAGGGCTTGGCCTGGCCAGTCTCCAGCCTTGGGATGGGTAGACCCTGGCCCCTGAGGGCACAGTGGGGTTTGCGGACACAGGGCTATCTTACTGTGAGCAGGGGGAGGCATGAAGTGGGTGGTAGGGTCTCTCCAACATGGATGGTGTTCTTGGCTACAAAACTAGGAACATTCCCCAGCCCTCCCCTCCTAATGTCAGGTTCAGCTTCCATGCCCCTTCCCTGATTGCTTCCCTGGTTTCTTTACAGAGGGGCCAGAGTTCCTGAAGACCCCTCTTGGGGGCAGCTTCCTGGTGTATGAGTCCTTCCTCTATAGGCGGGAGAAAGCAACTGGAGATAAAGTGTACTGGACTTGCCGAGACCAGGCGCGCATGGGCTGTCGTAGCCGTGCCATCACCCAGGGCCAGCGGGTGATGGTCATGCGCAGGCACTGCCATCCACCTGACATGGGTGGCCTGGAAGCTCTGCGGCAACGAGAGAACTTCCCTAACCTGACCAACTGGGAAGGCCCAGGTATGTGGAGGGAGAGTGCCTTCTCGTCATCGCCCTGCAACATTCCAGGCCCTTTCCAGGCTCTGTGCTTGAGGCACCGATTTTACCATGTGATTGATCGCTGTTGCTGAGAGACACTAACTCTGGCCCAAAGAAAAAGTGAGGGTGGTGGGCTAGGGGTGGCATGGCTGGCAGTCGCCAGTGACTCGTGACTGAGCAATATAAAGACCCTCCATCCCAGGGCCTCTATTTCTCCTGTCTTCTCCCTGGGCCTGTTCTGCTCTAGCAAAGTCTGAAAATGGCTTTGTGGCCAGCTGGTGGGCGGGGAAATAACAGGCCCCCACTATACAGAACAGATTAATCCCTGGCCTCCCAGCAGGGCTACCTGTCTGGTGGACCCCAGTAAACATGAGTTTGTAGTCTTGTGAGGCCTCCAGCAGAGCTCCAGGGGGCAGCCCAGGCGGCATCGGAGCCTCTGCAAAGGAAAGCAAGTATGTATTAGTATCTAAGAACCATGGCTGAGCAGTAGTCCCCAGAGCCCGGGGGAGCAGGCAAAGCAGAGGGGACAGGTACTAGTGTTGGGATTGCAGTGGACAGAGAAAGGCCAGTGGTCCCCTCACAGCATGACTCTGCCCCTACAGAGCCTCTGCAGCCACTGGAGTTCCTGCGGACCCCCCTTGGCGGCCGATTCCTGGTGTATGAGTCCTTCCTGTACAGGAAGGAGAAGGCTGCTGGTGAGAAGGTGTACTGGATGTGTCGGGACCAGGCTCGTCTGGGCTGTCGCAGCCGTGCCATCACCCAGGGCCGCCGGGTCATGGTGATGCGGAGCCACTGCCACCCACCTGACCTGGATGGCCTGGAGGCCCTGCGGCAGCGAGAACAGGAGCAGCGAGAGCGGGAGCAAGAACAAGAAAGAGAACGAGAGCAGGAACTAGAGAGAGAGCGAGAGCAAGAGCGAGAGCGGGAACGGGAACGGGAGCAGGAGCGGCGCGCCAATGCAGCCAAGAAGAAAAAGAAGAAGAGGAGGAAGAAGAAAAGTATGTTCTGAGTGACCAGGGACTTTAGGCCTAACTTCTTCATTTCCAGAACCTTCTTTCCCTCTCATTTCTATTGATCCCTTCCCATTGACATGAAACTATACTACGTCTTCGTAGTCCTTAGACCAGCTTCCATTACAAATTGATCCTCTTTTTTTTCTTTTCTTCCTCTGCCCCCTCCACTGAGACAGGATTTCTTGGTGTAATAACAATCCTAACTGTCCTAGAACTCATTTTGTAAACCAGGCTGGCCTTGAACCTAGATCTGATTTTTCAAGAGATAGTAACCTAAAAAGTATTGAGCTGTCTTAGAATAAAAGAGGAAGATCAAGTCCAGCATAGTGGCACACACCTTTAGTGCCAGCACTGAGGAGGCAGATCTCTGTGAGTTCAAGGCCAGCCTGGTCTACAGAGCTAGTTCCAGGACAGCTTCCAAAGCCACAGAGAAACCCTGTCTCAAAAACAAAACAAAAAAAAAAAGAAGAGGTTAGAGCAAGAATAATGTTGGAAGTAGGTCCTCTGCCCTTGAGCCTTCAGATGACTGGTCCTGGTGACATCTCCTCAACTTCATGGTGAGTCAGAACTACCCAGCCCAGCCACTCTTATAATTTTGACCTCCAAAAGCTGTATTGGATGATTTGTGACAGTGCATTGGCTATCAAAGGCAATTACCTACAAGTCTCCTGGCTCTCAGGAGAACCTCAGGCACCAGTTTCATCTTTGCTGAGGAACAAATTAGAGCCTGCCCATTGTCCCAGCACTCAGAAGGCTGAGGTAAGAAGAGCACTAGTTGAAGGCCTGTCTGAGCTACATGGTCAGTTCTAAGCCAAACTCAGCTATATAGTGAGATAGGGCTTTTTGTTTGTTTGTTTGTTTTTTCAAGACAGGGTTTCTCTGTAGCTTTGGAGGCTGTCCTGGAACTTGCTCAGTAAACCAGGCAGCCTCGAACTCACAGAGGTTTGCCTGCCTCTGCCTCCTGAGTGCTAGGACTACTACTGCCCAGCATGAGATTTTTTTTGTTTGTTTGTTTTTAAGGCAAAAACTCAGAATCAGATCATAAATAAATCTTTGGGTTTGGTTTTGTTTTTTTGAGATAGGATTTCTCTGTGTAGCCCTGCTCCTGGAACTCATTCTGTAGTCCAGGCTGGCCTTAATTCAGAGATCTACCTGCCTCTGCCTTCTGAGTGCTGGGATTAAAGGCGTGTACCACCATACCTGGCTTGATTTCTGTTTTGTTTCATTTTTGTTTTTGTTTTTGCTTTTTTGAGACAGGGTTTCTAGTTATAGCCCTGGCTGTCTTTGAACTCACTGTGTAGACCAGGCTGGTCTGGAACTCACAGAGATCTGCCTGCCTCTGCCTCCTGAGAGCTGGGACTAAAGATGTGCACAGCCGCTTCCTAGCTAAATAAAACCTTTGTAATGATACACATTTCTCTGTCATCAGGAACATCGAAGAAGAGCAAAAACTGAAGCATTGGTCCCTGTGAGGTGAGTCTTCTCTGAAACAACAGAGGAGCAACCGACATCCCAGATGCAGGCGTTTCCCATCACTCAGATTTGCTTGACAACTCCCTTCACTCTTCCAAACCATCGACGACCTTCACATTTCCTCAGAGGTCTCCCAGGAGGAGTGCTTTGACCTTGGGTGGTATCTTGTGTTGACAGAAAAATAGTGCCAAGAGCTGATGGGTGGCCTGCAGACCGTGCCATGCTGCTGTCACCTTTATGACCTAGACAGCTGTGAAGAAGTGTGTCTGGACTGATATACCTCGACCCCACTCTGCTGTCCAGGCCTCAGCACCATCTGCTTCCAAAGCATGCAGCCTTGCAGAGAGCTTTCCAGTGGGGTGTAACCCTTCATAAGCTCCATAAAGTCCAGCAAAATGAATGTGTCCTTAGCCAGGATATATATGGTAGCTTCTTGCCACCTTCTGAAGACAGTGCAAGTCACAGCGGGTTTTTTTGCATCTTTTAGGGACAGGTTCTGGGGCCTTCTTGGTCTTCAGTCACTTGCTGCTTACTAGGACACAGCCAGCCCCAACCATGACAGAGCAGGCCAGGCTCAAGGCTTCGCTATGCCTTCTGTCAGGTTTTGCATCTTGCATTCTGTCCCAATTGAAAGTAAACCTGTGTCCACAGCAGCAGAAGTTCCTAGCAGTGGGAGCCAGCGTAGATGTCAGGAGGTGGTGACACCAGATAGCCATGCTCTAGTGGCAGCTGCACCCCTGAGAATTGCCCACATGGTGTTGCCTGATGCACAAGGAGAGTTAGATGGCATCAAAGCCTGCCTCCTATAGAAGAGTTTAGCAGAACTTAGAGAGACACGCTAGAAGTGGCACTGTAACATCCCTAGGAACTGCAGAGCTTTCTGCATGCTACACCCTAGACAGAGCTGTCCCTCTCCCGTCATAGAGCTGCATGCTCCTCTCCTTTAGCAAGCAAGCCATGAAGCAGCCACCCTGGGGGATAGTGATGGCCTGGTGCCCACCACTGGCTTCTGCTCATCTGCTTCCTTCAATAAACCCTATTTAGTCTCATGGTGCAGTGCTGCTGTGTCAACACCCCGTCTGCAGCAATAGGCTGAGCTGCACAAAGCCACGCACTGTTTCTGTTTCTGCCAAGCACTGGGGAAGTAATGGGTTTGGTTGGCAACTCCTGGGCCATGGTGTTTGCTTGGCTTCGACCAAGACTGGGAGGGACCTGCTGAAGCTCTGTTCCCAGCCATAAGAGTGGGCTATGTGCCACCCCTCATCTTGAGTCCTTCATGAGCTCACTGGAATGAGTTGAAGTGAGCCCAAAATGGAGGAGGCACCTCAAGCAAAGGCCATGTTTGCTTCTTGAGTTCCTGGATACTATCTGGACAGGTGACTGCCCCTGTTCATGTTAGCCCATTACCCAGTCCTGACTACCAGCTGCCCTAGGTTTCCACCTGAGATCGGCCTCTAGTCAAAAAGATGGTCTGGGGGCTGGGGAAGGTGCTTGCTACACGACCATGAGCATCTGAGTCAGATTCCCAGCAACCCTGTGAAAAGCTGAGCCTAGTGGCACATGTCTGTAATCTCAGCACTGGGGAAGACTTCAAACAAACACTCAACAGTGGTTTTTTTTGTTTTTGTTTTTGAGACAGGGTTTCTCTGTGTAGCCATGTCTCTGTGTGGCTGTCCTGGAACTCACTCTGTAGACCAGGCTAGCTTTAAACTCAAGAGATCCACCTGCTTCTGCCTGTTGAGGGCTGGGATTGAAGTCATGGGTGATTCAGTACCCATCCCCATCCCTCTGCGTCCAACTCACCTAGGCCCCAGCTGCTCACCCTAGGGCCCAGCAGCTTCCACACCCACTTCTTCCTCAACTACCTGTCAGCGCAAACTCCACGGTACTCCACATGGAGTTCCCTCCCTGGCTGTGTATCAGGTATGATGGCCTAGCTTAAGGACCAGACACTAAGGATGCGTTTAAGGATGTCTCCAGCTGGAGAGATGGCTCAGGGGTTAAGAACACTGTCTGTTCTTCCAGAGGTCCTGAGTTCAATTCCCAGCAACCACATGGTGGCTCACAACTATCTGTTATGAGATCTGGTGCCCTCTTCTGGCATGCAGACATACATGCAGGCAGAACACTGTATATGTAATAAATAAAATCCTTTAAAAACAAACAAAAAAAGATTTATTTAGCCGGGTGTTGGTGGCTCACACCTTTAATCCCAGCACTCGGGAGGCAGAGGCAGGCGGATCTCTGTGAGTTCCAGGACAGCCTCCAAAACAATACAGAGAAACCCTGTCTCTGAAAAACAAAACAAAACAAAAAAAAAAGGGATGTCTCCAGGACCCTCTTAGGATAACACAGGCTTTAGGCCTTCTCCCACTTGCTTCATCCTACAGCCTCTTGCTCTGGAAGGCCACAAGAAGATGTATAGTACTCTGGGGAGGCCAATCTTCTGTTCACATTCTGGAGGATTCTAATAGGTCCGTTGCCACCTATCTGACAAAAAGGAGAGTAGTAGAGGCTAAGCAGGCTCTTCTCACTGCCCTCAGATCTGCCAGCCTGTCCTGTTTGGCACACATTATTGTTTTAGAACAAATTGCCAGGAAGAACTGACAAAAACTATTATACTTTTGGTGAATCTGGGCTCTGGGAAGGCTGAACAGTACCCTCTGCCTGGGTTACACAGCTGCAATCAAGGTGGCAGCCTCAGACTGGAGGCTCATCCTCTCCTGGGCAGCTATGAGCAGACCCTTAGACAATTCACAGACCAAATTAGACCATCCAGGCTCATCATCATCACATATTTTTTTAATTAAGGTCTCAAACTGTATGTGCCTATAGTCCTAGTACTCAGGGAGTCGAGGAGGATCTCAAATCAGTGTTTAGACCAGCTGGGGCTACATAGCAAATTCCAGGCCAGCGTGAGCTACATAGCAGACCCTGTTGAGAGGTAAGGCAGGGCCTTGCTTTGTTACCCAGGCTGGCCTTGATGTCTTGGACTCAAGTGATCCTGCTGCCTTAACCTGCCAAGGCAAGCACCACTGTTCCTGGCCACATCTCTTACTTAACACAGAGACAATTTAATTAACTAGACACTAATGAATCTGCATCAACCCCTCCACCACACAGCACAACCTCAAGGGAGAAGTGTGTGATATACTCACGGTTATATCTACACTCCAGAGGACCAGTTCATGAGCCTGTGGACCTCTAGGGGCAGGAAACTTGGGGACACTTTCAAATTCTACCTGCCGTAACCTAGCTCACCTGCCCTTACTAACTCACCCTCCTTAGCCCAGGAAAACCCTGGAAAAATGATCAAGTGGCCCTGGAGGTTGGTTCTCAGGAGTCCAGGTTCCAATGATTCTGGGTCTGGGAAAGTGGGCAAGAGGGTAAGCGGTAGCAGTGTCCTGAGCCAAAAAAGCTCACCAGCCTAGTGCTCGACAGCCAGGGACCCAGGCATGTTTCAGGAGGCTGAGCTGGGAAAGCTCGGCTACCAGAGGTGAGGTTGCAGAGGCTCTTGCTGTGGTCACCAGAAGGAACCAGCCTGGACCGTAGGCCCAGCAGCTCTGCCTGGACAGTGACAGAGCTCCTGGGAATGGAAGGAGGTCAGGTGCAGCTTCCGAGTGCCTGCTGCGCCATTCACTGGCCATTCCTGAGGACCACGGGCCTTTGCTTCTCGCCCACGGCTCTCCTTTGGATCATGGCATTCACATCCATGGGGACAGGCTACTGTTCAAGATGGAGTATCCAGAGTCTCTGCTTCCTCAGGGTGGCTTTGGGGAAAGATGGTTTTGCTGCCATAAGCCACAGGAGAGAGACAGTTTGGCTAGTGTCTCCCTCCCTCACGCCAGACTTCCTTGGGACAAAGACCCACCCCTCATCCCACCAACTGTCGCATTACCTCCATCCATGTGAATGCAGGGTGCTTGGCGGATACCACAGCCTGCTCTGAAGCAACGGGGAGGGCTCCTCTTCATATCAAAGCTGAGGAGCAGTCCTGGTGCCATTAGGGCCTTCAGGGGGACATTGGAGAAGGCAACTGAGGGGCATGGGACTCTGAAGAGAGGATTCCCAGCTGGCCCTCTTCTGGCCTGTGAATGAAGACAAGCTGCAGGTTCTCTCCAGTTTGGTGGCACCTCCAGCCTCCACAGCAAAGCCTCCATCTGGACTTCCAGGCCTGGGCACAAAGTAGTCATGAGGAGGAGAAACAGGTTTTGAAGAGATGGCTGTGGGCAGAGGCATGGAATCGAGGAGAAAGGTACCTCTTTGAGACAATGATAGGCCAAAGCCAGGAGAGCAAGGAGGGCCAGGGTTCCAGCAGCAACTGGGACGCCTATGGGCATTTGTAGCTCCCAGCTGATGCTGTAATTCTCCTGAGGAAAGAGGAGACAGAGTCAGGGGTCTGGAGAGGCAGGAGAGGAGGATGGACAGGGTGTAGTTCTTACCTTTCTGCTCCAAACCAGCGGACTCTGAAACCACACCATGGATGGTTCCTTACCAACCACTGTTGGGCTTCCAGGCTCTCAGTCTTCCCAGAGGTCCCTACACCCCAGATGCCCGTGAAGTTGGTTACTGTAGCACCAAGCACCGCCAGGCTAGTCTGATAGCAGTGACCAAACAGGGCCTTTGTGCTTAGCCATCTCATCTTTCGAAAGTGAAACCCTTCCTTCTCCAGCCTTCTGTGAGGGAGGGGCACTGAGAAACCTGCATAACCCATAGCCCCAGCTCAGCAGCCGCCCTTCCTGAGGCCCCCCCAGAAGAATTTAGTGGGCAGAGCAGACAAGCTGACTCCACCTTTCAGTACCTCCAACCTGGTCCACAAAGGCAATTTCCAATAAATCATGAGCCTTCTCAAGAAACAGAGTTCTCCAGCACCCCCTGGCGGGTGTAACTAGCAAAGGCTGCTACCCTCGGCTCCTCCCAGAGAGCCAACCTCCTGTAGGATTACTGCATTTCTCCATTGTAGCCATTTGGTGGCATCCCAGGAGGGAAACTGAGACCGGGGAAACAAGTAATTTGTCAAGTCCCACAGTAGATGGACAAAGTCAAGAGTGTGTTCCACCTCTGAGTGTCTCCCAGTCCTGCACAGGCTGTGACCTGAGCACTTAGGACAAGCCAGCAGCAGCAGCAGCAGCAGCAGCTCATGGAGGTGAGTGTGGTCTCCAGTGTTGGGCCTCTGAAATGATCACGCAACCTCCCCAAACAGAGGCACATGCTGTGCTCTGCCTGCTCACAGTTGACTAGGTGATGATGCGGACAGAGAAGCTAGGCCCAGGAAACTGGGTCAGGGGGTTATGGCAGGCTTTTGAGATCCAAAACAGCAAACAGCATCCACACAAGGTCTGTGACCAGATGAAGACAGATGCAGGGATGTGCAATTCAGAAAAAGGAAGGTACAGTGGGAAAGAAAGAGCAGCCCCTGGGTGGGGTTAGGTGCTGAGGGTAAGTTTGAGTGAGGCGTGCACACAGAAAGATAGCTTGGAGTGGCGTCTTTACAGGCAGTGTCATCTCTGAGAGACCAGAATGCCATATTGGGAATTTGGGGGCTTTCTTTGCTCTCTGTCCACACTAGGGTCTACCCTTACCCTGATAGACTCCCAGAAAGAAATGGAATGGGCTCAAATGCACCCTGGGAAACTTCCTGGGATAATGCCACCCAGTGTCTCCAGCATTTCACCCTTTTTCACACTGGACGGAACAAACCTGACTTCATGTACTTCAAAGAAAATAAGAACAAGGGCACCCACCCTCATGCCCAAGTTGTGTTTTGGTGTGTGTGTGTGTGTGTGTGTGTGTGTGTGTGTGTGTAAGTGTTCTACATATGTGTATGCCTGCAGGCCAAAAGAGGGCACCAGATCTCATTCCAGATTGTGTGAGTCACCACGTGGTTGCTGGGAGTTGAACTCAGGACCTCTGATAGAGTAGCACCTCTCCAGCCCCCATGCCCAAGGTTTCTCTTTTTTTTCTCTATTGCCCCCACATGACAGGTTTATGTATACAAATCTATTCACGGAAGTAACAGACCAAGATACACCTATGTCCCCCAGGGACAGAGTCTTAGGCACTATGACCCTGAACTAACTCCTTCCATACTTCGGTTTCCCCATCTCTGGAAAAGCAATACTGGGGAGACTGCTGTGGGATAGCAGCTCTCACTGGAGGTGTGGGGGAGGCAATGGGTCTTTTGTTTTTTGTCAAGACAGGGTTTCTCTGTGTAGCCTTGGCTGTCCTGGAACTCAGTTGTACCTGTCTGCCTCCGGAGAACTGGGATTAAAAACATGCGCCACCACTGTCTGCCTGGCAATGGGACTTCTGGTCAAGGAAAAAGAGAACGGAGCTGGGTGTGGTGGCTCACACTTTTAATTCCAGCACTCAGGAGGCAGAGGCAGGGGGAATCTATGAGTTCAGCCCAACTTGGTCTGTTACTGCAAGCTCCAGTCCAAACCTGTCTAAAAAGTGCACTGTAAGAGACACCTGGTGTCCATCTATAGTGACATCGTCCTGTGGAGGAGTCAGAGACCTCAGATGTGGCATAGGGACAACAGTGTCAACACCAGGCACCAAATCACACTCTGCTTGAATCTGGGCTACAACGCTGAACAGCCAGTGAGTCCACAGTTGCCAAGGGCCTCTGAGCCCCAGTTCTGGGATCTGCAGAATGGGGAGGTGCAATTGTTCCCCTAGGGCCTTGGGAATGCTGACAGGCTGCTGCCTGCACAATGCAGAGTGTGGAATGCCGGGGAAGTGTGTGTTGAGGGGAGCAAGGCATGAGGCCTTTCTTTCTTCTCAAAGGGCCCACAAGCCATCCCGGACTTGTGGCAAGGACATTTCCCACTCACTCCTGTCTCAGGGAACCACGCCTGCTGACAGAGCCCCACCTTCCTCTCTTGCCCCTCTGCAGAGGACAGGACTGGTCAGATCCACCCCAAACAGTGGAGGGCTGTTTTCAGGGCCCATGGTTCTGCCAGGGAGGAGCCATTCCTCAGCTAACTCTGCCATGATTCCTGCCCTGTGTGTTGAGGTCGGGATCACTCATTTCTATGCGTTCACTTCCTCCTCCACATGACTGACCCTCACAGGAAATGTGAGGGGTCCAGACTACACAGCCCCCAGCTTCTTCTGGCCCTCAGGTGAAAAGGGAAGGTTGGCTTCCTTGCTAGATGTCTGGAGGGCTCTGGAGGGGTCAGTGCATGGGGGAGACTCCCAGTCCAGAGCTCAGCTCGGCCACTGAGTTGCCAAAGGGGGCACCCCTCACCAGCCCACAACCTCAGCAAATCTATCCCTTTGGAATACTCCATCCCTACCCGACCCCCTCCACCCTCTGGCAACTTGTCATGGCCCTAAGAACCTTCGAATGAGGCGCCAACTGCACAGCTGCAAGATTCCCACAGCTAATTGTTGATCACTGCCACTCAGGCTTCAGCCTCTTAGAATCCTCTCTGCGAATCTTGCTTCTCTGCTTCAGAACCCGTGTTAGGTGGGGGAAGCCCTGGATTGTCAGAGCTGGGCTAGGTCAGCCTGGGCCCAAGGCATGCTAGCCCAAGGGTGGGCAGGCTGGTCTGATGGGCAAGGGGTTTGAACAGGGTAGGGCTGCATAGGGTACATCCCCTCCCCCCCCCGCTCTCTCCCTGGGTCCCCACCCCCGCCCTCCCACGCACCTGCGCTGGCCTCCCCCCAAGCCCCGGGGCAGCACTGGGAGATCAGAGGACTCGGAGGAGTTGGAGGAGTCGGGCTCAGGGGGATGGGGCGGGGAATTTCCCCCCACGCCTGCCTGGGCCTGCTCCCCTCCCCCTCCCCTACCAGGTGGGGGGCACCGCTGGGGGAATTCCACTGCAGGCAAGGCTCCGGAGAGCCTGGGCTGGGGTCCTAGGGAGTGGAAAAAATGGAAGCGGGAGAGGGGGCGGGCTGGGACGGGGGGCACAGCTGCCTTCCTCCCCAGACACCAGCTGCCCCTGCCTGTCGCGGGCTGAATGTCCACGATTCCTGCCTGTCTTCCGCGATCAGGGGCAGGGAGTGGCGCTTCCTTACTCAAGCCAGCCTCGGCGGGATCTGGGGAAAGAGGAGCTTGAGGACTCGGAGAAGATGTGCGTGTGAGCGTTTTTTTTTTTTTTAAACAATGAATGAGTGGATTGAATGAGAGTGTGCACGTGCACTTGTATCGGTGTCAATTTGACTCGGTGCAGCCGCGGGGGAGTCCTGTAACGCTCCTTTTAGGGTCCTCTAGAGCTCTGTTAAGCTAACTGACCTGTCCCCCTCCATACCCTCCCAATAGAACCCACACCGACCCTGGAAGAAAGAGAAAAAAGGGGTGGGGAGGCATGTGTTGGGGCGCTGGGGGTCCCGGGGGACAGGCGTGGGAGGCGTCTGGACCTGCTGTCTGCGCTCCAATCCCGGGCGGGGTTTCTAGTCTTCCCGGGTGGGGGGGCAAGAGAGGAGGGACCTGTGGGGACACAAGCGGAGCGGGAGACAGTGCTTTAGAGACCTGGAAGAGAGAGACTAAGGGTGCAAGGCACAGTTCGTTGGGGTGGTTGTGGGGGCCCAGGCTCGACCGAGAACTAGAAACCCGAACCTGAGCTCATCCTCTGGCCACATACCTCCTCCAGAGAACAGAGAGACAGCCGGGCAGAGATCCCAGGAAGATATTTCCTGGTCCCGGACGGGCAGCTCCGACCAAAGTAAGACCAGGACAGAGGATCAGACGACAACGCCCCCTTTAGGTCACCAGGGAGACCCTACAGCGATCCCCGGAGCGTCCCAGGCCGTGTTCTAGTCCAGGCAACATTTCTTTGGTTAGGGAAGATGGGGACACCGGCTCTGCAGTGCCTCCTCTTCCTCTTCCCAATGTTGCTGCCGCAGCGAGGAGCCTCAGCAGGGAGCCTGCACAATCCAGGTGAGTTAGGCACAGCAGCCAGGCCAAAGTTTTCTGCGCCCAGGGCTGGGACCACAAAACTGGAGAGGCGGGAGAGCTGGTGGATGGAGCAGCTGAGCAGCCCCAAGGCCCCCTCGGGGATGGGAACTGGGAGATACTGACTGGGACCAGGCAGGAGTTGGGTGTCGAGAAGTGAGGAGGCCCAGTGAGCATTCAGACTTCTCCAAGATCCCACGGTTGCCGGGCAGGCCTGTCCGAATGCTTCCAGGTGAATGGCGCTGATTATCGCGGCCACCAGAACTACACCGGCCCTCGAGGGGCCGGACGCCCTTGTCTTTTCTGGGACCAGACGCAGCAGCACAGCTACAGCAGCGCCAGCGATCCTCAGGGACGCTGGGGGCTGGGCGCGCACAACTTCTGCAGGTGAGGAGCCTGACTGAGCTGTCAGCAAGGCAGGGCCAGTGATGGCAGGAGGCCAGGCAGAGGGGAGGTCGGTTCTAGCCTGGTATAGTACCCTCTGGAAGGTTTAGGGGCTGGACCTACCTCATACTAGATTCAGCACAAACTTGGAATTAAAGATATGTCAGACTTAGGTGATAGTTTCTGCAAATCCTCCAGTCAGGGCCAGGAAAAAGGCTTACACCCTTAAAGGACCCTTGGATGCCAGATCTGGTTGGACTCGAACCCTGAAATGATTGGACTGGCTCTTGTAGTAGTTACTTGAGCAGCATCTACAGCCCATCATGTGAGGAGTTCAAAGCCACAGCTCTCTTCTGGAACATCAGCCAGGGACGGAAAGGGAGCCACTTTCTGCCCAACCACAAAGCTGAGGGTTCGCCGCTTGCCCTCCTTTGACATTTTGGGCAAGACCCATTGAAAAGTCAGGAAGGTACCCATGAGGTCAAGTCACACACCTAAAAACAACTCTCCAGGCTCTTATGGCGACTTCCCTGTCCCCTGGGGAGGTCAAAGTCCAGGAGCAGGTGCAGAACACTAGACTGTGCCCTGACAGAGAGGAGCATGGCCTCTACAGCATGGTGGCCACACTGGAAAGGGTGGTGGGCTCACCACCTCCCTCCGCCCACAGGAACCCAGATGGCGATGTGCAGCCATGGTGCTATGTGCCCGAGACAGAAGAGGGCATCTACTGGCGCTATTGTGACATCCCCACATGCCACAGTGAGTGACCACAAGAGCCTCACCAGGGGTCACTTTCAGAGGTGGGGCTCTGACTCTGCTTTCTCCACAGTGCCTGGGTACCTGGGCTGCTTTGTGGACTCCGGGGCACCCCCTGCTCTCAGTGGTCCCAGTGGCACCTCCACAAAGCTCACAGTCCAGGTGTGCCTCCGATTCTGCCGCATGAAGGGCTACCAGGTACGGTGGTTGGGCCCAGACCAGTGACCCTTGACCTTGACCTTAGAACCCTACCCAGCTCCCAACACTGATGGCAAAACTTGACATTAACTTCTGACCCTCACCAATCCCTACTTCCCGCCCCACTACTCCACCCATACCCACCATCCCTGCCTTTGGGGTCACCCAGTCTGTGCTCCCAGCTGGCTGGCGTGGAGGCTGGTTATGCCTGCTTCTGTGGTTCTGAAAGCGACCTGGCCCGGGGACGTCCAGCCCCTGCCACCGACTGTGACCAGATCTGTTTCGGCCACCCAGGCCAGCTGTGTGGAGGCGACGGGCGACTGGGCATCTATGAAGGTGAGATGTGGACCAGAATGAAGAGTGGCGTCTCAGTGGGATCTGATGTGCCATCCCCTAGTAGGAATGGAATCGGGGGAGCCTGATGTTGGAGTAAGACAAGATAGGGAAGCTAGGACTGGAGGCAGGATCTGTAGCGGGCATGAGGCTAAAGCTGAATGTGAAGCCGGCACTTGATAAGGGATTGTTCCGAAGGCGGGGCCTATTTAAAGAAACTGATGGGTGCTGGATGCCAGTACGAGGGCGGGAATGAGTCCTAACTGGAAAGGGGAATCTTTCCACCGGGGTCTCTGCGCTGGAAAGAAAGAACCCGAATGGCCTCGAGTTCTTGACCGCCTGCCCCGCCCACAGTGTCCGTGGGCTCATGCCAGGGAAACTGGACGGCGCCTCAGGGTGTCATCTACTCCCCGGATTTTCCGGATGAGTATGGGCCAGACCGGAACTGCAGCTGGGTACTGGGCCAAATGGGCGCTGCGCTAGAACTCACCTTCCGCCTCTTCGAGTTGGCGGATTCCCGAGACCGGCTGGAGCTACGCGACGCCTCGTCCGGCAACCTGCTCCGCGCCTTCGACGGTACCCACCCGCCACCGCCTGGGCCTCTGCGTCTGCGTACTGCTGCGCTATTGCTCACCTTCCACAGCGACGCGCGGGGCCATGCTCAAGGCTTCGCGCTCACCTACCGCGGTGAGCAGGGGGCCGGCCCTCTTTCCCCCCCACCCCCGCTGCCTACACACCCCTACTCCGGGCCACCTCGCCTCATTTCTCTCTCTGCAGTGGAGGACAGCGCATCACCTAAGGATTCGGCTGAGATTCCTGCAGGAGACCCCGATGGTGCCAACGTGAGCTGCAGCCCTAAGCCGGGAGCTGCACAGGCTTCCATAGGGGGTGAGTCTGGCTTGCAGTGTGGGAGTTAATCAGGAGTGACCCCTCGGAGCCCTGTCCTCATTGCCCCCTGTGCCCACAGCCCGAGTCTTCTCCACTGTGATGGCCATCTCCGTGCTGCTGCTGTTGCTCCTGTCGCTGCTGCGTTTGCTGCGTCGACGGTGCGGGCGCTGGGGCAGGGCCTGAGGGCAGACCCTGCACTGGGCGCCTGATGCCTCCTGTTTCGGGTGTGGGGGCTCTGGTGGGAAGCTGGGACGTGGGAACAAAGCTAGGATGGTCCTGGGTTCTTGGGGGCGAGGCCTTGGGAGAATTACACATGGGTTCTCAGGCAGAGCAGGATATTGGAGGCAAGACTGGGTATGTGTCCAGCTGACGTCTGCTCCCTCTCTAGGAGCTGTCTGCTGGCTCCGGGAAAAGGGTCTCTGGCCTTAGGACCTTCCCGGGGCCCCAGGAGAAGCTGGGCTGTGTGGTACCGCCGGCCCCGAGTGGTGGCCCTGCCCTGTCCCCCAGGGGACTCTCAGGCTGAGGGTCCTGCTGCAGGCTACCGGCCCCTGAGTGCCTCCAGCCAGAGCTCCTTGCGCTCGCTCATCTCTGCTCTCTGACCCCAGATGTCCGGGGTCCATCACAACTTCTGCCAGCAAGATGGACACCTGAGATAATAGGCAGCACCCTACCTCTTCCTTGTGCCTCTTTAAAGGTGGCTCGGTCTCTAGTGATCTCGGGGAGACAAGAAAATTGGACAGGAAGCATCCAGTGCTGTTTGGGAACTTGGTCTGACCTTTGGGGTCAAAATGGTCGAAGCCAAAAGGCGAAAGGAATCCAACACGCTAACCCTTGGACCTTGATGTGAGGGGTGGTGTCTGGTCTTAGGGTTCTTTGCGCCTCTTTTGGAAGTGGTCCTAGACTGCTGCCCTCAATGAAAGTTAGGGGTCAACAAAATTGATCTAAAGACCGACCAGAGACTTAAAAATAAATGGCCTATTTTAGTAGAGGCTTCAGCAAGTTCTTTGTGTGAGAGTGTAAGGCGGGAGGGTTGCAGGTGAGGTGCTGGGTGTTTCATACGGTGAGCTTTCTTCTGAGTGAGGAAGTGGAAGCTGGTTGTGGGTGGCTTTATGCAGAAGAAGTTATTTTCTGATACCAGCAAGAGCAGAAAGGAGCCGACCTTTCTTCCCTGGCCTCCTGCCTATGCCCGTTCCTTGCCTGTACTAGGCCCTGCCGAGGGTGTGCCTTGTGGGCGATAATAGGGAGAGCGAGTTGGGTGGAACCCAAGCTCAAAGAAGCCTGGCTGGAAGGGCTGAGCCTCACCAAGGGCTCCTGGTACGTCACACATCTTAGACGCTTGGGTACCCGGCCAAAGCTATACGTTCATAGTGGGTGCGAGCCATCGTTGCGCGGGACTCATCTGAAGGGGCAGCACCTTGGACAGAGCCTGAGTGTGGGCTGAGATCTGGGTAGTCAGACTGTGTACTCGAGGTGGGTACACAAAGATGCGCGGCAACCTGGAGATCACTAAGAAAGCTAGGGTGTGAAATGTTAGTAGACTCCAGATGCCAGGCCACTCCAGTTGAGGACTCCAACCCAGAACACCACGTCCCAAGCCAACAGGCACCTCACGCAATGAAGACTGGAGCCGCATATGTTAAAAAGAGAAGGCCTGGGCGGTCTCGGGGCGGAGCATCCCTGCCCACAGCGCCTATTGGTCTTTGCAACGTGAACGTCAGGAATCCAGCGCGCGAAACATGGGCAGGGTGGCGGGGGCGAGGAGCTGGGGTGGAGCCTGGCGTCCCCTTCAGCGTCCGGCCGCGCCCGTCCTCAGGGCTGCGGCGAGACGCCAGGCTGCCGTGGCGGCCAACGGGAGCCCTTCTTGCGGTGCTCTGCCACGGTGGAACTGGACACACTGGGCTCCGGCAGCCGGGTCGCCAGCTTCTTTTCCCTTGCGGGGGCGTCGAGCTCGCGCGTGCGCAGCGCGTGAGGAAAGAGGGCCCGGACCCCCGACTGACCCCACGCAGGGCGACCGGACAGCCCGGAGGTGAATCGAGATGAGCTTCCCAGCGCTGCGGCTCCACTGAGGAGGAAGCCTGAAAGCAGAGGGTCGCCCGCCGGCCGCAGTGCATGAGGCCATGGCGTTCCTGTCCGGGCCGCGCCTGCTGGACTGGGCTAGCTCGCCGCCGCACCTGCAGTTCAATAAGTTCGTATTGACTGGCTACCGACCCGCCAGCAGCGGCTCGGGCTGCCTGCGCAGCCTCTTCTATCTGCACAACGAGCTGGGCAACATCTACACACACGGTAGGTGAGCGGCGCCCCACTTCATGCTTCCCACACTCGCGGCCGCCTTGTCTGTGAGCGTAGCAGCTTCCCGAGCCCCAAGTCCTAGGCTACCCCTGCCCTAGTTGGGCCGGGAGCCGCGGTGACAAAGCTGCCATTGTCCCAAGCTTCGCTGCCAGCTTCTGCTTTTCCTGCAGTGCTCCAAGGGAGGAGATGTGAGCAGAGTGGGAGCTAGCTTAATCCCGCTGAGCTCTAGGGGTAAGGATCCTAGGATCCCCTTGGTAATCCTGCACCCTGGGCACCCTCCTCCTCCAGCGCTGGTCCTGGAGATGGGCGTTCACTGGCTAGGAGGAGTCAGAAACTAGAAGACCTCCCCTGCCTGGCCCAAGCCCCTCCTCGTGGTGGCCTAGTGTCCCCGCCACCATAGCAGTAGTCTTGGGGCTCCGCCTGGTGTCCCCCCTCCCCTTGCGGCCCCCTAGAGCTCTGCTGACACAGCCCTGTCCTGTCCTTGAGCCGCCCCAGCTGGGAAAGGGGACTAGAGCCAGTTAGGTTTAGGCTTGTGCTTTTCTCTAAAGGAGAGGGAGAACGTTATTGTCAGACCCCCCACCAAGAGTGGGGCTGATGCCTGCATTTGTCCTCTAGTAGGGCAATGCCAACTGCCTGTGGGGAAGGGTGGGGAATCGCCAAGAAAGGCCAACACTGGAAGGAACAGAGCTCCTGAAGACACCCCCAGAGGAGAAAGAATAAGCTCCTTTCAGCCCCCTTCCCTTCGTTCTGGCCTTTCCTGCCCTTCTTTCTTTATGAAAAACAAAAAGACTCGAAGTCTCCATCTGCCTGGACACTTGAAGTGTTAAGTAACCCCGAGTCTGGTATGACCCTCCTGTCCTAACCAGAATTCAGGTTGAGGTCATGCTTCTCCAGACTTCTGCAACACTCCAGGACGGACAGGCAGACCTGGTCTAGCCTTCTGTGTGGCAGAGAGGAGTTGTGGCTTTAGCCTCAGCGAGGAGGACAACACAGGAGTTAGTCTGCCCTGGCTCATCATCCTGTCCTTTGCCTAGTTGCTGAGCTCAGCTGGGACAGGTCACTGAGAGCCTGCTTCCATACTTGCAAAGTAGGGCTCATTGTCTTACTTCTAGACCTGCAGTGAGTCCTGACAGTAACACTTCTGAAAGTTTGGAGCCCACAGACCCTCTTCTGTGTGGGTTGGCAGCAGTATTGAACTCTGCCTTGCTCTGTCTTTCTTGTGTTTTTAATAGTCAGGTCACTTTATTACTTTTTATATTTACATATTAACTTAGTGTGTATGGGGGTCAGTAGGTATATATCTGCCAAGGCATGTGGAGGTTAGAAGACAAATTGTGAGAGTTGGTTCTCTTCTGCTATGTGGAATCCAGGATCAGACTAAGATTGTCAGACTTAGCACCTTACCTATGAGCTATATTCCTGACCCCAGTTGATACTTTGTTTTTGGATGTGCTTTTTCTTTATGATGAATATGTTGAATGAGTAACTCTTCTTCCCTTCTAGGACTAGCCCTGCTGGGCTTCCTGGTGCTGGTGCCAATGACCATGCCCTGGGGCCAGTTGGGTAAGGATGGCTGGCTGGGAGGTACACATTGTGTGGCCTGCCTGGTCCCCCCTGCAGCCTCTGTGCTGTATCACCTCTTCATGTGCCACCAAGGAGGCAGTACTGTGTACACCCGGCTCCTTGCCCTGGATATGTGTGGAGTCTGCCTTGTCAACACTCTTGGTGAGCCAGGGCCACAGGAAGGTGGAGGCAAGGGCTACTGGTGGGAATCCTGGGTAGGGAAGATCAGCTAGCTTGAATTGATTGAATTGATATCCTTTTCCCCCCCCCCCTCTCTCTCTCTCTCTGCAGGGGCCCTGCCCATCATCCACTGCACTCTGGCTTGCAGACCCTGGCTTCGTCCAGCTGCTTTGATGGGTTACACTGCACTGTCAGGTGTGGCTGGCTGGAGAGCCCTCACTGCTCCTTCCACCAGTGCCCGGCTTCGAGCCTTTGGTTGGCAAGCTGGGGCCCGCCTGCTGGTGTTTGGGGCCCGTGGAGTAGGGCTGGGCTCAGGAGCTCCAGGCTCCCTGCCCTGCTACCTGCGCATGGATGCACTGGCACTGCTTGGAGGGCTGGTGAATGTGGCACGTCTGCCAGAGCGTTGGGGACCTGGCCGCTTTGACTACTGGGGCAACTCCCACCAAATCATGCACCTACTCAGTGTGGGTTCCATTCTCCAGTTACATGCTGGTGTTGTACCTGACCTGCTCTGGGCTGCCCACCACGCCTGTCCCCCAGACTGAGTTGTCTCCTAGCTGCCAAACCAGCCTGCCCACAGCTTCCTGGGACAAATAATGCCACCTTCCCTCCTTCTGCTGGTCTGGAAGGGGCTGGCTCCTTGGACGAGCCAGGACATGGGACTTCCTATCTGGGAGACCACTCTTCATCCTTTCCTGTTGATTAACCTCTTCTTGTACCCAGGCCTTCAAATTCTAGCTACCCCTTTCCCTGCCAACTCCCCTCCAGGGTACCTCTTCACTGTCGGCTAGAAGGAAATCGTTCTTTGGGCTTCAGTTTACCCTGTTTTACCTGAGAATCTCTGAATTCATGTCTGACAGTTGAGTTCTGCCAACTTACCAAGCCTCCATCCCAGAATCACTGGCCCTACCTTGCCATTCCCACAAGACACCTCCTGGACTCTTGAACTACCTTCTCTGCCCCTGCTTCCTGACCTCCATCTTTCTGCCCTGCATGCCAACCTCTCAGCAGCCAGAATTTTACCATTCCTGCAGTCAGGATGCAGGGCAGTGAGACCAGGCCCTTTTCTCAGGACCAAGTGGGCACTGGTCCTGCTTGTATCATCTGGCCAGGAGACATCAGAGGAGCTGCTGCTTTCCCTAGGCCACAGGCACAGATGTGGAATGGTGGCTTTGGATTCAGGCCTCTCTGGACCAAAGACTCACCTTCAGTGCCGTGGTCTGACTGACTGACTTGCCTACCAGAGACACGTCTGCTCAGGAAATTTCTATACAATGTGTGGTTCCAGCCTGCTGGCCAAAGGCCATTCTGTAGCAGAGCATTGCCTCACAGCCAGATCATCTCAGAGGACTAAGGCCCTAGGCAACATCAATAAAGGGAGAAGAAGCACTATGTTGCCACATGAACAACCTTGGGTGCTCCCAAGATTCATTACTTTTTATTAGAGACAGAAGTTTCTGGGGGAGAGGTAGGAAAGAGGGTCAGAGGTTTAAAAGCACTGAGGCTGGGCCTGTGGCTCAGGCTGGGTCTAACGAGTCCTCAAACAGGCTGAGGAGGTTCCGTGGCTCAAAGGTGGGGCAGGGACCTCTAGGAGGCTCCGAATCCATGTCAGTTAGGTCCAGGGCATCCCTTAGGGGAGGAAAGAAAAAGAAATAAGACTTTGGATCCCAAAGCCAACTGTGCCCAGCCCTAGGCCCTGGGCTTGCTCTCCTCCTCACCTTGGCATGTACCTGCCTCGAGGGGTAGAGGTTCTCCTAGTGATTCGGGACAGGATGGTCTCGGGGGAGAGTGAGGGACTACAAGAAAGGACAGAGCAAACAAGGTGTTGAGGGTTGAGGAAGTAGTACCAAACCAGCTCTGACCCTATTTGGTTCCAGGCTTCTGCTTGCTAAAGGTAGGAGGCCATAATTGAAACAATAAACACACACATTGACAGCTGTCAAGTCTTCCTATCTGACCATGTTCAGGGGTCATCTCTGTCTGTTTTCGTGTTCAACTGAGCTGATGCCAAGTTTTGTTAAATGAAGATTTTCTAGAACTTGGTATGTTACAAAGAACCTTCAGAGTGAGGGGAACAGTACTATAAAAGGAGGGATCCTGAGAGTGTATGGTTCTTCCTTGTAGCAGTTTCTTAATCACACCTTTCCCTTGGCTAGCAGACACCTGGGACTCAGGACAGGGACTTACCAGGTTCTGGGAGGTATTCACCTAGGTGAGGACAGCACTTTGTCCCTGAACAGAGGCAGCCTCTACAGAAGTGGGGGCTGCAATCCTGCACTAATGACTGGTATAAAGCTATGCTACTAAATGCCACAGTTGCCCACACAGGCCATGAGCCACACCCAGAGTCAGTCCTTGTCCCCTGAGTGTGACAGAGGCCCATCTACCTTCCTGTCTATGGAGCCTAGGACACCTTCCATGGGGCATTGACTGCAGTGATGTGCACACACCCCACCCCCATGTCCTAGACTCTCACCCACCCTATGCTGTCATCATCCCAGCTGCTGGAGAGGCTGCTGTCCAGGAGGGGGCTGCAAGGTGGAGAGCCAGGTGGTGTGGCTGGTGGGCCTGGAGGCTGCAGCCAACTGGCAGGATGAGCCAGGCCATGCCAGAGCCAGCAGAGCAGAGTGATCAGTGCCTAAGAGGAAAGGGAATCTCAGAAATCAAGCCTTGTAAAAAAATCACAGCACTTGGGAGGCTGAGGTAGGAAGATGATGAGTTCAAGGACAGCCTGGTCTGTATAGTAAGTTCAAAAGGGAGCCTCAGGAGAGTGGCTAGGTCCCCTGGGCAAGGAACAGGTGGCATACATCAGCATCATAGAGGCTTACCTGCCACAGGGCCCAACCTCGACTCAGGGCTTCTGCAGCCATATACCACAGAACATTCCAGGGACGTGGCTGCCTCAGCATGGGCAGGGCCAGCAGGGCCTCAGCTGTGGCTCGATGCTGGGGGTCAGGCTCCAACATCATGGTGAGGACAGAACGCAGCTCAGAAGACAGACCTGCCCATGAGGCAGAGCCACACATGTCAGGAGCCAGGGTATTGACTGAGCCCTCAGCCCAGCAGTGTCCTTACTACTAGCCACCCCTTGCCAGAGAAGCTGGTAGTAGTTGGCTCTTTTCTGAGCCCCCACTCACCAGCAGTGAACTCAGGGGGCAAGTATCCCTGGCGCAGCTGCTGCCAGCCCTCCCCACCATGGGGCAGTTCCATGTTGCAGGCCACTTCCAAGATGGTGAGACCCAGACTAAGGACAGGGCAAAGAAAAAGAAAGGCAAAGTCAGCTTTGTGACACAGTTTCCTGTTCTATGCAGCATCTTAGTAGGAAAGGGCTGCTCTCTTCCCCATAAATCAGGACATTGATGAAAGAGAGGCGAGGAGCTTTGAGGCCGCCTCTGGAGGGCCAGCGGTCACAGCCAAGATGGAGACCTTGCTGTGGCGCAGAGGCCACACACTTAAGCAGTTAGCATGTTGCAGTGGAGGTTCATTGGAACCCCATTGACATGTAAACTGGTTTCCATGATTATTAGGGTTGGCATCATCATTATGTAGAAATAACCAGAATACAAATGAGGCAGAGCAGTGGTAGCCAGTGTGGACTCAGAACTCTGGGCCTGGGTATAGTCCCAGATGCTAACTGTGGACTTGACAAGTCCCTCAACCTCATTGCACCCTACTCTCCCTGTGCTGGAGCATAGCCAGAGAGCTGCTAGACACGGAGATGGCTAACCTATAATTTAAAGGGGCTTACTCTGGAGACCTCTCAGTTAGTGGGAGGGACAACACCTCCCAGGCCTGAATGCCCTCTTACCCCAACACCAGGAAGAGCTCCTCTGTTGGGCAGTCCCTCCCTTTCTGCTCATCAGTCCCCAAAAAGAGCCTCTTATAGTCCCTTCATGACCTCTCCATATCCCAGCCTCACCTGAATACATCTGCAGCTGTCCCGTAGGAGCCCTGCAGCAGTTCTGGGGCCATGTAGCGAGGGTCTCCTTCCTGGGCCTCACCAGCGCCAGTTGAACCCAGCTCCACCAGTAGTCCAAAGTCACCCAGCTTGCAGCGGCCTCGGGGCCCCAAGAAGATGTTGGCAGGTTTGACATCGAGGTGAACTAGGCCTTGACTATGTAGGTGGTCCAGAGCCAGAAGAGTGTCCCGCAAGTAACCCCAAACCTGGGCCTCTGGCAGGCTGGCCCCCCAGGCTTCACAGTGCTGCTGCAGGCTGGGCCCACAGAGCTCTGTCTGCAGGTACAGGATGCCGCCCTCCTCCCAGGCCTGCTCCAGTCTCACACAGTGTGGGTGCTGCCCCACCTTCTCATGGCCGCCTACCTCAGCCAGCTTTCGAGTCCGGTCTTTGGGGCCTCGGAATGGCGACATGGAGCGCTTAACAGCATAGAGTCGGCCATCTTCCTTGGAGCGTACCTGGAAGGGAGGTGTGACCCAGAGGCAGGATAGAGGACAATCAGAGAATGCTATTATGATTTCACCATGTAGGGAAATACATGTCAGTCTTAAGACCTCTGCATGCAATGATAATGAACTGGACACATGTCCATTGCAGGAGAGTGCACTAGAGACCCAGCAACAGAGGAGATGGGGCAGACTAAGCCCTCTGACCAGGGTCCAGTGCTAACAGAAAGATTTAGACCCAAAACAACAGGGGCAGTATGCCCTCTGGAAAGGAAAGATGATCCAAGGGCCTGTGCTGCTTGAATTCTAAGTGAAATTGCCTTAAATAGTGCTTGTGTAAAGGAGAGCTGCTGTTTTACAAGACATATAAATAACTGGAAAATTAATAACCATATTAAAGAGAATTAAATTATGATGGGAAAGGGTACAGATTTTGAGCCTGCTAGCTTAGGGAAAAAGGTAGGCATTGGAGGCATTGGAATCAACTCCAGGCCAGACAGAACTGGTCATGGGTCCCAGTACAGCCATCTCCAAGCAGAGAGGTGGCGACAGAGAACCACTACAGGGTGTGCCAGGATCTGGACAAGGAGCTAGTGCTCCTGAGGCAGGTCTTCAAGGTGCCTGACCTGGGGATGGGGAGTGGGAGGTGGGGTGAGGAGTGGGAGGTGGCTGTAAGCCCTAGGGAGGCAAGCTGTCAAAGAATAAAAGGCAGCAGGACACCTAGGACACTATCCCACCAAGGCAAAGAGGTTCCCCAGAGAAACAAACCCTGGAAACCACCCTTCATTTACCTTGAAGACCTCTCCATAGGAGCCATGACCCAGGCGGCTAAGCCTCTGGAAGTTCTGCTGAAAAAAGGACTCTGGCCGACTCGGGTCATACCCAGGACTCTGCAGGGTCTCTGAGGTCTCACCCAGGAATGACACCCTCCGGGGCTGGGGCTGGTGCCAGCCTGGGGTCCGAGGAGGGAAGAGACGGCTGATAGGAATGCTGCCTTTGGCAGGAGGCCGAGGTGGAAGGCTCCGGCTGAGGCCCCTGGGCCTTTTAAGGGAGAAACCAGGCTCTGCATGTCGGAAGTAGGCTGGAACTGGGATGGGGGTACCACTTAGGGGTGGTGGGGTGCCCTCCGTGGGCACGGACATGGCCACTGCTAGAGGATCAAAGCACAGAGCAATGTGTCCACTTAAATAGTGCTCGATTCCGTGGCGCACAAGAGAGCCACTGCTTTGCCACACACACGTTCTACTTTCCACATGAAGGTTGTGTGCGCCGCAAGTGCCTGCAGAGAAGAAGAACAGGCTATCACACACCTGCACACTTGGAGGTGACATAAACATGAAATCAGGACCGTAAGCCTGTATCTCTAAGGGCCTCATACCCAGCAGGAGAATTATAAGACAGGCAGCCCTAGAGTGGCCCATTCAGCTTTCTCTGCACTCAAAGTCCTGGGATGGGAAAATCATGCCATTCCTCATCACCAATTCCACAGTAAAAATAACTTCCGAGTTCCAAAACTTGACTGTCTTCTAGAATATGTACACAAAATGAGGAGACTGTGGACTTCCCCCCAGGAACAGATAAATGAAAACTATATACTATCTTAATCTCTGGATGTGATACTAAAGACAGAAAATGAAACACAGAAGAAAATCTAGTAAATCTTGGTAAGAACGTGGAGAAAGAGTAGAACCTTCAAGTCACCAGCACTATGGGCACATATCTAGAAGTGAGGTTCTTGCTGCCTCAACTCCCTGTCAGAGTTAAAGTGTCTGCCTAGGAAGAGCAGGTAGGTTCTCAGCATTACTGTTTCCCACCAACTCTACAGAGCAGAGGCTGGATTTCTGTTAGTGAGAGAATAACCAGGGGCTTTCTTCTCTCTCTTGTGCCACTGACAGATGAGATGGAGGTTCTACAACAGGCCCAGCAGGCTGAGAAGCCCATGGTCCAAGCCCTAGCTCATTCACAGGGAGCTCCACATTGGAAGAGGCTAGCAAAGAATGCCAGAGAC